ATTGATTTTAATAAATGATCCATACCTGATTTAGCAAGATGTATCTACACCATATACTGTATAGTCTAGTCACCAGCTGCACTGCATTTTGGATGTTGTCCTTGCCTTGAAGAGCTTCTACAGCACACTTGATGGCCAGCTGCCTGTCAAGCCCCTCCACCTGGTCCTCCATCTTTCAGCTCCACAGGCAGATGGCCTGGTGAAGGAGCTGTGAATCAGAATCCTCTTCAGAATGACCATCTTCCTCTCTATTCTCCCCGGTGTCCTTCAAGATCTCGTTTCTCACCCCTTCGTCCTCTCCTCCTTTTTCCTCCTGACTTTCCTGAGCTGCAGTTCCTCCCACCTTGATGTCGGTCATCTGCATCTACCCCATCCTAGATGACTCAGATACTTGCAATTTAGATTTCAAAACACATTTATGATGTCCTGCAAATAAACAGTGTGTTAAAAGCAAGGCTATGTGACTTTTGAAAGAAGAAATAACATGCTCTTCTTCTTACAAATAAAATGTTGAATTCACAAATAAAACACACCCTTGTTCAATTTAATTCACTCAGGAGTTTTGCCACTGAAAGTTTAGTTGGTCTGGTATGACCAGGAGCAAATATTATCTTATTCTAGCTAATACTAGCATTCTTTGATGTGTAACTGATGTTTACAATTACAACTAGGATGGAATTGTGTGTTATTTTACTTTTTAAAACCTACCTACACACTTTATTATGTGTCAGCGCAGTTTATTTAGAAGACTTGGACAAACTTCTGCTTTCTATGATCTTCATTATATTAATTAGTGCAATTACACTTTGGTATATCAATATAAGGAAAAGGGGGAACTAGGCTTGCACTGACCACGTACATAATATTACCAGGTACTATCATTGTTTAGTCTATCTATCTATCTATCTATCTATCTATCTATCTATCTATCTATCTATCTATCTATCTTCTCTTCCATTTGTAATGAGACAGCAGCAGTCTGTCATGGAGCTCTACCACCACCCAGTGCTTTGCAGTGGACCTGCAGCAGGCTGTGAGCGACACCATTCAGCACCGAATGGATCTGTTCACCTTCAGAGCTGAGGTTCACAAAACTATCTGGTCTCCAGAGACATCTGGCTGAATGTGTCCACCACGTTACAGCTCGAGAGGTTCTCTTTATGTTATGCTAATGAGTATTCAGAGGAAGACACTAACATGTCTGAAAGCAATCAAAACACTGAGATAGTGGATGTAATTGAATAAAGGAAACATACTGGTAAAGGCTCTTCTTAATGGAAACCACATCCAAAATGCTTTCACTGGCAAGCATAATAAATAGTTTTCATTGTGTTGTTGTCGCTGCAGCCACCCAATTTTCACCACTTCCACTTGGGTGCAATCAACATTCCTTTGTTCTCGTTTTTACAGATATGAATTCATCATCGGGGGGGAGGGCACTTACCTAACTAAAGTGTGAAGCATCATTAAGGTATCAAACTCAACATAATAGCCGTAGCAGCTGCCGCCAGACTCCGCAGGTGGAAATAAAAACCGATTATCTCACAATTGGGTAGTGGAGATTGACAGTTTTGACACGTCCCTCCTGCACATTGGTATTCAACAACATTGCGCTTTATTTGATGTGATGTACTTTAACTTCTGAAGAGGGAACATGTGTTTTGCCCTGTGATTAGGGTGCAGGATCAGTCAGCAAGTGGGATTAAGTATCTTGCTCAAGGGCAGGTGAGTTGAAAGCTAGAGATTCTGCTAAAAAGATGATGATCTTACTAACTATTAACTGAAGTACTCTTACAATAATACAATATAGCTCTAGATCAATCAGTCATGTCAAGTTCTGCCTTTCACCCTTCCATCTTATAGTTGATTGGCGTCAAAGAGCCAGTGTTAACACAGATTTAGCTAGCTGGTTGACTTAGTTATATCAGCAGTTTTGTGATTCCTCAGAGAAAGAGACACAACTCAAAAACATAGTCATTATCTGTTGTTGCTATGGCCAAAAGGAGTTAGCTAACACTGTCTCTTTGATATTGAGGAAAAATCCAAACTAGCCCAGTCTATCTAACATTAGTTCGATGGCTAGGTAAGTATTGTATAGTCTTGTTAAACTAAATAAAAGGAGAGGTTTGATTACTGTGTCTGTGTGCCTTGTTTTTTTTACAGCCTCTAGTTGGCTGATTCTGAATTACTTTACTGTCATTGTTGCGACCGATATTAGTTAACACTGGCTCTTGTTAGCTCATAGCGGTTGTTGAGCTTGCTTGCAAAGAGGGGGGTTATTGGGTGAATGGTGACAGAGCGGTGAAAGCAGCAGTGTCATGCAAAGTGACATTATGAACTAAAGTGTCACTGGGAAAATACCATTATAAAATAAAAAAGGCCTTTTGAAAAGGGGAATTTTGAAATATTGTTCCTTTATATATTTCACTCAAGTTATTCATTGGATTATTTATTTCAGTGTTTTTATACTGAACCCTTTGGGGCATCACCCAAAAGCAGATCTTATGAATCAATGAGATATGTGATCATAAATTAATCTAATTCTTTTATTATCTGAACAAAGTCCCATTATATCAGTTGTAGACAAGGCAACACCACCACAATTTGAGCAACAAAAAAATCAATACAAATATTTCACTGAACTACAGTACCAGTACTTCAGTGTGATTATTGTAGTATTTGTATTTTCTCCCTGAGCAGAGGGTGGCAGCATGTTATCAGTTGGATGGCAATTTGTGTTATTTGTGTGTTATGTTTATAAGTCCCATCCCCACAACTGTAAGAACTATCATATGAGGGCCTTCGAGACAGGCTTGTTACAGGATCTGTTTATGCTGTTTTTTGTATTAAAACAGGCTGTACCTTCTTTAACCAAGAGAACACTTATATTTATTTATTTATTCAAGCTTGTTTAGTGGGATATGTATGTTCTCTGCAATTATATTTTGATTAGTTTAAGGTGAAACAAGGATATGTGTTGTACAGAGACAGCTCTAACAGCATGTGACAAAACTTCTTAAAGCTGCATACTTTTTCACCACAACTTTTATAAGACAACATTATCTAACGCATGAAGCCATTTAATGAAGTGAGAAAAACTACCTTTATATTTGACTTATACCTTAATAAATATATTTGTGTACAAGTGAGTGATATTGTCTAGTGTGAGAGTTTCATTATATTGTCTATTTCTTTGATGGTAATTGTTAACTTATGTAATTTCATTATTTATTGCTAAACTATAAGTATAAAAATGAATATAATATTATCCATGTGGTTGCTTATCACATGATTTGTTTCTTCTACATTGTAATTATAATGTGATTAGTCATGCCTGTCGGCGCAGAAACAAACCACATTACTGTCTCTTCATTATGTCCTAAGTGGGCCTAGACCTCAGCTTTGATGTGCAATACACCTTTTTCATTTTAGTCCATCAACCATATTAAGTGTTAAGGCTCACAGTGCGTTCTCATTGTCACTTTAAAGGGAATAAATCCAATGTGACATAAATGAAGCAGTGGTAACTGTAACTAATACATCAAAGATATAAGGCTTCCTAGCTCACAATCACAGAAGATGGACTTTTACATCAGACATACTTGTACATTTATAATAAGATTAATACAGTCAATCACTTGAGATGAAATTCTATAATTTTTGTTCTTTTTTAACCAGAATACGCTGTCAACGGAGAGTCCTCCTCTCTTTTTCTCTCCACGCCTTATCTCCTCCAAGTAATTCCCTGTCAGGAAATCAGTGATTGTGACTGAAGAAGAATGAACAAGACAGATGAACAGTAGTGATTCAAAGTTTTAGGAAGGATTTGATGGTGCTGTGCTGAGTCATTGTACTGCTTTCTTGTGGTGGTAAGTGGAACTGAATAACTATGCTGCTCTTAGAAGTTGCATGGGTAGAGAAACTGAGCCACTGTCTCAGGTTTGATCTCTACAACAGCTGATCTTATGTTTTAAACGTATAATGTTGACAAAAGAAATCTGCTGATGTAGTGATGTTCACGCCTTAAAAGGTTACCTGCACACAAACACTGATACCTCTTAGTCTTATGAAGGCACTGCAGCAGAAGTCACTCAGAGAAGAGATGTCTGTATTTCAGATTTTACTGCGAGTGTAAATGTTTTGAAGCCCAAAGCTGCATTACATTTTTTAAACAGTTATTGCCTTGTTGTTAATTTGGATGACCATGTTGTTCACAGGTACTAATAGAACTAATATTGATCAGTGTTAGCAGAATCTTCATTCAGTGCATCTAGACTTATTAGCCTGACTAAAGAGTCAGTAGCTCATTTTAAATTGATAATTAGGACTATATGACTGAACATATTGATACACTGAATCACTATAGTATCTAAGAAAACTATTTTCTATCATGTTTATATATGCTAATCGTAAGTCAAGATAATAAATCTGGATAGACTTCCTGAGGGTTCTGCTGGCACTGCTGGCATTTTGTCAGTTTGAAGTTTTATTGAATGACTGAAAGCAGAGCAACTAAGAGTTGTGTTTCATTGTGGAAGACTGTTTTGATTTCTTTAATGAAAGGTTGAAGTGAGGGTTTATATGATTTCAGTGAGATGCATAGTGAGATGGACAAAATAACAGAAATGCTTGACAAGGCATTCCAGTGCAATACTCAAGCAACAAATACTACGAGCCTAGTACTCTTGTGAGGCATTTTTAAAACTGCCATGCTGTTGTGATTTAAATTTTATCTTGTGCGGTGGTTTTGTTTTCACTGTGTAATGTCTCTTTGAGTGGGGTGTGAATTGGAGGGGTTGTGTCTGGGTGGGGACAAACTCCAAAATAAAGATCACGTGTAAGCTTCAGTTTTTTTTGCTGGAGAGAAACACCGCCCTCCTGCGGAGCACGGCAGTATGGCAAAAATAACAACACTTTAGGACTAAACCATTCACGTGACAACGAGGTGATGCGATCACAGCCTACTTAAAAAAAACTGGTGGAACATCACTAATGCCTTAATGTTCTTGCATAAATACCATCGTTATTTTACCAAACACAGATGATAACGTGTTTCCTTGTCCCAGACATTTTTGTAATAGTATATTAGGATTGTTTTGTTCCCCGTGCATTGAAAAGGGGTGGTGCAGTCCAATAGTATTGAAGGCAAAGCTGAAAAACGGTTTGTTTTCACCGAGAGGAAGAAGCGCTGCTGGTAATCTCCGCCGCAGCGCCGATTTTAAAACGCGGTCGTAAGGTTTATTTTATTCCTGCTTGGTTTTCTGACAGTTTTCTTCGCTCGCCATGGCTCTGTGCGGGGGTGTCGGAGCCATGGCTTTGCCCAGCGAGCTTATCGTGCACATATTCTCCTTTCTGTCCGACCGAGACAAGCTCCGGGCCTCGGCCGTGTGTTCGCGATGGAGGGAGTGTCTCTTCTACCCCGCGCTGTGGACCGAGCTCAAACTGCGAATAGGTGGTGGTTGTAACGGCGGCGGCTCCAGCTCCGAGGAGACGCCGAGACTGGAGTTCCTCATGCGGAAGTTCGGCTCTTTCGTCCGTGAGCTGCAGCTGGAACTCGCACCGGTGGAAGGCTACCTTAGTCCCCTGAACAACGACCCGTCGTCCACCAGGATGGACCAGCCTCCCGGTCCCGATAACGACCCGCAGCTCTCCGAGCGATGGAGAGACGCCATGGCTACCTACTTGGACCAGGTGTTGTGTGTGTTCACCAGCATCCGCAATAACAGGTAACGTACCGTTAAATTCGCTCCAAAATACGTTTGAGTATTTGTTTTTATTCATATTCAGGAATTCACACGACAGTCTCTCGTTTGTGGGAATGCCAGAGTATTTTGTGCGTCGCAGCAAGCTAGCAGCTAGCTAGCTTAGTTAGCTATAAACAAACCCTGACATTTAGAGTTACGTAATCGGGTCATGTGTTTGCGGCGGAGCGTTACCTTTAAATCTCTGAAGACGTTGATGATATAACGGTGTTTGAGTGCTTTGTTTTACATTTCCAGTCATCAAATAATAATGTATGCTTCGCTGTCACTGCCAAGTCAAACGCACGCCTGCGTTTCTTTTGTTGGCAGGTCTTTTTTTCTATGTTACAGTGGGGTCTTCATACCAGCAGATACAATGCAGCACTGGTGGTGGCCACAGAAGGCTTTGTTGGCTGTGACTTGCTGATATCAGCACTGACACACACACACACACATCCACTATATATATATATATATATATATATATATATATATATATATATATATATATATATATATATATATATATATATATATATATATGCTTTGGTTTGTCGTTGCATACTGTAGGATGTGCTGCATACATGAAATATGGCCACTTTTTCTGTGGTGGAAGTTCCTATTCTGGAAAGCTTTACTTTGAATGTTAAAATTCCTGATTTTAGTGCATAACCTTACCTTCTCCCACATTCTCTATTGTAGGCTACAGTGCTTTGTAGTATTGAAATGGCATGCATCCAAAGCTGTGCGGTTCTTGTCTTAGCTCTGCTCAGGGGGCTGAAACTTTTTCTGTTGTCTGACTTTTTCTCATTGAGCAGTTTCCAGCATTTTCTGTTCAGAAACTTACTGACGAAGCTAACCGGTCTCCCAGTTCCGTGCTGCGCATAATTCTAACATAACAATGTTAGACATGTGACAAAGGTACATCCATGTGGTGTTAGTGGTAAATACTGTGCCACCAGGAAGCTATCACCAGCTCATAATTAGGAAATGTAACACGTTGATGCATGACTTGTATTATTTCCTGTCAGTTCAAAACCTTAAAGTGTGCCAATTTCTTACATAAAAAGTATGCCATGAAGGGTTGGTGTTTAGATTTAGTACAGACTGTTGGGTAGCATGTTGTAGTATGGAACCTGGATTCAGATCTAGTCTGTACTGGAACAGGAATTGTTGCAGGCCCCGTTCAGTTTCTCAGTTCCAGACTGCAATAAGTAAATCACCAATAAATTTTAAAAAGTCGGATTTGCAAGTGAGTATTTTTAGCATGTCTAAAAGCAGTTCTGAAATATACCATATTTTAGCGAATTATGTTATTCGTTATTTCGCTGCTAATCACCATTTTTATCACTTCAAACCAGTTGCCCACTCAAGACAAATGCCAGCTGCCATTTCTAACTTTAGCTCTTACATTATCAAAGAGACAGTTTTTCCTTCAGCTAACATTCAGCAAACTCCCCTGGTACATGTTCAAAATAATGAGAATAGGTAACTCATTGTTCCTATAATAGCAGTTTCGCACACTTAAGTAGCTGCACATGAGACTGCTGTTGGTTTCGCTGCAGAGGTATTTTGTGAAGCCTAGCACTCAGCTGATTTACAGGAACTGAGCTTCATGAAACATAATGCACACCGGACCGAGTAGGTAGGCATATTTGATGTGTGGCTGCATGTCGCACATGTGGTTGATAATCCTTTCCCACAACTTGCATTGGTGATTATTGTCAAAAGAGATGTAGACAGTCTGGTTGGAAGAATGTCATTTGGTGCATTGTGACCTCTATGCTTACGGTTGCTGCTTTTCAAAGCATTTTGGCACATAGACTGCTACTTGATTGTTGCCCAGAACAAGACAGGTACCAGGATTTATATAAAGGGCTCCAGACAGCAGTGAAGCAAAGTGCATGGCAGCCATAATTCTGTCATGATAGGAGGGGGGCCCAGCAATATACAGAACCAGGGCTAGACAAGATGCACAAAATGGCTACATTTTGTAGAGGCGACCCCATTCTGAATTTGGTTGTATTGGAAATGGTTAAACTCAGCCCTTATTCTAGCCACTGTTGCTTCTTTTGAAAACTCATGTGATAGAACCAGATACACCATCAAATGATGACAAAGCAAACTGATGATATTTTGAGATTATTTTAGTTTTCCCATTGTTCATTTAAAAGTACATAGCTTGCTAAAACCAGTCTTGTTGGACGCAAAACTTTCACACATTAGTTTTGTATTTGCTGATGTCCACACAGTGCAACTCACTAAGGTTCAAACGGGATTTGACCACAAGAGAGGAACAACCCATCTTTATTTTAATGTATTTTGAATAGATTGCTAACATAGTAACTGTGCACAGTTACCTGTCCTGTCAGCTCAAGGTATAGTGCTTGTTAGCATAGAAAATCTAGTATTCAAGACCTTTTTTTTTTGTTTGTTTCTTTTCTGTATTTCTTTCTGTTTCTCTCTCTGTCTCTGTCTCTGTGTCTCTCTCTCTAGAAACCTGCAGAAGCTGAGTCTGTATGGAGACACTTGTGTTCTCCAGCAAGAAGGACTATTGGACAGCTCCAACCTGCATCAAATTCACCAGGGGGACAAAAAGGTCAACGAGTAAGCCTGAGTATAGCAACACACAAGTCACTTTCTGTTGAATGTCAGCAATGGTTACATTCAGGATTTGTTTCTATCCATAGAGAGGTTACTTGCAATGTAAACAAATGTGCTTTACATAGGACTGCAACATGGTATCGTATTGGTAATTGGTTGATGGAAGAGCATGAATGGACAAAATAATATTTGTTGTCTCTTTGATATTCAGTGGATGTTTGTGTGGGTGTGGGAGAGTATTCTTTACAAAACAGCACTGTTGGCACCCTTGTTTGGAATTGGAAACGGTGCACATTGCGTGGTATTTCAGAATGATACTTTATTTACAAAATGGATAGATGTTCATACTGTTTGTAATCATACAGCGTCACCACAGCACACAACATTTCTATTTAAAACACACCCACTGTGTGTGGCTGGGGCAGCTTTCTGCCAACAAATGCTTGGTATTATGTAATCTAGACTGCTAAGGTGCAGTAGACTATGTAGATCGCAGTCTCTGAAGAGGGATTGTTTATAGAGTGAGAATTGCAAAAGATGATGTAAATTGTCCCTAATGGGACGTTTTTAGACTCTGTGGAAGAAGTTATTTTCATGGCAGCACTCAGGGTAATCTCAGCATCGGCTTGGGGACATTGGGCTTTTTTAAATTAAAATTCCACTTCCATAATGTTGTGCTACACATGTCAGGATACACAATTTGAGGACCCATTTCAACATACATTGACTGTCGAACAGATCATTGGCAATTTTGATGGCGTTTCCTTTTGGTATCGCAGTACTTCTCATTCATAGCAATCACTGTGGGTTTGTTTTGCAACTCCGTGGTAATGAGGTGGGTGGCATCACGTGAAAATGTGATGTAAGTGCATTCCTTCTATGTTCTGCTTTATAGGACAGGTCTGGAAGATTCAGCACAGTCCAGAGTGTTTTCATGAACCTCAAATTTGCCAAATAAAGCCAAATGGGTTCAAATGAAATTTGCCCATGTGTTGGGTCTGAATTGAATGATCTAAATTCAAGGTCACATCAGAGTTTAATAGAGTGAATGCTCAAATATTAAATATTCTCAATGTAGAAACCTCTACACATCTGTCTTCACAAAGTGTGTCCTGTTCTTGATCCTGGTTTTCTTTCTTCACTCATAAGGTTTATTTTCGGGATAAAATTTTGATTTGAGCTGGTATAAACGGCTCTCATAGTGTCTTAAATGTAACTGGCAGGAAGCTGTAGTCATGCCGGTAAAGTGAATGGAAGTTAATTCTCTCCCTCCCTCTCTTCATTACCCTTCCCCTGTGTTCTTTGCAGAATCCAGCAGTTGTTCATGGAGATGTTGTCTAACAGCAGGCAGCTGAGGTGGTTGTCTTGTAGCTTCATGCTGGGTCTGGTGACTCCCTGCTCTTTAGCCTGCCTGTCAAATCCTTCAGCGGAGACCCTGCAGCACCTCAGTTTACTGGACCACCAGCTGGGTATGTGTGGGCGTGTTTCTGGCTCCGTTTGTCTGTAACTGTGTAAATGCAGTTACAGCTTCAGTTAAAAAACAGTTGGTGTATATCTTATAATTCACAACACCTCTTCTGAATTTCCTCAGGTCCCCTTATCTCACCATCAGAGTTGGATCGTCTATCTAATCTTCATTCTCTGGCTCTGGATTTCTCTGATTTGACATCTGAGCTTTGTGGACTGCTGGCATCTCCACGCCGAACTCCACTGCATCGCCTCTCGCTGCTGCTCAATGGCGCTGCCCTGGAGTTCAAACCATTAGAAGGGACGGCCACAGAGGACGATTGGAAGGCACTGGTAATGCAGCAACTGTCTTTGTATCTCAGTCTTATAGGCCCCCCCGCAAGGAAAAAACGATTCAAGGCCAGCCTCTTCTGAGTTTGCATTCCAGAATATAATTAATTCAGATTTACCTCTATTTCTAGTAGCTTAGGTTATTTCTTATTTAACAAAGTTCTCTCCCCCCGCCCCCACACACACATCTCTGCTGCAAACACACAGTTGTGTGCCCTGCCTCTTTTTGTCTCTCTCCCTGTATGTGTCTGTTGACATGTTGACATTCTCCTTCAGCAGTGGGCTCTGTTTTATAAAGTTGCTGAAATGACTCGCAATTTCCACCCGCGATTTCGCACGCTGCATGTGGAGGGTGCATTTTAATGATGAAGCCTATGGAAATCGAAACCAATGTGGTACCGAGTGACATCTGCACTGGTGTGTTCACTGTTATTTACCTGGTGTTTGTAAATTTGCCTGTCCACCGTGTCCGCGCCTTATAACGTAATAGACAGCATCTCTTTCTGTGTTTCTCTGCAAAATGCAAAAGTGGACCTCCAAATATTCCCGCCCGGTTAAGTTAAGTTTGTGTGGGAAATGGAATTAAAGGCCTGTCCCATATAGACGCTTTTACTGTAAATAAAGGCATTAGTCTTTTTGCATTCCAAACCTGTAAAATTCAGTTCCAATCCAGTTAGGTCTTAAAAAATAAATAAAAATAGTAACTGGTGTTAGTAAGTAAATGCACACATAGACAGGGACTCTATTCTTTTATAGTTGTATTGTGTTTATTTATGGCGCGACTTCATAACTTGTAGTTCAAACACAATTAGGCTAGTTGATATTCTATTAATGAATGATGCCTGCAAAAAGCCAGCATATTCCGGCTAATTTAAACCCTGAGCCTCTTGTTATATTTGTTGAGAAGTTGTGAATCTTTGCTGAAATGGCCTATGCCAACGAAACAACCGTTACATAGCCACTTTTTGTCTCAGCACTGCTGCCTCCAGTTTGAGTAAGTGTAAGTCTCCCTGTGTACATCACTCAAGTTTTACCTGATCCTCCCCAGATTCGTGTGAGTGCCAATCTGCGAGTGTACATCATGGCCCTGGAAGTCGACAGCTCAGAGCTCCTCAGGGTCCTAAAGCCTAGCCTTCCTCTGGAGCGCCTCCACCTCGACAGTTACAGCACACTGGTGACAGACGCCACATTGGAGCTCATCTCTCAGCAGTATAACAAAACGCTGACTCACTTTCTTCTCCTGAGGGACGATCCCGATTTCCCAGACCTCAGCGTGAATCGGAACGAAGACCCATTGGTCCTTTTGGTATGGAGATGTACTCAGCTGGCTGTACTCGTGATACATGGTGAGTTCAGCTTGCTGTTTTGAGGATATACACAGTAAGGTGACTTCAGGTTCATTCTGGTCTCTGACAGGCCAACCTTATGATGGCATATACTAGTGGTTGTAGTGGTTACATATAGTGTATCAATTGATTCAGGCTGGTTCGAGTGAGTTTTGTTTTTTTTAACTTTCAAGAATTGAGGTGCTAATTTTCAGCGGACTCATTCATTGTACTTGTAAGTTAAGATAATGAGGCCTACTGTAGTTTTTCCAAAGCCTTGGATGACTATGGACAGCCACTATCATGTTAAGCTGAACACTTAACAATTGTTTCTTTTGCATCCACATGACTCTGTTAGAACAAAATAATGGGGAAAGCTACAGCATAGTAGTATGCGCTAGCAGCTAATATTTAGGCTACAGATTAATATTTGGCGCACCGTGCAGCCACCATCTCATCCCAGGATGTCCGAGACTGACACTTTGTCAGGCTTTCTCAAAGCGTCTGTATCTGACGCCGTGTTGGTGCAGTGGGATCCAGTTGTGAAGGCTACCCCGTGCTGACACTGAACTGACAGAGAGCAGTGTCTGTTGTGTTAAAGCTAATATGTTTTATAATAAATAGCTACACACAGTATATCATGCTTAAAAACTCCTCCTGCTTTCTTCCTTAATATAAATATTCAAACTAACTGTGTAGGAGCAGTCTGCATTTTACTAGACCAAATTATGCACACACAAAAAAGACAAACTACTATTTCATGTGGATGTGACTGATGTAATGTTTCAACCACAGATGATCTTCCTCAGGCAAGTGAAGGCACCTGTACTTATTTAATAGGCAGTATATTATGAAACATCACAGCATTATCTCCTAATTTGATTTGGTAGCCAAATCGTAATTTAATATCGGTGACAACAATTTTGTATTTTTAAACAATCGTTACTTATTGGAGTACTAACAGGCTATAATATTAATGCAAAATCTTGTAATCACACTTGATGGATACACAGTGGGAATATTGTCCTGATCTACCCACCTCTGCTATTTACACATCCAGCTGACACAGCAACATTAGCATTCATGTGGAGTTGTGTTACTTGCCACCTGATGTTCACTATTCTTTTGCTCTCCACCAACTCCTGAGGAAAAATATTTGTCTCATTAACTGCTAAATACAGGGTGTCGGTGGGGTCTTAAAAAGTCTTAAAAGGTAATGTATCAGTTTTGCGAAAATTAAGGCCATTAAAAAGTATTTATTTATTTAGCCATTTAACAAGGTATTAAATTTTGAAGATAATAATAAAATCCTGTTTGTTTGCTGAAAGTGTAGGTGAACGTATTTATTTATAAGGCATAGCCAAAAATATTAGACAGGCAGTGAGTAGCGACTGTGATTCGTTTCTGTAACGTTAGGCGCAGGGATCTACCGTGCGCTTATTTCACTCTTAAACGCTCCAAAAAATAGATCCATGCGAACCAGAAAATGATTTACGAGTACAACCGACCGTAATCTCCCACCCCGCCGGACCCTCAATGTTAATCGTCCAAAACATAGTCGGAGTGGCGATCAGTAGTATTTAGGATTAACCCGGTTGGCCGGTCGCTCTGTGGCCACTTTGAACAGCCCCGTTCCTGAAAAACAAGAGCGAGATGCGCCGCAAGAAGCAGAATCGGTAAGACAGGGAAAAATCCAAGGAGCGTGTGGGTTTGGCTAATGTTAGCCGGCTATTTAGCTAAATCTCTGCTTTTTTTTTTTTTTTTATTGAAACAAATTCAACTTTTCATAAAGCTGATGCTCTCCTCAGTGTCACTTTTTGTGAACAGATCAATCACAGCCTGGATGGAGCGGGATTAAAAAAAAGCTTGATGTGCTGCAACAAACTTTATAAATGTTGAACTCAGTGTTCTGCATAAACAGTTAATGAATAAAAAACAACCCCAAACTGAAGCAGCTGTAATTTGAATTAATATTATACTAGTGGTAAGTTATATACTATTATATGAAATTATATTGAATATAGTAGCATAATGAATACATTAATATCAAACTTTTAGTTTACTATTAAATTAACAATATACTTTCAATTGAATGTTATACTAATACAGTCATTTAGACTAGTTCCTCCTCCAGGTTGGGTCTGTGCTACACCGGCTAGACTACTTACGTTATTCATCACTCCGTTTATTCTCTTCATCTTTGTTCCCTCCTGGCCTATTTGAATTTTGTTGTATTGATCAACTGGATGGTGAAAGTTATCACAAATTGCAGGCAAGATCACATTATCTAGTTTAAACCAACTAAAACACAAAATTACACTGTTTCACATGACTTGCTGTAATTTTGCGCACATAAACGTCATAGCCTATGTAAGACAGTTACTTTTCGCAGGAAATCTGACCAGTCCTTCACATAGAGAACAGTTGGCCCATACAGGCTGTTCTAGGCAACTCAGAGAGTTGGTGAATGCCTCAATTTTTAGGTGGCGTTACAACCTGATGACATATAGGCAATAAATATACGTAAATTCCTTTTAAAACCTCAAATGTGTGGCTGATTTAATCGGTTACAGCTCAAAGTGGCACGGCCGTCTTAAAATATGTTGGAAAAAGTCTTGAAAAGGTCTTAAAAAGGTATTGAATTTTACTTCAGGATTCCTGTATATACCCTGAAATAATATGTTCTAACTTTGTCTGTCAGGTGTTTGATGATGTGCATGCAGCGCACAGTGGGTTTATCTTTGCTGAAAACCACTTCCTGCTATATTTGGAGCTGATTAGAGTGGTGAGAGTGAATCAAATGGTAAAAGTAGCTTGCAGCAAAAAAACAAAACCGTGAGCTGAAAGAAGCTAAAACTCTTACGCTCAGTAGGGTGGTTATAATCTGTTGGTTCATCAATATGAGAGACATCTTTTAACATTTCATTTCATTCATGGTTTATGTGAAAGGATTGATAAAAGCAGCTTTAAGGCTTGCTTGATATCTGTGGGATAGCAGTTTCCTGTATAAGAAGCAAAATCTCAAACATGAAGAGCTTACTTTCAATAGCATGTTTTGTATGAGTGTAAAGCTGTTGCATAGTGATTATTTATCCATAATATTGGCTAGATTGATCAAATCTCCTTGAACTCATCTCTCTCCGTAGGTTACACTGTATGGTCCCATAACTTGGTGGCCATCTCTCGGCTGCGAGGCTCTAGTCTTCGCATCCTGACCGTCTCTGAGGAGAGCATCGACTTTGATCCAGACCAGTCTGTGTGCATGGAGGGCGACCCGGTACATAACCTGGTAAAGGAGGTTTCACTGGGCCTCGGCCGTGTCTGGCACCCTTGCCTGGATTCCAGCCTGGTTTTGTCCGAACCCACCCAGCACTTCCACCGCGAAATGCACGCCTTCAGTATGGGCATGTAGGCAGGGATGGCAAATCTAACACATCACATCCTAAACTGTGTCAAGACCAGGCCAGACCAACAAAGTCCACATTAGCTCAGACCTCTGAACCAGGCCCAAAGCAGACCATAGTGAGAAATCTAAACTGGATCTTAATACAATCTGAAAATTACATTTATGTGAGCTGATTGTTTTTATTTTACTTTTATTTTTTGTGTTTGTTTCACAGGGGTTTTAGCACGCAATCAAGTCCAAATCATTTTCCAAATGATTCCCTGTTTTCTTGCTTTGCCTCTCGATTAACCAGTGACTTGGAAAAACAAATGAAATCTTTGATGTTTTAAATACATTTCAAATTAAAAATCTCAATTAAAACAGCAATATTCTAATTAAAATTTCATTTTCGTTCAGTTTGAAGTCAAACATATCTGTGATGTTTGACCACAGACGAGACTTGAGTCATGACCATTTTTAATTTGTCTGCTAAAATGGAGCCATTCTGGTGCCCCCGTGTCTGGCATTGCCCACTCTGGTCTGGTCTTGATCAACAAGTATTCAGAGCTCAGTGTCTCTCCTTCACCATAATAACCTCCAGAGCCTGTGTATGATGTAACTTTGATTTGTTTTTTTTCTTTTTCATTTGACTGGTTTTCATCTCTCCCTGCTCGGTGTATAATCTTGTTTTTCCTGTGTGGTGGTCCCCTTGCCTGTATAGGCTTTGTGTGTATTTAAATACAGATATATTATTATCCTGCTCACAGCTAGAACAGAACAGGACAGGCAGGCGGGTTGAGTGATGGGCCAGTGGGATTGGGGGGGGGGAGTGTGTTCCTACACAAACTACTAGCTTTAGTTGTGAAGTTTTTGTCTTTGTTTTTTTTAAACCTTTGCTCTGTGTTGGTCTGTCTGTCTGCTCCACTCACAGAAGTTGGAGTTTGTAACTACCCGATCAATCACTTCCTGGGTAACACAACCATAGCTGCTTCTGTTGCTCTGAAGGAGCACCTTGTGCACTTGTCCACTAGTTCGAGAGCCTTGCCAGCAGGGTGGGAATCTTTACTGTAATGTAGCTGGCTGTGGCTGCTGCTAATCAGTTTTAATATTGTTTTCAGCAACAGCCATGTCAGTGCTATGACTCAGATTTACGATCACTGTAAAGTGAGTGGCATTTCAAAGCCAAATGGTTTTACTAAGGATTTTGAGCACCTTACTGATGGCGTTATGGAGAATATTGTTACATGCTTGCAGCCAGCTCACTTCCCACCCTGCTCACTTGTCGACTTTTTGGGAAACCTCACTAGTCGATTAAATAGGGAGCCTTGTCTTCCTACTGACATTCAGAGCCAAACTATAAAATTCAGCCCGTCACAATACAACACACCCATACTCTGTTCTGTTTTGATCTTTAGTGAGCTGGTTGTAAATCTTCGCATCTGTTTTATTTTACTTTTATTTTTTTTCCTATATTCAGGATGAATATAGCTGCCTTTGCTCTCCTATAGAGGTCAAGACGTCCTGACTAGAATCACTGGTTCCAGAGCCCTTTTGTATTAATATGTCAAGTCATCGAGTCAAAGAAAAGAACAGGAGTGTGCATCATAATATGAAGGGCTCTGAGATTAAAATAATTCAGCATTATTCTTAAGAGAAAATAGGTGTTCATTCCATAATGTCTTATGTATGTCTGTTTTGAGAAATCTCTTGACTGCTACCATATTTGTGGTGAAGCCATGCTGAAACAAAACCAGTATTCTGTAGGCACAGCTTTCTCAGGTGGCAAATTAACAAACCCAAGTTTTGCAGTCATGCCAGGAAATTGGTAGGTGGAATTTTTGTAGAGTAAAACATTTCACCATAAAGAACAGACAAAAGAAAAGGATGCACTGAATGTAACTTAACTCTCATTCCTCCATTCTGTTGGCCAGTCAGGTTTTTGTTTTATATCGATGGCTTACTGTATAGCTATATTTGCCACAGAAATTTGGCAGGTGCCACATCAGTCACAGCTGCTGAATAAATGCGTTTGGACACGAAAGGTTCCACTGACAGCCAAGACTGGTTGTTGTTGTTTTGTTTGTTTTGTTTTTTTGAGTAGTGGCACCTACAGCACAACAAAGTTTTTGAGTCATGCGGGGTAATACTGTGGCAAAAATGTTGTCAGTCTCAGGTAGGCTTAACATCAATATGACCACAACAGTGTTGTTTGTGATGATGTCGTGCAAGGTGTGTGAAACAATCAGTATGAGATATTGTTGTTTTTTGTTTTATTTCCTCGAGTCACAGTTGCCTTGGAAATGGCCCCTTGTTTTCTGGATACAGTTGTTGTTGTTAATGATGTTTATCTTGCCATCTGATAAACCCTCGCTCCACCTTGGTTGCGGGGTCAGCAAACCTAATCATACATTTGTTTTCAAAGATTAAGGTTGGTAAAGACTAAAGAATGGCAAAACCAGTGTGCTCGTTGCACATGTTTAATATCTCCAGTGGAAGTTGCGAGGGACAGAAGTGGCTGGGAGTGGAAGAAAATCCATGCTGTCGGTAGAGGACCTGCTGGGCCCAATTAATGTCTGAACTGAATGTAGTCAATTTTCTTGGCTTAAATGACTTCTGTCTGGCACAGTGGATCTTGTCTGGCTGTGCAACTGGCTTGGGTGGGTGAAGGCATGACTTTGAATCATAGTCGCTTTTATTCTCTATAATTACTGAGTAATGCCTTTGCAATGAAACAAATGTTGTTCAGGCTCTGTGAAAGTACAAGCGTGCCATGTGCAGGGCTGATGCCAGGCATTGTCAACCAAATATCTTCATCACGAGAGGTCGATAACTGGGCCAAGTACGGTTACATCTGATGCTTTAGTGTTGTGTCTGCTGAGGGGGACAGCTGTAGTACACAGGTGTCTTAATGAGGCGTTTCCTGAGCGGTCGGGAGTTTTACCATGAAAATCGAAGTCCGTTTAGGCTGTAGAGCACCTAACATTCATAAGTGAATGCTGTCAACTAGCCATTGTTTGGAAAGTTAGCCTTCCAAATGGCTTCAGCTCAGTTGTTGTTGTGCACACCATGGCACTCTTGAGGACGGGGCAATGGCATTGCATACTGTGGAGGTCCATATCAAGGTATGTAGTTTACAAGATTGCCCTGAGATTTTTTTCCACGGACGGATATGGAACCAGAGTTGTACAATATGCCAGCACTTTGCTTGGTTCAGAATGAATTGATCCTAGAGGTGGGCCTGTGGTTACCAAATGTTTGCTCATCTGTTAAGGGACCTTGATGGTTTAGCCATAATATTCACTCTAGTCCTTGGTCTATATATATCTCAGGATAAATGCACTTTGGTACCAAGAGTTTCTTTTAAAGGCTGTCTGGGGCTGTATATAGAGCTGTACACTCAAACACTCAGAGGGGAGAGCAGGACCAACATTATACATTCGGACCAAAATATGTAAGGTTTTTATCTTATCTTCCTCCTCCCTTCCTCCTAATTTTTCCTCTCATCTCCTTTTTTTTAGAGCTCAACTTTGCTCCTTTTTTGTGAGATTCCATGTGTTATGGGTTTGTATTGTGTATAGACATCCTCTGATAAGGACGGGAAAATCTCAGCAATCTACTAGAATGTAATATCAAACTAGATAGCAATCTGAGCTAATAGATTTGTTTTTTTGTTTGTTTTTTTTTTTTTTACAAACACAAACTGATTTTAAAAAGCAGATTTTACAAACCACCCTCACCCACCATGTGTGCTTCCGTTTCCTGTCTTCTCAAGTCCCCACATGTTATTGGCGCCACACTAGAATTGAGATCTCACTGTTTGGCCACTTTCAACTTAGCCCCTGTGTTTCTGCTCAGAATACACTATGGTCAGTTAGAACAGAATAAAATTTCCATTTAACTATAATTTTCCCATTTGGGAAATGTATAAAAAGTGCTGTTCTTATCATAAATTTCACACTCATGGACACGGACAAATTCTTCATCAAATTTTTTTTTTTTTTTCCAAATATTTGTGATCTAGAAATATTTAGGAACATTAAGACCATAAAACTGCAGAGAGAAATAGGAAAGATGATGTAGACAATTTGCATGAGCAGAAATGCATTGCAAATCAATATCCTCTTTCTTATTGGTTCTGTATTGTTTTTTTGTTTTTTTTGTTGTTGTTGTTGTTCCTTCACCAAAACACATCAATGTTTTTGGAGTGAAGATGGTGTGGAAAGAGCTCTGTGTTGTCCTTGCAAGGAGAGAAGAGGTGAGACAAACGGCCAGTAAGGCAATGCTGATAGGCAAATTACTTTCCGATAGAGTTTGACAAAATAGACAAATGTGGTCACAGTATGGCATAGCATTTAGAAAACTACTATTGGCGGGGTAATGACTTGTCCCTGATTCCTGTGTATCATCGTCCAGTGTTGAGCCATCTTGTGCCTGAAAGCTTCTGGAGTCTTACTGCTGTTCAAACCTCTGCTCTCCTTAAATTATTAGCTTTGTGTTGTTTTGTAGTAGTTGCTGTAATTGTAATTTCAGTGGTTAGGGAAGCAGCGTTGGAAACTACAGTAGCTAGGGTTTCAGAAAGTGTTTCTGCACACGGGTTTTAATTTCTCTTGGAGCGCGCCTGTGTTTTTCATGTAAGCTTTCAAAGGTGTATCCAATAGAAATGTGAGAAAAAGATGGTATGAATGTGTGTGAACAAGTTGTCAGCGTTGCGGCCGTCATGTTTTCTGTGTGTGTGTATATTTAAGGGGGGGGTGGGGGGCTTGCTCTTGTTGGACAGTGTAGTCTTATCACTCCTACTGCAGCAGGAAACAGGTGCAGTAATCATTCGTTCTCAGGGTACAATCAGAGGGAAAGTTACAATAGCTCAGGCCTCTAACTCACTCATGAGTATTAGAAATCACTGGATCTGTTCTCCTCCCTTGATGTGTTTAAAGCTGCCAAAGACCACAGTGGAACAAACTAAACCAAGACACATGTCTATCTGAAGTGCCCATGTACACACACACACTGGCAGGAAGCTGATCCAGTGTTCTGTACTACTCTACACCTCCTAGTACTTTCTATCCTGACATGTCTTTTCTTTTTTCCCCCCTTACTCTTAGTGGTTCCACTCCACTGTTGGTTTCTTCCACTGAACTCTGACTACTACCACTCTGTTTTTATGTGTCCAAACTCTGCCTTTGTCATACTATGGACCATACTGTGCTGGACCGTTGTGTGGTTTGCATGAAAAGAGACCAAAGCTGATCTGTAAGTAAGTTTGGCCAATGTTGTGATAGTGGCTGCAACCTATGTTCAGAGATGTAGGATTTCACACTAGCTGTATGGTATGTGTGTTATTTGAACTTGTACAATGTGGCCAAATTCCTACCTGTGAACGACACTCAGGGTCCACACTGCTGAGGTATCGTACAGCAAAGCAAGGACTTTCTAGTCCAGTGCAGTATACTTCTGTAGTGCGACAGAGGCTTAAGCAGAGAGGTCTGGAGTTGGACCATGACAACAGTATTTGCTCACCACTGTACCCCCCCTCCTTCTTTTTTTTCCATCACCTGTTTCACTGTGAGGAGTGAGTGAATGTAAAAATAAAGGCGAAGAGGACAAGGAGTTTTGTTCAATATCCGAACATGTCTGGGACTAAACACTCCCTCAGATGCTTCCAGAAGCTACTTTGTGACACACTGTAGCTTCCCAGCTTGGGCAAAGGCTCGTGTTCCTGATCTGATATGATGTATGGGAAGCCCGTGGCCACGGTCAAATTTGATGGGAAGTGTTTAGTCCCGGGCTTTTGGAGCTGTAAAGTGATTTGCTGCTAGACATCTGCAAGGAACAGGACATTCCACATGGGGGTCGCTCAGGCCATCTGACTGGCAAACAGTTTACTACATGGCTGAAGGGTCTACATCAAAATTAGACTATATATTTTTTAACTTTGAATTAGTTGGTCTGTTTGTTCCAAGGGATCTGGGACGCAGCTAGTGTTGACGGGTCACATCAGATTACCAGCTGGTCTGAGCAGTGTTGAGGTGTGATGCCATTTAGAAGTGGTTGTTTAAAGTGAGTTGATCTTTTAAAGGCTGACTGTGTTTCTAATGTGCGTTTCTGCAATGCCAATCTTTGCTTTCACATGATACTTCAGAGGCAATTCTGGTGTCCGGCACACAAAGGATCACACATGAAAGCAACTTGCACTGACTGTGCTAAGTATAAGGATTAGCTACTCTGTTATCGGCCAGGTTAAAGAACATCACAATACAGTGAGTAAGTGGAAGCTAGTCTACATATTTAGTACCGGCATGAATACACACATCACTATGGATACACAGGGGCACCTGAAGTTTGGGCTCAACTTTTTTATACACCACATGCAGAGGTTTGTGTATGACTATACTATACTGTGTATACACAGAGTGATTGACACACAGCTAGCAGAGCCTTATTTTTTTAATGAGTTCAGCCATTAAAATGACAAGTTTGAAGGCTCTAGTGGGGAGATGGGGTGTCAGTTAATCGGGAGACCATTACCCGCAGTTACTGTACATTGATGTGGTTGCGGCCAGTTCAATTTGCCCTTTTGACCTGTTTTTTATTTTTATTTTTGTGCTCTTTATATGCATTCATAGAGAAACCATGAAAGATAACGGGGCCCATGTGGCCTGATGGGCCATTGAATCCACAGAGCTGGCCTCTAATGTAGTCCATCTGAGACAGTTGGCCTTGACAGCTGTTGCGATCGCAGAACTGTAGATATAAAGGGATCTGGATATGTCTGTCTTACCAGGCCCATAAACAAAGAGTTTGATTTGACACTTTTGCTTATACTACTATAATAGCCAATACTAAGATCATTGACATGGACAGAAGTGTCAGCATTTGTTATTTTAGTACCAAAGCGGCAGACTTTGTCAGATCCACATCAGTCTAAATACAAGTTCAGAGCCACAGGCAGACACACATCAGACATGACCAGTTTCATTTCCACTTTGATGATTGCTCAGACTCCATGCCAACTTGAGTTTGTAGTGTTCACTCTCAGGGTGTTTGTAATGTTTTTGGAAATAAGTATATACTTACACTAGCTGTAGAAAAATGGTAAGGTTTCTGAAGGGATTACCATTAAGAGACAGGGTTTCCTCATCACAATGTGAGATTTCAGATGCTTCCTATTTGTGTTTATTTTTAAAATCTAAATGCTAAGACCATAGACTACTATCAGTACATGTAAGACTTTGAATGAGCTCACATAGGGCTGGACTAATGCAGGAATGTGAAGAATCCAATTAACATCCTAATATATGCTTCTGTTACTTGGAGAAAAACACTGGATGTGCATTGCACTGGTATAAAATCAGTCCTGTGTAACAGATATAGATAGATGTGTATAAAGCTTGATTAAAATCTCAGTGAAGTGGAGGTTCACACAGAGCCAGGCCAACAGCAGTTAGCAACACTGAGAGCCTTAGAGGAAGTTAGGATTCTCCAGTTTTCAATTTCAGCCTTAGCTGACACTAAAACATGTTTTCCATCCAGCTTATGATGAGGATCTCAGCATAACGGTCATAAGGGTAGTATCATATACTTGCCACACTGTATTTATAGTTCAGATCAGAAGAGAAGAAACAACAAAATGGCACTGATAGCATTACCTGGCCAAACTCTGTCAGTTGTTCTGGTGCATTCCCTAGAGGTTGGTGTAGCACCTGGCTATATCAAGGAACTGATAGATATTCATGCTCAGTGTCAGCCAACTATCTTCATTTAGATCTCAGCTTCTGTGGCTCTGATGTTTCTGGCTGCTAAACAAAGTCTTTCTTGTCAAGTCTGGAGAGCCAAACCTCCTAATTAGCCAGGCAGGCAGGCCTGCTGCCCAGTCCAGCTTCACAACTATGCAAGAGGAATGCATATAATCCACACTCGTCTCTTTTTGTTTGTGTGGGTTTTATTTGTTTTTTTTTCTTCAGTTTTTATATTTTCTTTTTCTCACTGTCACGCAGTAGAAATGAAGACATAAACTAATAAGATCTTGCAATGACAATACTTGGCCTTATGATGATTTGTGAAATCTTATCATTTTAGTTTTAAGATCTTTTGATTCTGGTCAGCCAGCCTAGCGACAGCAGCGGTGACAGCGGGCTCACTCTTGGTCTCTGTGAGACTGGCTAGACGGCCCCTAGTTTTATCGTGGTACGAATGTTGTGCATTTGTTTAAAATCAGGACAGTTTGCAATAACAGCAGTCTTACTAGTGGCCACAAAGGGGCACAAGCAGTGCTGACAGCGCTCGGCTGCGTCTTTAGAAAACCATTGAGGAAGAAATATAAACTATAGAATAGATATATAAACTCTCACAGTGCATATTTGTATAGGTATCAACAATGCATTACCGTGGTATACTCTTATGCAACACATGTCCGGGTTCAATTTATGAACATGAAGTATATTATAAAATCACACAAGACTTTGTAAATCAGAAGCTATGTTGTTGTGTGTGTTTTGCAAAAATGGTTTTACCCTCCTCAATGTTGAATATTCTGAGCGTTATGTTCCTGTGTGATTGTGTCTGTTAAAGGGAGCACATAGCAGTGGGTTTCACCTTCTTCCTGAAAGCAGGGAACCAGACGGAACCCAAATCACAGCTGGACAAGATTTCTAATAACATGGAGCATACTTTAAGAACATTTCATTTCTTTCTTAAAAATCTGATCGGAGTGTAGTCTGTGTCTTCAAATACATCTGTTGAAGTATTTTGCGAGCTGGTTTATTAACAGCATAGATTGAGACTTGTTTTAACCAGCAGAGAAAAGTTCCTCCTCTAAAATGTCCCCCTGTAGTCCATATGTGAGAGCTTTTGTAATTGAGGACTTGGCTTAATCTGTGTCTGGGAAACCGCTCTTAAGACTGAAATAATATAAAACTTTGATTTGAAACCTTTCCAGCTGTTTTTTTTTTTTTTTGGTTTAGTCTGCAGGGAGCGAGTCCTCCAGCTGAGAGGACAGATTTTACCATAGAGAAAAGTGTTGATCAATGGTTCTGTTGCGTAGAAAAGGGAGGCTTTGTTTTGCAACCTCCATGTGAAACCTCTTAACTGACCGACGGCGTACACTTGAGCGGTCAACCTGCCGAAAGTGTTGGTTTGAATTAATGTTGAATGAATGCTTCTCTTCTTTTAGTCAGTGAATAAAAGCATTAAAAAATCGTTTGCTTCCATTGTCTTATTGTGTCTTTAACTTCTGTTTTCAGCTTCAGCAGCATTCTGGGTATGCGCAAGTAATATTCCCTGGGGTTAAAAGATGGTCACTATATTGTTTAGAGGGTTATATAGCATCAACTACAAGAAGCTGGTTATAGGGGTCTTTAGTTTTTACAGCCTTTTTACTATTAGACAATTATCAGTGGTCAGGATGGCTGATGTGTTAATGTTCCTGCATCTGAATTCCCTCTGCAAACCACCAATCATCTAAGGCTGACCACCTCTCCAGTCAGGGCTGCTAATCACCTCATAATGCTCATAAACTTGTATTTGTATTGCAGATTTCAAAGAGCAAATTTATAAATTGATCTACAGAAGCTTTAAAGACGGACCATTTAAAGCTCACTGGTGAAGATGAAACAAAACCGGTTGTGCCTGCCCAGTGAGTCACCGCTACTACAGCAGGTTGGGAACCACTGTACTAGCCGACAGACGGACCTGTGAAGGGTGGAGAACTTTAAAGAAGCCAGACTAGAAAGGACTAACGCCCTTATCTTATGAAAGGTCAATCAATTGCAACTAACCTCATGCGGCGCTGTCTGTTTGATGTTCTGCTACGAAGCGTAAGCTGGAGCGCCTCACTGACAGCTGAGCTTTCCAAAAGGACGTATTCCCTGAGCCCTCTGTCATTTTTTTAACTGTTAACGCCACTGCATACAGCTCTCTATAACAATCCCACTGTTTTCCTCTGTCCACTTGTCAGTAATTTATAAAGCTGTAGCACTTATTGTATCACACTACTCTGTATCATTGTTGTGCTTACTTGAAAAATGCACATTGCATACATCATGTGTGTATACACACTGACTCTGGATGTTTGATTTCCATGAGCTGTAATCAGAAAATCATTAAAAGGCCTGAAATATTTCACTTTGTGTAATGAATCGAGAACATATGAAAGTTAAAATTTTTATCTTAAAGTACAGAAAATAATGAACTTTTCCACAATATTCTAATTTTCTGAGATGCATCTGTAGGGTTACAGAAGACAGACTCTATCCAAGGGAGGACCGTCGATGAGGCGGGGACACTGATATGAGCTCTTCTCAATGGGCCGACACTCCAGAAGGGCCTGGTAACACATCTCATCTTTCCCCTCAGGGGAGGAAGCGACATGAAGCACTTTCAAATGAGATTCAACCACTGTCACCATGACAACACAACAAGGAAAGTACAGGGGAAATTGTTGGTTAGTGATGAACAGAGAGAGAGGAGGTGAATGGAGGAGAAAGAGATACTGAAAGACTGAGCCAATGCAGGCAGACATCAACAAAGCAAGAGGATCGGTGCTTTTCCCTCTAATCACTCTTTAATCAATACAAATATTATACAATACTGTCATATGGGGGGGGGTGGAGGCCATAGATAAGAATGAGGATGATGCAGCCAAAAGCCACACCTAAAAACTGTGGAAGAAAGGTGCAACTCACTCACATTCTTCAATATGAAGAAAAGTATTTTCTATGGTTGCTTTTACTGATCTTTCATTCTACAATTAGCCTTGACGGTATCAGTAATTGCTCATGAACCTTTTCCCAAGCAGACAGCACCTGCACCTGACACATTGTTAACAAGACTTGTCCGTTTGCAGTGAGACCTCAAAATGCTACTATCTGAGGCCACAGGTAGAACTGACCTTATGAGTTCTGACTAGGCTGTCCAAGCCACACAGTGATTTTGAGAGAGACTGTTTTGATGCACACAGTTGGATTTAATGGACATGAACAGTTATGCTGTGGTTGTTTGACATGTACATTTGCTTCCAAACACACACGCAGAAATGCCGACACAGCGGAGGAAAATGCTCACTGCTCAGTTTTCTTAGTTTCCTGCCATGTTCAGAGCTCAGACAAAGAGCTTGTTCACGCCTGGATATGGATAATGAGACTACAAGATTATCATGTGGGTGTTATGCAATTAAGCTGAAACACAATTGTATATTTTTGTGTGTGCCACAGTTACTGTGGAGGTGACAAATAAAACACTGGGTGACATTCAGTTATTCCCCAGCAGAATGTTGATTAATACCAAAGACTTACTCAACTTCACTGAAGTGTGTCACACACCGGTATAGGAGAAGTTATTAATATATTGTTATTTATTGTTTTTATATTCTTGCAACTCCTAGTCTAATAGATGACTTAAAGACACAGATGTTCATGCTTCGAGTTCATTTACAGTATTTCTTGTAGAAATGACATTCTTCTAAAGTTTGCGGTGGTTTAGTAATAATAGGGCTGTATGAAACAGAAAATCGACTGAGGTTTGTTCCCACTTTGATATGCTAGAGCTGCAAAGCAGCAGGACTCAAAGAGGCTTTATTTTCAATCTTAGACGCACAATTCAGAGCTGGTGTTCTCACCTCACTGCGGTTTGTGATCAAAAAAAAACAGGCAGGCATTCAGAGACTAGCTGCCAAGAGAAGAAAGAATGCATGTTCCCTTTGACTCAGGGGAAATAAAACAAAATGAGGAACACTTTGTTCTCTTCTGCTCTAAATACAAGCTAAACACAAATGCATACTTTCCAAATCTCTGAAATCATAGATAAATTTCCAGATCTGAGTTCAAGACAGATGTGTATTCTACTTGGGAAAATTGCAGTAGCCTAGTATCACACTTTTTTATTTAAATAAACATTTCTTTTGACTTTTTTTAACAACCATTCTTAAGAACTTAAGAATGTCATACATACACTGTTATCTTGCCTGACAGATGATCTTCACATGAGTGGCTACAATAAAATGCCAGCTGTGACATCATCTATGAGGTCACAAACAGAGCATAAATCCTACTGTTCATATGCCTTGTTGGTTTGTTTGTCTGTAAGTAACACTATCAAGTTATAAATAATGATTTGACTGACTTTTTTTTATGGTAATGTTACTGTAATTCCTGGGGATCTTGTGACTTCTGACAGCAGGACCACTCCAAGAAATTCTGGGCTTACTGAGAACAGTTCACATATGACACCGTTCAGCTCCAGTAAGGGTCATAATTTAATGTCTCCTACATTACTATGTTGCATCAAAGCATTTTTTTCAGTAGGTTTAATGCAGTAGATTATACATGCTTTGTTTCACTTTATGTGCTTTTCAGGAAATATTGTGAAACAAACAGGCCTGTGTTTTGGGGTGTGGAGTCGCACATATCATTAGCCTACTATAATCTTGTTCACCTTTATGAGAAAATTGTGATCATTTTCAAGCAATGGTAACTTGCGTAAACATTTAAATGTCAACGTGTAAACTTTAAAGCTGCCTTAGCTTTCAGTGGAAGGATAAGGAGTGTTCAGCAGATGGCGGTAATACAGCACAACGCCGCGTGTCAGCAGCCGGTAAACGCGAAGAAAAAAAAAGAGCAAGGAAGCTAGAAGAGGAAGAAGAAAAACACGTGATTCGCGCTAACTGAAAGCAAGATGGCGGTGGTAGTGCGGAGCTTGCAAGACCAGCTCGAAAAAGCCAAGGAAAGCTTGAAAAATGTAGACGATAATATTCGTAAATTGACGGGGCGTGATCCAAATGAATCAAGGTAAAAAAGAAACGCCCAAGTTGTTTTTACCTTTTGGTGTATTTCTAGTGAAAAGCTAACTTGCTAGCATTCAAACGACTAGCGGTATGTGCTACTAGCATGAGTCGTTTAGCTGGTTAGCAAACATTAACGTTTCCACATCGTAGACTGTTCTGTGTTGGCTGAACATGCACACGCTTGCCTTGCGTGTTTGCTAAATGATGGGATTGGTCACGCAAACGTAACAAGTTTACCCAGAATAAATAACTATTCTTAACCTTGGAGTGAAATATGTATTGGGCCAGCTAGGCCCTGTGTTAGGCGTCGTCCGAGTGTCACCACCGACTTAACCTACCTGTGTAGTCCTTACTACCTACCGGCTGTGATTATGACGAAGTAGCGAGATCTTAACTTAGTTTTCTCTGTATTCTTTCGGAGCCGATTTGAGTATAAAGGACGACTGACTTTGTGTTGGCCCTGTTTCTTACTGTGTTTATAGACCGGGTCAGATCCGTCGACTCGGCGGCCCCATGGCAGGCCCCGGTGGAGGTAGAGGCAGAGGAATCAACCTGCTCAGGTAAAGCTGTGGACTGCATGGATAAATGCAACGACTCAGTGGCTTCTCACAAACGGCGAGCAAGCCCTGCAAACTTTTATTAGAAAACAACAAGCAGCAGCAGAAGAAAACCTACTTTAATCCCACAAGGGGAATTTAAAGGTTTCTTTTTTCAGCAGTTATAGTTTGACCATGTGTAACAATAAAAGTACACACCTTTGTATTTGTTTTAGCCTCATTTCTGAATTTGGCCATTGAAAGACACACAAACTGCCACTTAATTGATAACAGTATTAATCTGTAGACTTGCTTTACCCCATAACAGAGAAGTTGTCAGTAAGAGGCTGTGGAATTAAAAAGCACACCATGCTTTAAATTATGGACTTTTTTGCTGCTGTTTGGTCGATTTAAACTAATTAATTTCCAATTTATGAATGAGGGTAAACTAAATACCACTCTTTGCAATACTATACAATTCAGTTGCACACAGTACACTACGTATTTGGACAATTTGCACATTTTTAGTGGTTTGGATTGAAACCGTTGTTCCTATATACAAAACAGTCAATTCTCCTATATGTGTTTGTGAAACAAACTAATGCTGCAGCTGACAAAAATTGCACAGACCATTGTTTGTTCTTACTGATATAAAAATCTTTGAATCAGAGTTGATTGTCTTAAATTGCCTGCTTCCCTCTAATCACTGTCTGTGTCCTTCTCCAGGCGTAGTCTCTCAGACATTGGAAGCGGCGGCCCCCCTGCCAAGCAGAGGGACATCGAAGGTGCCTTGCTGAGGTGAGAATATAACTTCTTTTTTTATTTTATGTGCGTGTGCATCTAACAGCAACTCTGCACATGTTTTCATGATGGTAAATCTATTCAATGTGTAGAATCATGACTGTTTAGCTTTGAGGATGGGAGAGTAGATTGGTGAAACAAATAGACCATAAACTCATTTATCAACAAAATATAACCAGTTTTAAAATGTGTTGAATGATGGTATTACTTACTGGTATTGCACAAGAAATCTAAACAGTTTAATTTTAAAATAGCCCATATTACTGCCTCAGGCTGAACAGCAATCTGAGAAAAATATGAGTTTTATCTTCCATTGCGTGCTCATATTTTGTTCAAATTACACCCCAGGAAATAGCTGATGCACTTTCATACTTGGCTTTCCGGCAGATGTGGGACTGCAATTAGCACGTCTGCCTTTATGGCTATGACAGCAGCATTTGCTTTGTTTACATGTGCGGTCTTGTCTTTGTGCGTGTGTCTGCAGGCTGGCGGGGGACCAGAGGGCCAGGAGAGACGCGCGTCACGACAGCGACGCTGAGGATGATGACGATGTCAAAAAGGTAAGAATAAAGAGTTAGTTTTCTATTAGTCCTTTGGTATCAACACACAGCCTGGGTGGTCAGTTTTGAAATAAGTAAATACAAAACACATCAAATGCTGCTTAGATAGTGTTCTGTCAGAGAGATTATCATTAACTGTCACATTTAGATGTTAATTAGGGGAAGCTAAGACGGTCAGTGTTCTGAAAGACAAACCGTCCTAATAAATTGGTTTTCACTCATGTTTTCTTCTTCTCTCAGCCGGCGTTGCAGTCGTCTGTAGTAGCTACCTCCAAGGAGAGAACACGCAGAGACCTCATTCAGGACCAAACCATGGATGAGAGGGGCAAACAGAGGTAGGCCAACATGAGCTACGAGACTGCTGTCCTTGACTTCACGATTGTCGCAATCTTTATCATGAAATTAAATGGCACCAGCAAACTGAAGATAAGGAATGGAAAAAACAAATCTGAAGCTAAGGGTCCATATTAATCATTGCATAGCTGAAACAGCGGAGTTGTATGTGATGGTGGCTTTGTGTTTTCTTGGTCAGGAATCGGCGTATGTTTGGTCTGCTGATGGGGACCCTGCAAAAATTCAAACAGGAGTCCAATGTCTCAACAGAGAAGGTGAGGAAATCTCTCCAATATATGTGAACTGTTGAGCTTATTAACACACTTTCTCAATATGAAGGTGGTTTTTAGCTAAACTGTCACTGAAACCAGACTGAAAATGTCAAACCTTTTTCTGGGTTAATGTATGTGCTTTGATTGAAGAAATGCAAGGTAATGCATGGATGCAGGGCCATAGTGGAAAACCCTGTGCTACAAAATTGCTTGTTTGTATTATCTCTGTAATTTTACATTTGTTTGTTGAGGATATATCCATTCAGTCCCCAATAGCATCCACACAGTGGACACAGTATTTATACAGTAAGTTAGGTAATAACTTAATGATTGTCTTTCTCGTCTCCGTCCATCTTCTGCTTTTTCCCACACAGCAAAAGCGACGTACAGAGATCGAGCAGAAGCTCGAGGTTCAGGCTGAAGCTGAGAAAAAGAAGGTGGAGAATGAAAAGAGGGAGCTGTTTGAAGAGAGGAGAGCCAAACAGACTGAGCTGAGACTACTAGAACAGAAAGTGGAATTAGCTCAGCTGGTAAGAAAATACGTCTTAACACCATTTTGGGGCCAGTAGAAACTAGAGACATTGGAAATGGAAGACAAAAAGGTGGGACAGGTGACTGTAATAGCTACAGGCCTTTTCTTTTTTAAAGTAGTTTACTAGTGGCATTGACAGATTTATTTGCATGTGGAGATAAATTATTCAGCAGTAGGGTGCAAATGTGCAAAACTTTTGTTTTGTTGTGATTTGTATACTAAGCAAATGAGTAGCTTTGAAAGAATTGTATTTAACGTTATCTTCCCTCCACTGACAGCAAGAGGAGTGGACCAGCCACAATAATCGTCTGGTAAAATACATTCGTACCAAGACCAAGCCTCATATCTTCTACCTGCCTGGAAAAATGTGCTCCGCCACACAGAAACTCCTCGATGACTCCACCAAGAAACTAAACGGTCAGTAGGGTTCTTGCTTATGCTTGAAGAGAGGAAGTTTCTTGTACTTAGAAAGACGTGTTTAAATCTTGACACGGTGTTACCCAGTCACCCAGAGAAAACCGGTGCATGTGTTATTCACTCTGTAACCTCTGTGATTCCATGGTTTTGTTTTCTTTACAGCTGTGTTTGAGGAGAGGTGTGAGGCTTTTGCCGAACACCTCAGCAAGATGGAGTCCCGCCCCCGGCGACAGCCAAACCGCGACCAGGACAGCAACGCAGCAGCAACAGGGATGGACCACTCGGCGGAGGGTAAGCCAGCAGGCCAGGTAGTCAAGGTGACAGGTAACAGGGGGGGTGCAGAGATGGAGGAAGAGGAGGAGGAAGATGAGGAGGAGGATAGGAGGAATGAGGGGGGTAGAAAGGTGACAGCAAAGGAAGAAGGGAAGGAAGTGTTGAAGAAGGTGGAGGAAGAGGTGGAGGGGATAGAGTTAAGTGAAGAGGGTAATGAGGAGAAGAAGAAGGAAGGAGAGGAGGGGGTTAAAGACAGCGGGGACAGGGGAGAGAAGGAAGCAAGTCCAGGGTCAGAGGAGATGGAGGTGGAGGGCGGGCCAGAGCAGGAGGACAGGAGTGAGGGAGAAACGCAGAGTAAACAGGGGCCCACAGACCTCCAAAACGAAAAGACCAAGGACACCCAGTTCTCTGAACCGACCGTAACCAGCCAAGAAGCACCAAACACCAGCCACCAGCCTCAGGTCAGCCACATCGCAGGGGAACCAGCCGTTACGTCCTCTGGGATTCTGGAGGAGAAGACCCCTGGGTCTCAAACGGCTTCCACAGTGCCTGGGCAGGATATCATTATCCCTGGCCTCGAGGTCCAGGACTTAACAGTCGAGAACCCGGCTGTGGAAGGGAAGCCAGGGGATGAAGCACCCCAGAAACTGCCTGACACCCAGGCCCCCAGCGTTACCCCTGCACCCTCTAAGGAGGAACGGGATGGTAGGAGAGGGAGGAAGAAGGAAAAGGAGCCGAGGAAGGGTCGCAGTCATAGTAACAGCTCCTCCTCTTCCTCCTCCGGCTCCTCCTCCAGCGGAAGCTCCTCCTCTTCCTCCGGATCCAGCCGCTCCTCTTCATCATCATCGTCCTCTTCGTCCTCATCGTCCAACAGCAGCCGAAGTCGCAGCCGAGACGGCGGTAAGCGCAAGAGAAGGCCGTCGGACAGGGGCAGGAAGAAAGGAGAAGAGAGAAGTCGCCACAAGAGAGGAGGGAGTAGCGGAGGAGGGAGGGACTCGAAGGGATCGAAGGAGAGGAGGAAGAGGAGCGAGGAAGGGAGGGGCAGGTCTTCCCGGAGCGATAGGGAGCATAAAGATAGAGACAGGAAGGACAAGAGACGTTAATGTGGTTCTTTCAGCCTCCGTTTGGTATCGCTGACAAACTCCACCATTTACTGGATGACACAAGATGACGAGTTTTAAACTATCATTTCTCCTTAAAACATCTCACATAAAGGCTTATTGAAGTTTTAATATGGGCAGATTTTTACAGTGTAGGAATTTTTAAATAGATGTCAAGACTGACGCTAAACAGTGGACGTGTGCTTATAATTTTTCTCCAATGTTTTCCCCTTTTTCTTGGCAAAATAAATGTAAACGGGACTTTTAGTCTCAGTGGTGCATCTGGCAGGGCAACTTATACCGTCTCTAATGGAGCCCTTGCTAAACAGGTTTCAGGCGGGCGAAACTATTCAAAGACCTCATTTTAGTCCTGTCATTTTAAGTCCAAATGATTAATCTTTGGCCTGACATTTGGGTTTTTAAAAAAGGTCTTGTGGAACTATGATGAAGAGATGGCGTTAAATGTTTAAAGTTTTTCATCCTAGTCATAATTCCATCGGCTGGGGCATTGATGGTTATGGTAGTCGTAACCTTACAGTAGTTTTGTTTTCAAGTTGATGTGACGCTGTTAAGTCATTTATTTCCACTATTTGATCAAAGTAAAGGCCCTTGTATCTTCATCACCTGGGTACATGTGATTGTCATACAGGTTTTTGCAAATGTTTTTTTTTTTTTGTACCAACTGATTATCTGCTTCAAATTAAAGATGAGGTATTAGTGGAAATGTGTGTGGGTGGAATTTCTTCAGTCGTACTAGCGCTGCAACTGACTTCCCATTAATCGTTGGGTTTGTAAAATGCCAAAATACAGAAATTTCCATTAATCTAAGGTGACATCTCTAACATTGCTTTAACCAGCAAATCCTCACACTTGAAAAGCTGGAATGTGGTATTTTCACTTGGAAACCATCAATGTTAAAGCATTTCTGCTAAAATATATATATAATGCATCCTTTAAGTTCAAGACTGAATACATCAAAATTGGTTTGCGTCATTCTGAAGCCTCTAAAATATAATTGTTTATAGGACACAGGGCTATAAAGACAATAGTTATGTTGGGCAGAGTAATGATACATCTTTACTCTACAATTACTATGTTTGTTGTAATAAACTTGGTTCAGCACCAGTGGAGGCAGTCCGTAAACTGCATGATCATGATGAGTGGCTAGCCATACTGTGTTTGGTGGGTCATTACCATGAAACCTGAGCTCAGACAGGGGATTCTCTGGGTCACTTATTAAATATCGTGGTTGGTGTACACATGTGCTATACTTGTGAGGGCATAAGCATTTGACCAACAACAAAGTCCACTCAAGTAGTTATACTACAAATAAACAGTTTAATAGACAAATCTTGCATTTTGTCTATGAATGTCAGGGCTAAATTCACAAAGAACATGTACCACTTATCAAATGCAAATCAGGCTGCTCTGGCTTCTGTCCCATATCAGCAGGTCCATTCACATCAGCAAGTTACTTGAAATAATACAGGTTTTGTGGTCATTATCCAGTCCCTTTTGGTTCCGTCAACTTTCATTGCAACACACTCAGAACCCCCACAGCCCTCTGCATGGCCGTGTGTAGTGTTGCATCCTTGAAAATGTTAAGTTCTCTTCACTGATTGTACTTGTTTGGAGAGTCTCCATCTTCAAATTCCAAAGGTTTCTTATTAACTGTAGAGATCGAATGCTGCATCACTGAGAGGACTCAACATTTTCTTCAATGTCTTGTTGATAGGTCACTACAGTTCAACCCTCTGTTGGCTCCGGCTGGTCTGCCAGGTCATTCTGCTCAAAGTATCTGCAGGAAAGACAAAAGGAAATGAGCATAATTCATGGATACAGTGTTACACACACACTAGTGAATATATATAATAATATATAAAATGTTATATGACCTGATCAATATAAACGATTTGGGCTGATTGGTAAATACCTGGCAACAAGACAGATGAGCAGGTTGAGGGCAGGCAGTTGCTCATCCTCCTGACTCTCCTGTGGAATAAAAGCACGACATATTACCAGCTCTAATATATCATGTCAAGAGTCAAATACTGACAAGATGAGCAAACTGAATAGTTCACATTTAAAAACGCAGTAATGTCTTTCTTAAATAAAAATGAAAAAAATCTATTTATCCATTCATTACTAGCAAAACACTGCCAATTAGCATGAGCTGTGTGGAACTAGAGTGCGACCTACAAACATTTAGTCAAGTCTGTGGCAGTACTTCTGCAGTGAAATTTTAGCAGCAAAGATAGACCCAAAAATAGCCACTTGTAGGTCGACACTTAAATACACAGGAAAGAAATATGGATCCTCACAGGCTACAGGACAGCGGTGCAAACTGAATCGTACCAGTGTACTGCGGAGTTGAGCACATCTCCTGGCCAGCTGTCTGATGGAGGAGTGAGCTTCAGGCAGCAGAGGCTTCTCCAGGCAGGCCAACAAAGAATACAACCAGCAACCCTGTAACAAACAAGTAATACAGACACACGGGAAATAACAGCAAATTTCACAATGACAGAAAATGAAACAAGAAAGCAGTGAATTAGAGCAAAAGCTTAATGTAGAAGTAGTTAATTTGCTTTTTTATCTTTGTTGGAGGAAATAAGCAGGTACACAGTGTAGCTACATCCCTTTTTTCCATGCCACAGCAATGCCTTTCTGACATGTTCTGCGTGCAGTCTCCTTTAAAAATGCTGAAGAATTACAGCCATTCTTGTACTGAAAACAATGAGCATTGTTTTCTGATAGCCTTGCATCTACATGATGTGCATATCATTAGTCTCAACATACTTTTCCACCTACAACACAACACTACAAGCTCCTCAGGCAGCTCAACCTGCCTAAAGAGCTGCAGATCCACTTCTACACAGCCATTATTCAGTCTGTTCTCTGCATGTCCATCCCTGTCTGTTCTGGATCTGGCACCAAAAAGGACAGGAGCAGACTACAGCGGGCAGTCAGGACTGCAGAAAAGATCATCGGTCCCAATCTGCCCTCCATTCAGGACTTATACATTTCCAGAGTCAGTAAACGGGCAGGAAACATCACTGCAAATCCTTCTCACCCCAGACACAACCTGTTCCAGCTTCTCCCCTCTCGTAGGTGCTACAGAGCACTGTACGCCAAAACCAACAGTCTCAGGAACAGTTTCTTCCCACAAGTCATCACTCTGATGAACAGTTGACTTCTGACCCAGTGTCAGGAACAATTCCTGTGCAATAAACCAGTAACTCTGCCTCTAATCAGCCACCTGTTTACTGGCTAACAGTTATTAATTATTCATTAATTAATTATTCATCATTCTGTATTTCAGAGCTGTTCTTACTGTTCATATTGTATCTTGTACTGTATACCAAATCCACCAACCACATGTCCATAACTGCCGCTGGGCCTGATCAGCGGCTGTCATCCCGGTCAAAAACCTCCGCTTCCCAACGTAGGATCCTGAAGGAGGCTGTGCTCAAACGCTCCGGAGGCCGTCTCTACTCTGCACCGTCGGGTAGCCCTTCTCTCAGGTATGTTACTGCTACTCCAACACAACACTCGGTAGCTCACACACTCCATCCTCAGTCCGCACGCAGTGTTGAAGCAGATTCTGCTCCGTCCTGCACTGGAACCCCACAACCGGCATCTCCTCGTCCTCTTTTCTCCCCAGCCACACTAACAATTGGTGACTCCATAACCAGAAACATCAGTTTCTTTAACGCTACCACTCACTGCTTCCCCGGTGCTACCACGGCTGACATTTAAAAAAAGAAACTCCATCACAAGAGTGATAGTCCATGTGGGAACAAATGACACAGCTCTTCAGCAGTCTGAGCTGACAAAATCAGATTTTAACCATCTTTTTAACTTTTTAAAGCAGTGTGGAAAGTCCGTTTTTATCTCTGGCCCCATTCCCACAGTTGGTCTCCACGACTGGCTCCAGTCCGCCTGCAGGGCTCAAGGTGTGTATTATGTCGATAACTTTAATATTTTCTGGCAAAGAATGTCTCTTTTTAAGACAGACGGACTTCACCCAAACAAACAGGGCTCAGAAATGTTAGCTGCTCACAAACAGCATGTGGTGCGGTCCACACATGACCTACGTGAATGACTAATCATTCATGCAGCACACCTGGACACACCACCGCTCACTGAACAGATCTCTGCCTCACTGCCACAAACAACTGTCTCCACCTGCTGGCATGTAAAGCCGTCTGCTACCAGCGTTGTTCCAAAGACTTCTATTCCTGTCATCATCACGCATAGACCAGTAAACCGAAATGTGCACATCCCACACAGAAATCATAGTAATCTTATAAGGATTAGGACAACTGCACCAACTCCAGCACCCAGAACAAACTCATTTAAAATGGCTCTCTTCAATGTGAGATCTCTGTCAAGTAAGACTTTTATCTTAAATGATTTTATCTTGTCTGCAAATCTAGATTTTATGTATTTAACTGAATCTTGGTTGCAAATGAATGACTATAGCCAGCTAGCTGAACTGTGTCCGCCTCAATATGATTGTTTTAGTCAACCGAGGGTCAGTGGTCGTGGTGGTGGGCTAGTGAGCGTGTATAGGAAATATTTAAAATGTCATCAAGTACGCTGTGATGAATTTAACTCCTTTGAAGTTCTCACTCTTAAACTTAGAGGGCTGCAACCTGTCGTATTTGTTATAATTTATCGCCCCCCAAAACCTGGAGGATTTTTATCAGAACTTCCTGAATTTTTATCTACTCTGGTTTTAAATTATGACAGAATTGTTCTTGGTGGCGATTTTAATATTCATGTTGATGACCCCACCAATGTTAATGCAACTGACGTTTTAAATATGGCCACTTCTTTTAACTTCAAACAACATGTCAAAGGCAAACCCATAACAGTGGTCATACACTGGACTTGGTTTGTACCCTGGGTGTCAGCATTTCCTCTGTGGAATTAGTGGACATGACCATATCTGACCACAGATGTATTGTTTTTAGCTGCGATTCGCCTGTTACTCATGCCGCCTCCCCAAGCTCCGTGTGTTCTCGCATCTTTAATGAACAAAGCGTTTCAAAGTTTTGCACATTCTTTCAGAGTCAAAACCAACACCTGTCTGATTCCAACACCAACAATCTGGTTGATCACTTCTATCTGCTTGTCGTCACTAAATATTACTGCTCTTCTAAAGGTTAGGCCTACATCTAAAGCTATTAAACAACCCTGGATAAATGACAGCATTCGCAGCCTAAAAAGGGAATGCAGGAAAGCAGATGGAAAAAATCCAGTCTCCAAGTCCATTACCTCAGTCTGAAGGATTTATTAATTAACTACAATAACATGGTTAAGGATGCGAGACACACTATTTTTCTGAACTCATTACTACACATAAACACAATCCCAGGTTTCTGTTAAGGAATGTGGATCAGCTGGTAAACCCAACCCCTCCTTGTGCCTCAGCTGGAAGTGATGATGATGACTGAATTGTTTTTATCTTATTTTACCAGTAAGGTGGTGTCAATCAGAGCCTCTATTACCCCCACGGCCTCTTACTCTGAGGTTCCTCACCAGAGAGTTTTAACCAGTTTTATCCCATCGATTTGTCTGAGCTTTTAAAAACAGTATCACAAATGAGAGTGTCCTCCAGCTCACTTGATGTAATACCTAAAAAGTTTTTACTGAAAGTAATAGATTCTGTTGGGCCCCATTTGATCTCTGTTTTCAACAGCTCCCTATCTACTGGTTGTGTCGCTGATTATTTTAAAACGGCTTGCGTGAAGCCGCTTTTAAAGAAACCTGGTATAGATCCCTCCCTCCCACATAATTTTAGACCCATTTCAAAACTACCTTTTATTGCAAAGATTCTAGAAAGAATTGTGTCCAAACAGCTGCTCACTGTACTGGAAAATAAAAAATTATTTGAAAAGTTTCAATCTGGTTTCAGGAAGTACCACAGCTCTGAGACTGCCCTGCTTAAAGTCACCACTGACCTTTTAATATCTGCTGATGAAGGCATGTGCTCAGTCCTGGTACTTCTGGACCTTAGCTCTGCTTTTGACACCATTGATCACAACATCATGTTAGACAGACTGAGGCACTGGGTGGGGATCTCTGGTACTGCCCTAGAATGGTTTTCATCCTACCTGTCAAATAGGAAGTTTTGCGTGTCTGTAAACAACTATGTCTCTTCGTTCTGTCCAGTTAAATATGGTGTGCCTTAGGGGTCGGTCTTAGGACCCATTTTGTTTTCCTTGTATCTGCTTCCCCTTGGACATATTATCCATAAACACGGTATTTCTTTTCATATTTAAGCTGATGACACACAAATGTACTTGCCCGTCAGATCCACAGATTCACAACTGCCTTTGTGAAGTTAAAAAATGGATGTCAAATAATTTCCTCCAGCTGAACTCAGACAAAACAGAAATCCTGGTCATTGGATCCCAGCAGAAAACAAGTACTGCCATCTGCTGGAACCTTGGTGTCTGGTTTGATAGTAATTTAAATTTCGAGCAGCACACCACAAAGTTTGTTCAATCATGTTTTTATCAACTTAGAAATATAGCAAAAATTCGATCCATGTTAACTTTTAAGGACACCGAGACCATTTTACACGCCTTCATCTCATCATGCCTGGATTATTGCAACAGCCTTTTCACTTGTTTAACCCAAAAATCTACTGATCGACTCCACAGACTGTCCAGAAATCAGCGGGCAGGCTTTTAACTAGAACAAAGAAATATGACCACATTACCCCGATTTTAGCTTCATTACACTGGCTCCCAGTATGTTTTAGAATTGACTTGTTATATTTCTGACCTTTTAGTCCCATACACACCAGCACGTACCTTGAGATCCTCGGGCAGAGGTCTGTTGTCTGTTCCAGAGTCTCGACTGAAAACTAAAGGGGACAGAGCGTTTGCTGTCAGGGCCCCGAGGCTCTGGAACAGCCTGCCCGAGGAAATCAGGTCGACTGAGTCAGTGAACTCTTTTAAGTCCCTTCTTAAAACACACTTTTATAGGAGAGCCTTTCCTGATTTTATTTGACTTTATTTTATCCCTTTTATTTAATTCTATTTTAATTATTTTATATTTATCTTAAACGTGTATTTTGGTCTTTTCAATGTTTTCTTGCTTGTATTGTTGTCTTTTGGGTATTGTATTGTTGTCTTTGCACTTGTTAAAGTTGTTATAAATTATTATAACACTTGCACATAATACTTTATTCCAGAATCTTCTCTACACTATGTACATAATAATAATGGTAATAATAATTTACTCCTGCATCCTTTACACTCATATATATATATATATATTCTCTATACTGTAGCCTGTGTCTGATTTTATTATTGTATAACTAAGCACATCATGAGCAATGGACAATCATAGAAATTCCTCATATGTGTAGACATAACTGGCAATAAAGCTCATTCTGATACAATGTGTTTGTACCACTGGACTTGTGGGGAGTTAAAATGTAGATGGCTTAATAAACTAAACTCACCAACTGTGGAACAAACCCGTGTTCCTCAAACCAACAGATTAGAATTTCCAGCAGCATCAGCACTGTGGACTGTAGACAAACACAGAGATGGGAGAAACAAATACATAATAATCAGATGTTGACTGGTTATGTATGAGCTGTAAATGTGTAGATGAGGAGGTCATTTACCTGGTTCAGTCTGCTGACTATGCTTAGAAAGGGAGGGAAGCCCACCTGAGCGCAGACACATGTTTTGATTATTAGATTATTAACATGTTCTTATTTATCGAAACATCTTCATACATAAACAAGTGATAGAAGAAGCAACGTTATTACTGCGGTCTATTTTACACTGTTGTAGAATGAAGTAGTCTAGTATTAGATTTTTTAACAATCACGGATTTCTGAAGACTTTTCTGAATTTTTCTGATTAAAATCTGTCAAAATGTGAACATATTCCAGGACCATTCAAAACCCTATTTATAAAGAAGTTTGACGGACCACCTACGGTTGAGTACGCGCTGTGACTGCCATACCAACGAGCCTGGCTCTTTGCATGTTTGGTACCCCATAGACCCGGGTGGGGTGCTCTTGCCTTTCCGTCTCAAAAAGCATTACACACACACAAACCTTGCTATAGTCCAGCGCTGGCTCTGCTTGAGCATCTGTTTGGCAGGACAAGGTGCCCAGATAGACCGCCTCTCCTAAACAAAATCTTTTCCAGCCGTCTTCATCTGTTAGCTTTGGCTGCAGGAAACACATACAAATATGAACTTGTAAATGCAAAATCTCTTTTTCAGTTTGCCTCTTGCCTTATAAGTATATTTATATAAATTTTCCATCAGCTCACTATGCTCAAACTCAGAACTACTGAATTAACTTTGTGACCATGCCGTGTCCTCACCATCTGCACGTTATCATCCAGAGTCTGGTTGCTCCAGTGTTTCCTGTTCTTTGCGATGCTCTGAAAGCAAAAGGCAGAAGCCAAAAGAACTTTGATTGCAAAAACAGATTATGTAGCAAACATTTATTCAATATCCCCAGTCTAAAAGCTCCAACTGCAGCACATTTAAAAACAGGTAAACAATGACGGTAACAATTCTTTCAACATCCTGTGACATGGATTCCGCCTTCCCATTGTTCCAGCAGAGAATTCATATCCTAAACAGATTTCATTTCAGGTTTTTGACAGCTCACTAAGGGACTTTAAGACTGGTTTGCAATAAACATGTGATACAATTTGAGAGATTGTATAGACTAAAGTAAAAAAGAATTACTTGGAAGTTGTTTATACGTTTTGTTTTACCTGTCTGATATCTGAGAAGTTACTGACTTGCTGCTGCTGCCAACTGAGACTGGGGGAGAAACCCACTGGAGCAGCATGGCAACCTGCCACCTGAAACACACAAGACACTGAAATAATAGAGAATACATGTTTCTCATCCCACCTAATCTCATACATGCCAATATTATTATCCATGTGTCACTGGTAGCTCATTTAATATAAGTTATGTAACTAATATATATAAAAACTTGTATCTTTATCTTAACATTTATTTATTTCTAACTCCACAGAGCATAATAGCACATGTGCAGCCTTTGTGATGTCCCACAAACAAGAAAGCATACATTTGACTCAAATAAAATTACTCATATAGAGTACGAATGACACCAAAATGATCATTAAGTAGTGCATTGTATATTTATGCAGAGGAAGATTTATTTTTCATTTGAAATGGCATGCTTCATGGTGGACATTTACTCACAGAGGCATTAACAGTTTGTTTCTTCTTCAGTTTCTTGGGGTCAATGTGAGCAACCACCACCTCTGGACACAGTGATGCCTCCAACCTGATGAGAAGGAAAAATTCAAGCAGATGACTGACTCACTCAACTGATGCACTCCAACCGTAACAAGTAAAAATAAATAAATAAATAAATTAAATTGACAGAGCCGCTGGGCACAGAGTGGAAATGGATGCGTAAAATAATATAACAATGGCGTGGCTTATAACATCACAGTGGCTGTCACAGTAAAACTCTTATCTTTCTTACTTTTATACTTTAACATTAGCAAGCTGATAAGCCCTTTATTATCACTTCCCAATATTTACAATACTTCCGGTTGCACCATCAGTGTCGTTACTGTGTCATGGCAGTCCCCAATAGAGTCACACACACTAATTCCCCAGGGTCCAAGTAGGAAAAGGCGAGTTCTTTGTGTGAACTTACTGGACTTGTCGGAGGTATTCCCGGGGGTTTCTCGGGGGACCGTTCAGGTCCAGGGCCTCGGTACTGGTTCCAAACTCAACGGGAAGCAGCCTCGGCATCAACTCTTCCACGTCCGACTTCATTTTATGTCAACTGTATGCCAATTTCTATCTAAATGTCTGAAGTTAAAGTCTGCCAAGTGCAAATGAATCGCCGACTTATCACAAAAAGAAATCCTCTGGCTACCAAAACAATGATTTTATCACAGGTGGTACTCGCCGACTACGCAGCCATCTTGCTAGTAAAAGCGGCTTGATGACGTTATATTTGTGCGCGGCTTTGGTTGCCGTGGTAACGACTGCCCCTGGTGTCAGCTTTTGAGCCACAAAATGCCCACGTTTTAGTTTCAGCTTGCCAAAACATTTATCTCTCGCCTAGCTTGTTTATTTATTTCACAGTGAAATGTAAATTACAGAAAGTTTTTAAACTCTAAAACCAAATAAAAACCTTTGACCAGTGACCAGATAAAGGTTTGTATTGGAAGCAGCTCTTGGATGTTAATGATTATCCTCATGCTAGCCTTATATCTTATCTCAGCTCTCTCATTTACCATTTAGTCTTCATGACAGCAGCAGCTTAGAGGCAATGTCCATTTGCCAACACAGCTGGCTGGAGTAGCTGCCCTCCATTATGGACATTTTCTCTTGATAGACTCCTGTTAAAACAACAAGAATGGCAGTTTTACAGGCTTACAAAATCCTGTGGGGTACAGCCATAGTTTGTGTGATTTTACCTCACTTAAATCTGGGATTGTTGTCTGACTTCAAGATCTGTGGAGATTCTGAGTGTGAAAGTAAGTTCTAAACCATTAATATATAATTCTAGTTTATGATAGGCCACACATTTATAGGTAAATTTCTTTTCAAAGCTTTCTTTATGACAATCAGGTTTTTTTTTCTGTGTGTGTCTCTTTCCCATTGTGTGTGTAGGCCTAATGAGCAGAGTGCAGGCCATCAAGGACCACCGTGGTAAGGACTGCCGTTTCCTGACCTTCAGACGAGGAGACACCATTTTTGTTTACCACAAACTGACCGGAAAGAGGGAGGACCTCTGGGCAGGCAGTGTACGTCTGATATCTCCATCTCTCTTCCTGTCTTTCTGTCTCTTTCTCTTTTTAAAGCAGAATAAAATAAAATAAACTATCCAATTTCAAGACAGTGCCTCATCTCAGCTTCTAGGTTAAAGAGATTAGTCTTGATTATAATAATGATTAGTTTAGGTTCCCAGCACTGTTGGGCTGAGTTATGTTAACACCGTACCTGGTAAACACAAACGTCTCTGAGAGCACCCCAGTTCATTTCTATAATGAAATAACTATGTTGTATAACAGACAGAATGAGTGAATACTTACACTAATACTAAACACTGACATAAATGTCATCACCACTACTCTGTCTTTTATTTTGGTAACCACCTTATTAATCTACTATGCTGTAAAATATACCTTATTTCTTTTACTGTGTTTTTTAAAAAAAAAAATAGACACCTGAATACACAGACATGTTTGTTAGGAGATTTAAATCTGTTGAAGCAGATGGGATGAGATGGATAGACTCTAAGTAAATTGAAATGGTCAGTATAATGGAGGACAATATTATAGTTCAATCTGACATCAAAGCCATACAGCTTTGAAAAAGTGTCAGGATTGAAAAATAACAATCACAATAAAAGTCAACAAATAAAATAAAAGTACAATCAGAGCTCGTTTGCAGATGATTTTGTGTTTTTTGTGTAACAGATATCTTACACACATAAACGCACATATACAGCAGATATATATGGTAAAAAGTTAAAACCAATAAAAAAAATTAAAAAACAATCCAAACAAAATCCAGACTGCATCGAGAGTCATCTTGTTTTTACAGCGAAATATTGTATTTACAATTCTTATACAATTTATTTGTTTGCTCACAATTAAAGGCTGTCTTCTGTTAAGAAAGTTATGATTTTTACACTTTACATCTTCTTTGTCTCACATTTTCCCTCCTATTGATTGTCTTATGCTTCTTCCTATAATTGATCCACAGTGTTGCTGTGGCTTTACAGAACTGTGATGTTTCCTTTTTTTCATTTCAGATTGACAAACAGTTTGGCTATTTCCCAAAGGATGCTGTGCAAGAGGAGCAGATTTACGCAACTATGGAGAAAATAGTGGAAACACAGGTAAATGGGCTTTGACTGCAGGAGCTCTTCAGATTAGAGGCTTAATAATACATAATAACTGCCAGATTGTAAATGAATAGAATAAATAATTAAACATAAACTAATATACTGTGATATCTATTATTTACCACTGAACTAACAAAAAAAATGTCTTGTGTGTCCTCATTTCCTCTCTTCATTCAGAAATCTGATTTCTTCTGTATGGATGAGTTTGGTTATCCCATTGACTCCAGTCACCTGGACAGTGACGATGATAATGGTGACCAGAAAATCCAAAACAAGGAGTCACAAACCACCCCACACACCGATGACACAAATGCTGAAAGTATTTCAACATCTGCAGGTGTCTCTACAGAATCTCCAGTCCCAGCACAGGAGGCTGAAGGCACATCGACAGACCCGGACAGAAACAAAAACAGCGGTGATGCTGCTGCGGGGACTCAGGAGGAAGCACGGGAGGCTCCTGCGGCTCAGAAAGAACAAGGTGGGTCTGCTCCCTCTTCCTGGCTCGGTTATTCAGTGACAGGCTGGTTAGGTCTGGCCAAAGAAGAAGAATCTGGCAATTTGGCCGAAGGAGAGAAAAAAGATGAGAGAAAAGAGACAAAGGCCGAAGGCTCTTTGACTTCTTCAGTAACAGGATGGCTGGGGTTGGGAGGAGAAGGAAAACCTGATGATGCCGTGAGAAGTAGAGAAGAAGACACAGAATCTGCTGATTCTTATGCTTCAACCATGACCGGGTGGCTTGGCTTTGGAGGAGAGGGGAAAAAAATTAATTCCAAAGAAAAAGAGCAAGGTGAAGAAAGAGAAAATGACGAGGAAAAAGAACCAGCAACGAAATTCAGGAGTAGGAGAATTTCTCTGGACTTAGAGGGAAGCCAATTATACGAAGAGGAGAAGAAGGAGATGGGGACATTGGACTGGCTAGGAAATGGATTGTCAAGCACACTGGGGTTCGGCCGGACCAATCAGGAGTCAGGGCAGGAGATAACGACTGAAAAAGAGGCCAAGGAGACGACCCAGGTGGAGGATAAACAGCCAGCGTCTAGTTCATGGTTAGATATGGGGATCGGGGACATTTTAGGCTTCAGGAAGGACACGAGTGAAGTTGATGAGTGCACAGGACGTGGTTTTAAGGAGACAGAAGAGGACAAAACTTTAGAAGAACCAGCAGGCTCAGAGAATATGGAGACCAATCAATCACAACCTGCACAGACAGAGGAGGTAAGGACAGAAACTAGCAATGAATCAAAGGTGGAAGAAACTCCAGAAGACCAAAACACCCCATCAGAGATGGATGTTTTGACACAAGTGGATGTCAATTTAGGGCCCGATTTCAGTTCTGTGGATTTAAATTCAAAGTCTGTAGGTGAGCTTGATGAAGACAAAACTGAGGTGTTTGAGGAAAGGGTAGAGATCTTGAATCTGACTGATAACACAGAAGAATCCACAGATACGTCTGTTAAACGTGGTGCCGGTGGTGATGATCATGAAGCTGAGGGGAATAATGCAGAGACAGATGTACCTCACAGAGAAACTGCCACAACTCAGAGTCAAGTCGGTGATGGTGCAGCAGAGAGCAGTGGAAAGAGTCCACCTGAAGAGAGAAATGAACCAGTCATTTCCAGAATCACCAGTGAGGATGACACTTTAACTGCGCACAGTGTGGAAACCAGTGTTAATCATTCAGATTCACTTGCTATGATTAGGAATAACACAGAAACAAAGACACGTGAGTTAGGACAGGAGAGAGAAGTGCACCCTGTTGAGGGCAGCTCCAACGAGTATGAAAATGCCTCAGAGGAGAACAGAAGAACATTTTCCACTAGTGAGAGCATTGCACAGATGAAAAACAACGCAGACCAGGACTCTTTGTCTCCACATCTGCAACAGGGGGCCACACAAACTGATGGTGATGCACACAAGCTAAAGGAAACTGTTAGAGTCCCCGAGAACGGCCACCAGCAAACTGAGAATGAGACAACAGGGTTTGAGAAAGACACGCATGGTCTACAGTCAGCTACAGGCTCTGAAACAGAGACTGGGACTGAGGAAGTGGTGGAGTCAAAGGAAGAGGAAACGCAGGGGGAGGTAGAAGAGTCAAAGGAGGAGGAGAAACAGGAGAAGTTAAAGGAGGTGGGGCAAATGAAGCACCTGGAAAAGCAGCAGGAAGTGGAAAAAAAACAGGTGGAAAAGGAGTATGAGGTAAAAGACTTAAAGGAAGAAGAGGAGCACCAGGAAGTGACAAAGATAAAGGAAGAGGGGAAAGAGGAGGAGGTGGAGGAGAAGAAGCAGGGGCAGATTGAAGAGTTAAAGATGGAGGAGAAAAAGGAGGAAAAGAAGGTGGAGGTGCAGGAAGTTGAGGAGGAAAAGGAGGATGAGGTAAAAGACTTAAAGAAAGAGGAGAAACAGCAGGAAGCAGAGGGGATAAAGGAAGAGGGGAGAGAGGAGGAGGTGGGGGAGAAGAAGCAGGGGGAGATTGAAGAGTTAAAGATGGAAGAGAAACAGGAGGAAAAGAAGGTGGAGGTGCAGGAAGTGGAGGAGGAAAAGCAGGAGGAAAAGGAGGATGAGATAAAAGACTTAAAGAAAGAGGAGAAGCAGCAGGAAGTGGAGGGGATAAAGGAAGAGGGGAGAGAGGAGGAGGTGGGGGAGAAGAAGCAGGGGGAGATTGAAGAGTTAAAGATGGAAGAGAAACAGGAGGAAAAGAAGGTGGAGGTGCAGGAAGTGGAGGAGGAAAAGCAGGAGGAAAAGGAGGATGAGATAAAAGACTTAAAGAAAGAGGAGAAGCAGCAGGAAGTGGAGGGGATAAAGGAAGAGGGGAGAGAGGAGGAGGTGGAGGAGAAGAAGGAGGGGCAGATTGAAGAGTTAAAGATGGAAGAGAAACAGGAGGAAAAGAAGGTGGAGGTGCAGGAAGTGGAGGAGGAAAAGCAGGAGGAAAAGGAGGATGAGATAAAAGACTTAAAGAAAGAGGAGAAGCAGCAGGAAGTGGAGGGGATAAAGGAAGAGGGGAGAGAGAGGAGGTGGAGGAGAAGAAGAAGGTAGAGATAGAAGAGTTAAAGGAGGAGGAAGCAGTGGAAGAGTTAAATGAAGGGGAGAACAGGGATGAGATTGAGGAGATAAAGGAGGAGAGAAAACAGGGGGAGGTGGGGGGGTTAAAGGAAGAGGAAAGTCAGCAGCAGATAGAAGAAATAAAAGAAGAAAAGCAGGAGGGGGGAGTGTCAAAGGAAGAGGAGGAGCAGCAGGAAGTGACAGAGATAAAGGAAGAGAGGAAAGAGGAGGAGGTGGAGGAGAAGAAACTAGAGGAGTTGGAAGAGATAAAGCCACTGGAAAAGCAGCAAGAAGTGGAGGAGGAAAAGAAGGATGAGGTAAAAGACTCAAGGGAAGAGGAGAAGCAGCTGGAAGTGAAGGAGATAAAGGAAGAGGGGAGAGAGGAGGAGGTGGAGGAGAAGAAGGAGGGGCAGATTGAAGAGTTAAAGATGGAAGAGAAACAGGAGGAAAAGAAGGTGGAGGTGCAGGAAGTGGAGGAGGAAAAGCAGGAGGAAAAGGAGGATGAGATAAAAGACTTAAAGAAAGAGGAGAAGCAGCAGGAAGTGGAGGGGATAAAGGAAGAGGGGAGAGAGGAGGAGGTGGAGGAGAAGAAGAAGGTAGAGATAGAAGAGTTAAAGGAGGAGGAAGCAGAGGAAGAGTTAAATGAAGGGGAGAACAGGGATGAGATTGAGGAGATAAAGGAGGAGAGAAAACAGGGGGAGGGGGGGGGTTAAAGGAAGAGGAAAGTCAGCAGCAGATAGAAGAAATAAAAGAAGAAAAGCAGGAGGGGGGAGTGTCAAAGGAAGAGGAGGAGCAGCAGGAAGTGACAGAGATAAAGGAAGAGAGGAAAGAGGAGGAGAAGAAACTAGAGGAGTTGGAAGAGATAAAGCCACTGGAAAAGCAGCAAGAAGTGGAGGAGGAAAAGAAGGATGAGGTAAAAGACTCAAAGGAAGAGGAGAAGCAGCTGGAAGTGAAGGAGATAAAGGAAGAGAGAAAACAGGAGGAGGTGGAGGAGTTAAAGGAAGGGGGGAGGCAGGAGGAAGTGAATGACCTAAAGAAAGAGGAAAGTGAGCAGCAGATAGAAGAGTTAAAAGAGGAAAAGCAGGAGGTGGAAGAGTTAAAAGAAGAAGAGAATAGGGAGGAATTAAAGGAGATGGAAGAAGAACAGGAAAAAGAGAAGAAAGAGGTTGAACAGAAACAGTCATCACATTTTGAGGTACAGGAGGAAAACACTGACAAGCCAGAGTCAGCAAGCAGTGAGAAAGAGACACAAGATGACAACAGCTTGGAATCTGTCTTCTCAGAAACACAGACTGAAAAGAGACAGACCGAAAACCCACAGACGGAAGAAGAGAAGAGAGCAGAAGTGGGAGAAGTAAAGAATGAAATGAAAGAGGAGGAGGCTGTGCTCCATCAGGGAGATAAAACTGAGCCCAAAGACACCGAAACTAGCAATGGGGTTTCGACTGAGCAGAAAACAGAGCTACACTCCAATCACAAGATAGGCACAGAGGAGGACACTGACAGGGAAGAGAGGGACATCAACATGAAGCATGATGTAGGAGTGAATGAGGATGCTGATATACGGATGAAAGATAATGATCGTAAGACAGTTAGCACTGAATTCAGTGCCGAGGGAGGAATGAAAACAACAGTTTCGTCCAGTGACCCCGTTGGAAGTCCGGCTGTGATATCTGAACATCCAACTGGTTCTTCACTTCTGTCTGATGGTCACAATGAAGGGACAGCAGAGACTGAAAGTAGAGGAGCATTTGGCCTTTTCAAAAATGCCTTTACCTTTTTCAGCCAAACTAAGGAATCCACAGAATCTGCCCCAGGTTTGGATTCTAACACAGGCAAGACGGGCGAGGCACAAGACTCTCTGACCCCTGAACAAGAACTGGATTCAACTAGTGATTCAAGTCAGGTTTACACTCAAGATTTGCACATAGATACTCCCATCACCATGTCACAGCAGCAGCTGCAGCCCTCTACCACCTTTATCCAGACATCACCTCCATCCCCATCGCAAGCCCTTTCTCATCCCAGTTCTCTGACTCCAAACACAGGAAGCCCTGTCCAAACAAAAGCCCTCTCCAAACACTATAAGAACTTCCTTGCCTATATGAGCAAGGATGAGACAACTCTTTTGATGGAGCTCTTTGGGCGACACAAGCTGCAGTTTTTGGATTACATTTTAGGAAGTCCAGAAACCATGACTGATGACCCTGATAATGATGAGTCCATATTGTTGGATATAGAAAGAGTGCTGCACTATCACAGGGAGACACTGCTCGCTCCTAGCATGAGGCTCGTGGACGCACCACAGGCGGACAAAGAAAAGACCAGAATGCTCATCGCGCTTCAGAAGCTAGAAATGCTGTTGGCAAGAGTGAGAGAAACTTTCAACACAGGAAAGTCCGACATCAGTAAACATAAAGGTATTTTTGTCTACAAGGCCTCAGAGATCATGGCTGATCTTAGTGATACTTTAAGTTAATTTAATATTTGAATTGTAGAATTGGATTGACTTGCAAAGATCTCAATCAGAGTGCATGTGTTTCCCTGTTAAATACAGCCGGGGCCAGCTGTGTTGGTGAATCCTGCTCAATTCCCAGCAGAGATGAGAAAGAGTCAAGTAAGAATGGAGATTCCTCTTCAAGCCTGGATAATAACTCTCCAAGAGATGAATGGATGGGGGTGGAGAAAGAGACCGATGGACAGATGAGTGGAGACATGGGAAAAGGGAGGGTAACTGAGGAGGAGAAAAGAGGAGAGAAGAAAATTAGAAGTGAAGGAGACGGAGTGTTGCGTCCTCATATTCAGCCAGGATCATCAAAGCCAATCGAAGGTATGGATATCTCAAGTGTCCCTTAGTGAAGAAGGGTTAAAAGATGCTTCTTCCGCATTCCTGTGACACACATTATCACATGGCCAGAATATATTTAAATTTTAACACTAGCACATTAATATAGGCTAATAATCAAAGCTAAAACCTTTGGGTTGAATTCTAATAATATTATCCAACGAGGGTTAAAATGAAGGGCAACTGGACTTGGTTGAAGCTACTGGAACACCAGTAACCAGTTCCAGTAGCTTCAACCAAGTCCAGTTGCCCTTCATTTTAACCCTCGTTGAATAACTATGACCTGGATGACTGAGAATCTTCATAGACTTCTAATAATATTGTATTATCAATATCATTGTGACAATGGAAACTTTAAATTCTATTATGTTTGTGACTCCAGGGGTAATGAAGCAAATTCTGGACTTTGTTCAGCAGATCGCTGAAGACTCAACCACTCATGTTCATGCAGCGAAGAAGCTCCTCATATGGCTAACTGTACAGGTGGGAGTTATCACCACATTCATATCCAAGGAAGCGGAAAGTAGGTTAGATTATCACTAAATGATCTAAGTCAAGTGTAGTTTAATTACATACAACTTACAGAGATAATTTGTGTTTGAGAGGGTGCTTCCATCATTGTACAGTGAGTACAGTAAAAGTACAAATTAATGATTTAAAATATTTAAATCCAGAAACAGAAAATCATCTGAGCACTACTTTTTAATTATCTAAAACGATTACTGTTTCCTATGTGAGATGTAAAAAAAAAAAAAAAAAGTTTACAAAATTAAATATGCTTCATGGGTATTTTATTTTTACCTTACAGCATTGTTTAGTAGACTTGATGACTGTGGTAAAAGCAGGGTGCCTTTTTTTAACTCAAAATCTTGCATGACCTAGTTTTAACATGTTTTGTCTGGTAACTTGAAGGTTCACAGGCATCTTTCGGGTCTGGATACTGAATCGATTCAAAGACCCTCTTTCACACCTTCAGTGTTCCTTACAGCGATTCCTTGTGTCTGTTCTGCGGACTCGGGTTCTTTAAGACACAGAACCTGACAGACATGTTGACCTCACTCTCCCTCTGGCATTCAGCTCTGCCTACCACTCAGCTATGCAGTTGAGCCAGCTGGCAATCAATCCGCACTGAAGGCAAATTGTTTCAAATGTTGTGAGGGCTCGTGGTTCTCTAGTTTCAAATGGACGAAATTGAGGCCAGTTTGGTGAGTAGCTTTTGAAACATTTGGTGAAAGTTCTACGTCAGACTGAGCCAAGTCTTCACCTGTGTCCTACTTAAAAGTTAAACCGCGGCCGTCACTCAACGTAAGTGACACATGGTTGTACGGCTGCTGGAGAAGAATGGCTTAAAACATACATGTGTAAAGTTTGTACAGTAATTATATTAGTTATTCGGGATTTTCAAAAACGACACCGAGAATATGCCATTTATTTTTGTGACACCTGTTTCTTTTGGTGTCACTTTGAACGTGCTCCGATGTGCCAGTGTGGCGTTTTACAATTGGTGACGTTGCGAGTGAACCACTTATGCGGACAGGGGTGTAAGTATGTCTCTATATATCTGCATGGGCCTCTGAGTGCTCAAATAAACATATTTATTTATTAATTCTTTATGTATGTAGTGCTTTTTTATTGTCAACTTTATAAGCAATTACAGTGTAGTAAAATATTTACGATGAGTTTGTAGAGAAACTGCAAAATCCCCCCTAGGAAGTGCAATGTTACGTGGTCCACTGTTGAGCGTCGGTGTTGTGAATAGGATGTGAAATCGCCGCTAACCCGATGACTTCAGTTTCTGCTGCTAATGTCAGTTTAAATGAAAGATATCAATAAAACCACAACCAAATGAAATAATTCGGAAATGGCGGAACATACGGCAAGCGACCAGTTGGCCAGCAAAGCGGTGGACTTTCAGACGACGGCAGAGGCTTACTACAGTATCGCCGTGGAGAAAGTGAAGGATGTACGTTATGTGGCAGGTTTCGTTAGCATTTCCCAACTAGCCGTCGCGGCTGACACAACGTAACGGATTGTCAAGCAATAGAAAACAGCTCAGTAACGTTATTATTGCTGTGTAGATCTTTTAATTTTGTACAGCTCGTGTTTGACTTCTTATGTGTCCTGCCAGTGTTGTTGACCAGCTGTAAAGACTGTTACATTGACATTTCATGTTGCTTTTTCAGATGTGTTTGTAATTCTTCTCAGAGTTAGAAAGTAATAGCTAACGTTAGCTGATTGATAGAAGTGTTTGTTTCTGATCAGTTGTCGTTGAGTTGTTTTTAATTTTTTAGCTAAGATATGACCGGTGTTTTGAATTGTCTCTATAGCAGATAAATATGCTTCTGCTCTCTATCATTTACTTTCCTAACAGCTGTGTGGTAGGCTGAGTAGTCATGGTTTACTACTTGCAATACCAACAAACATATAGTAACTAAGATATACATTCACTGGTCAAATGTAATGTAAGAAAATTCATATTACTCAAAGATTAAATGGCTCCTTTTAGAAACGCAAGAGGCATAAATAAGAGCAACAGCTGTTTTGTGGGCTGCATCTCTAATATTTAATTGCATTCATGATTAAAAAAAAAATGTTTAGCTTCTCATTAGAGTAGTGCTTTTTCTGGCACCTTAATTAGAACAAGTTTACAGGGCAGTCGTGCAGTACGGCAAAGCTGATCCTAATGTCCACAATGAGTATACCATTGTGTATGTTGTTCCCAGACATACAAGCATCACACATCTCTTTTTAAAGATGTCCATTTAAACCAGCTCCTAAAATAAACACATTTCTCCTCTTCTTCAGGTTGTATCGTCCCTGCCTGATGACATCCGACCCGGGCCGGATCTGTACGGGGTACCATGGGAACCAGTTATCCTCTCCAGTCTGGTGGGGCTGGTGACAATGCTGCTGTTCACCTGTAGATGTTATAGCTCTGTGAGTACACAGCCAAGCTTATACGCATCAACCTCACAAAGTTTCTATATGATTTGAATTTGTAGTGGTACAGTTGGTTCATAGTCTTTTTTTTTTTTTTTTTTTTTTTTTACTTCTTCATAGGTCAAAAGCAGAATGTATCAAAGTAAGTTCTCACTACTTATTACTTAATATAACATTTTTATGACTTGACTGAAATAAAGCTAATGCATCACGAATCACTGCCAATTCCACCTCTCTCTGACCATTAAGCTGGAATATTTTAGAAATAACTGAAAAATATCTTGAATAAGTTTATGAACTTTATGTTTCCTGTTTCAGGCAAAGAGCGGTGGATGGCTGAGCAGGTTGCACAGCTGCTGGATGAGAAGTGTAAAGTCCTTGAGACTCTCAGCAAATGTCAACAAGAGGTCGGTACTGGTCAGTGGTCAACCGATATGGGTTTTTCAATGGCTGATGCCGATATTTAGAGAGCAAGGTGGCCAATGGCTGATATAAATGTAAATGTAAATGCTCTGTACTTGTATAGCGCCTTTCTAGTCTTTTTGACCACTCAAAGCGCTTTTACACTACATCTGCATTCACCAGTCACACACATTCACACACTGAGCCTAAGTGCTCAAACGGAAACTAACATTCACACTCATTCATACACTGGCGGAATAGCAATTCGGGGTTCAGTATCTTGCCCAAGGAAACTTCGACACGCAACCAGGGGGAGCCAGGGATTGAACCGCCAACCTTCCGATTAACGGCCAACCCGCTCTACCTCCTGAGCCACAGCCGCCCCAAATATATAATATATAGAATGCTTATATCACAACAAAGATAAGTAATGTTTAATTCCATTATTTCATGCAGAGTTCAGTCTAATATACATGTTATCTTAGCCAGTAACGTCTTGTTTTAGATAATGTAAGCTGTCATTTAGGACAGGAGAAACGTGTTAACATTTAGAAAAGATGATGGTGAAATTTAGGGCTCAAAACTAACTTTTTTTACCACCTTTTCAAAACTCACAAGGGGAAGCATTAACATTGTTCCAAAGCAGCCACACTGACAAGGCTGTCTGCAGATGTGTCTGAAGTGTAGGCAACAGCCGATGCCGAATTTCTCAAAATGCCAGATATGTACCTGATTAATTGTTCTACCACAAGTACTGGTGTCAGTGTTAACTGATTGCTGGTTAGAGACAGAGCCTGTCTGACACAGAACACTGTGTATTTTTAGCTGAGGCCAAATTCATATAATGTTTCATTTTCCATGGCATGAAAAACATCAGAATTAGAAGATATCTTGTGCATTTTGTCTGAGGTATGATCAAAAAGCTGAAACTTTAGCTGTATATAATTATGAACATAAAGTTTAAATCCTAATGAAATAAATTTTTGTCATTGATATCATGAGTCCTGCCCAAATTTCCACAGGTGTATTACCATCATATTGTATATGATGCTTTGGCAATGTTGTTACATTCATGCCAATAAAGCTAATTTGAATCGAAGTGAATTGAATTACCTCATTATCTGTCATTTGCAGTATGATGAACTGGAGAGCTCACTGAAGGACAGTGGTGTTTTGGCCCAAACTCAAAAGACAGAACATCTGGAGGTAAGGCAGAGAGAAAAAATAATTTAAAGGAGATTAAGAATTGTCTAAATAATTAGAAACCACAGCCAAGCTGCTAACTAGTGTTTGCCCAATAAACACTGAGAAGTCTTTAAATGTGTGTGCTTTCTCCAAGTGGACTGATGAAACCTGCTATAACTGATTTTAGAAAAGTTGATTTGGCGAATTACTTATTTCCACATCCAGCTGTTACTGGGCAACATCAGTCCTTTTGAGTTGTATTTCTGGCTAATGTAAGTCCAATATTCACTCTGCATTTATCTCCGTTATTGATCTCTACTAAATCCTTAAGGAAATATCTGGCTCTTTAGCTGCTATTGCTCCATTGTGTTGCTAACTGTGTCTGCTGTCTGATGCTGAGTAGATACTGTGCAGTGGGGGTTTAGACAGTTGTCACTTTAAACAGCTGCCTGCTGCTGTCAAAAACAACACAATGAGAGCGGCCAGAGTGAACCTAAACAGTAAAGTTGTGGGCTATAAAGCTCCGTAAAGCTGAGAGGAGCTGCAGATTCAGATGATAATTATCTGTATGGTCATAACTACGCTTGGCCTCTTTCACATTGTCACATTGTCTTTGATACATTATTATAATAAAAATATAGATTGTACCCAGTTTAAGGTGATCATTTCAAAGAACTGCTTCACCAAATTATGACAAAATACTCATCACATTTTGGCACTGTATTCTCACTCCACACGGTCTCCCTCTTTTGCTCTTACGTTTTTTAAATACCTCTTGTTTTCTTGCTCCTCCAGGGCAGAGCCATACAGTTGGAACATGCTAAAGGGGAGCTGGATCGGGATCTTGAACAACTGAAGGATCAACTGTATCAGCAGAGGGAACATAGGATAGCTCAGGAAAAGAGGGTAGGAGCACACAAAGTCTAGTTAACTGGAACCTCTACAATTGTTATTCAGGAATCACATTTTAATAAGCATGAGAATCCATTATAGTAGTGTGATATTGATAGAGTGGATTCTTTTTTTGGGTTATCCTTCCAGATAGCAGTGCTTGAAGAGAGCATGAAAACATTTGAGGAAGAAACCCAAGACCTCCAGTCACAGCATGAGCAGGTGCCGCCCTCTCATCTTTGTGTCTTCACATTCAAGTCCTCCTCTCTTTGCTGCTCCACCTTTTCCTCCTCTTTTGCTCTGTCCCTCTGTGTTTCATTTGACATTATCGCTGCCCATTTGTCTCTAGGCACAAACCACTCTGAAAGTATACAGTATGAACAGTGACAGACTGCAGAAGAATCTGGAAACAGCCGGAGAGGAGAACACACTGCTACAGGAGAGCAACGCTCAGGTAGGACACTGTACACACACACAGACAGACAGACCCCTACAATTACTGTGCATGGTAGCAAGTTGGGTGGTTTTTCTTTTGCATGGTTGCAATGAAAGTTTTAAAGGAATGCTTATAGATAATAGTTGATTCATGGTTTTCTATGTGAGCTCTTTACAACCTGTGTACACAGATTTGAATTGAGGAAATATGAATATTTGTCTTTTTCCCTCCCCTATCCGTCTCTGTTCCCCTTCTTCCTTGCACCATCATTGCATCCCTCTGCTGTCTCTGTCTCTCTGCAGTTGAGGCAGCAGGTGGAGGGATGGGCAGAAAGAGTGAGTGAGTTGGAGGAGGAGATGAGCCGGTGTGAGGTCGCCCACAGCGCGATGCTTCAGGATGTGGCCAACAAGGATGAGCGTATAATGGTATGGTTGGTTCTAGCATTAATTATAGGATAGTTACTGTATAATATACCTTGAATTTTCTAATAAAAAAAACTGGCCTTCAAATAAGGATGTATCTTGAGAACCACTATAGAAGAATACTGCAAACTAATATAAAAGATCACCTTTAGTTAAAGGATACCGATACATTAATTTGTGTTGTATATTTATATGCTTTCAGTCCTTGACAGATCGGCTGCTGGGGATGAAGGCTTGGGATTCGGACCTGGAGGAAGAGGAAGGTGAGGAAGGAGGAGAGAAGGAGACGTCCAATGGGAGAGCAGAGGAGAATGGAAAAGGAGACAGAATGGACACACAAGGTCATCTTCAGAAAGTCCAGAAACTTATCTATGCTGCTAAGGTATCGGACTTAAATGAACACAAGCACACGTTGTTATTGGCACTGATGCTTAGAGCGGGACAGGGTTTACAATAAAGAGCATTTGGAAACGCTAAACCGGGCTGTTTCAAATTAAACATCTCTGTACACTTCTCTGAATGCCTACTAATGTGTTGTTTTTGTATTTGTGTGTAGCTGAATGCAGATCTGAAATCAGTAGATGAAGACAAGGACAGAGTATTTGCCAAACTAAGTGATGAAGTCAGAGCTAAAGAAGACCTGCAAAGTGAGTCAACCGTACATCTATTCTTATTAAAGTTGGCACTACGATGTCTGATGCGGAACAAATAAGTCAGATATAGGGTTGTAATTAACACTGTACACAATACACTGTGTGTGTGTTATCTGTGTGCGTATTTTTATTTTTCCCTCCAGTGAGCATTAGGGAGCTGGAGAATGAGAAATTATCACTGCACTCAGAGGCTGAGCACTACTCAGATCAGGTAGCTGATCCCAACTGTGTATTAGTGTGATATTTTATTATATTATTGTTCCACATTCATTTGCTTTTGGATTCATTTCTTTTATTCATGTGTTCAGGTCCAAAAATTACAACAGAAACTCCAGATTATGACGGAAATGTACCAGGAGAATGAACTCAAGCTACACAGGTATAGACACGCTGATAAATGTGCAGAGACAATGCCAGTGCAAATTCAAGCTATAGTAGTACAGCATGTTGATGAACATATGTTGCAGGCTGCTGACAGTAGAGGAGAAGGAGCGGCTTCAGAAAGAAGAGAAGTTAAATAAAGCAGACAGAAACATTGCGCTGGCCATGGAAGAACTCAACAACTATAGGTAGCTACTTCTTCAGTGTTCCCACACGCATTAACAATATGCAGGTGGACAATTACGAGCCTCCCATGCACAGAAAGAGCCTGAGTCTCACCTGCACCTGTCACTTTTTCTTCAGGAAACGGGCAGAAGAGATGGAGGAAGAGCTGGAGAAAACCAAACAGTCTTATCAGACGCAAATATCAGCACATGAGAAGAAGGCTCACAATAACTGGGTTCGTAAGACTCCAGCTCAAAGCACTTGAAAACATGTGCGTATACAGACTGTATCTGTATCTGAGTCATGTTGTGTTACTGATCTTGGCTTGATTTTCCAGTTGGCAGCCCGAGCAGCAGAAAGAGATCTAGCAGACATCAGGAGAGAAAACGCCCTCTTCAGACAAAAGTAAGCATACGGTAACCTAGCCTTGTGTTAATTTAAGTTCACTGAACCTAAATGAACACAAGCTTAAGTTTTACTTCAAAAATGTACTATATTCAGAATTCAATATAAATGTAACGTAGCTGGTAGACTTTTGCAATGTAAACATCTAAAAACTGAGGCGCAAACTTGCTCTGATTGGGACAGTGGGTTGCACTTTATTGGAGATGCTAAAGTTAACGTGTGGATTTGTGGGGAGATTTCTGCCTGATCAGAAGTGTTTTCATTTAGTTTCCACCTCCATGTCTCATCTAGTTCTGAAGAGATCCTACCATATCAGCAGAGCAATAACATAATGCACAGCAGAGTAAAGGGCAGGTAGACTTAAAATATTGAAATGCTGATATGTGGGATAGACGTTGAATGTGCAGAAAGTTTTGACCATGAGCAGAAAACCTGCTGAAACGCAGGAACTATCAAAGTCCAGGAGTTTATAACTGAATTAAAATGAAATAATCATTGAGGTGAAAAAGTGGCACAGTCACAATTAAAGAGATTACTTGCCCAAACAAAAGAGGAGGGAAGACTAAATCGTTTGTTGACTCAGCAGGGATGATATTGCAGAAAGGATCTACAGGATAAACACATATGTAAGCAACACAGAATACCTGGGAGCTGCTCTGACTTATATTCTGTTAGATTTATATATTTTTAAATGTACCCTGCCACCTAAATTTTGTGTTTCCCTTTACATAAATAAAAACGTCTCCACCATAAATTGCAGGTAATTAACCGTTTAATGCTTGAATTTTTCATATAATTCGGCGTTGAAGATTTCTTAAAAATAGTGTTAAAATCCTGCCTCGATCTTGTGAACCCGATATTGTGTCTCGTCTTCTAAGTGTCTCGTCACACCCCTACTGTATACATTACATGTTTGTCATATGTTGACTTTAGGTGTGTTTGTTTACAGGCTGACAGACACACAGTTTAAACTAGATGCCCTCGACAAAGATCCCTACGCCTTGGACACCCTGGCTAGACCGCTGCCTTTCAGAGGTGAGCAGACGCATATAAACCAAACAGTAGCTTACAGTATATTCTGTGGCTAATAAGCCCTAGCCTGGAAGCAGTAGGCCACAGACGTCCTGAACTTTGATCTCACCAAACTATCCTCCTCCAGCTGAGAGGTCACCGTACGGACCGTCTCCTCTGGGTCGACCTGCATCGGAAACCAGAGCTTTTCTGTCTCCTCCTACGTTGATGGATGGACCTGCTAGACTGTCTCCTAGAAGTATAAACACACAGAAAGCCACAACCCACAAATAGTTTCATAGTTTCCATTCATCCACTTTCAAGACATTCTCCTGGTTATTAACTTATTTTAAGAACAGTCCTCTTGTTATCATTTATAAGCCATTTTCTTTATTATTAGGTTTTGCTGATTGGAATTATAAAAACTTCATCATATTTTGCATATAGTACATTCATTTGCAAATTCAGTCTTAAAGTCATTACAACACTTGTAGCATGTTGGAGATGACCAGCTGGCAGGAGCATGATCAGCTTAAACTCCTGTAGTAGCATGGTCTGTTTGCTGGGATGCTGTTGGCAGTCTGGAAAATCTGTGGGGAAAAATAGACACTTTCACACTTTCTCTTTGTCTCTCTCTTCCAGTCACACTCATTCGGATCTAATTGTCTTCACTGTCTAGTATTTTGTCTTTGGTCGATTGGTTCTGCTTGTTTCCTCCTCTCTCTCTGTCTTTCTCTCACGCTCATCAACATCTTCAATTATCTCTCCTCCTTCTTTCTCTCTTACTGTCTCCTTCCTCCCGTCCTTTCCTCCGCAGTGCCTCGTGGTCCAGTGGAGCCCCCGGGTGGCCATGGAGAGATGGAGCGGAGTGGAGGTCCTCATTCAGACAGTGGCTCAAACTCTCCTACATGGGAGAGAGATCGCAGGGGACCCCCACCAGGACCTCCAGGTGCGTGTATGAAAGAGACAAAGAGAAAGGCAGACATAGAGTGAATCAATAACGTAGGGTATGTCTACCTGTAATATTAGAAAGGCCTGGTGACACTCACACAGCCTGAGCAGCCCTGACCTGTGTGATTTAGATATTTAACAGAAATTAGTATATTTACTCTGTTTGATCCAAAACTAAGCGGGTAAATGCTCAACAGTTAAAACTTACGTGCTTTTCAGCAGCATGTTCTCCTTTCTTATACAATTTAAACTGTTTAAAGGAGCTACCACGCTGTATATGATATTTAATATTTTGTCTTTATTGTACTGTGGTCCAGTGTTGGAAAACATTTTCAAGTTCTAGTCCACTCAGTGTGACCTTAAAACTATTTGTGCAGTGCTGACAATACAGCACAGATGAAAACAGTTCTGTTCCTGCTGATTCCTGCTTCCATATCAAATTTAGAATCAGCCTTCAGACTGCAGCAGGGGACTTGTTGTTTTTTTTATACGTCCTCACTCTCATGGGGAGATATGTGTGTGGCACTGCTGGATTTCTGCTGACTCATCAACCATTCATCATGGTCATTATTAAGTTATTTATACATTTGAAAAAATCCACTTTGATTTTGTTCAGGCCAAATATTTCACTTATTCACAGGTGTAACTTTTAACACTAACTAGTGAGGACAGACTGCAGCCATTGTTAAGGTTATTAGTTGCACATGTTTTGCAATTCACATAGTGTTTACGTGCATGTGTATTTACTGCATTTTGAGTTTTGACCTCGTAAACTACTACGAAGCTCTGTGTTTGTATTCAATCATGATCGACCAGTTATAAAACGTGTTAAGATTAAAATGAGGTTTTCCTCATATTTTTTATTTTTAAGCTTTTATGCACCACAGTTCAGACACTCAGACTCCAGTTACTTTCAGTATTTACAAAGTCACTCTCCAGTTATTTGTTAATGGAGCAACCACCAAAAATAAAACATGACAATACAGATTAGAGCTTTGTTTGACTTATTTACAGGTTAAGAAAGAGCCGTCCATATAATGTTAATACATTTCACATATCGTGGTGTATTCTTTCTGTCTTAGGCTACATGTTCACAGAACCAGGAGGTCCAATGTATAGGAGACCTCCACCTCCTCCAGGAGCTCTAGGCCCATTGCCTCCTCCTGGCTCCTTCCCGCCCGGCCCTCTCCATCCTAGGGGTCTCCCCCCGGGACCCCCACACCCTGCAGACATGGCAGGTGCGTCAGTGCGATCTGTATAGCTGCTTGTCATCCCTTCCATATGTTCTCATGTAGTATACTGTGTTGCCATCTTTAACTCTTTTAGACTGTAAATATGTGAACTCGCACATATTATAGTGGGAAAGCAGAATTCAAACTCTGGTGAACACCTAGACATGTGTTGAAATGCAATGCAGACTCCAAACAAAAAACATACATGAACTGCCTACTTGATGATTGACCATTCATTCCCTTCCCTGCAGATATCTCACACAGAGAAAACAGCCTTGGGCCTGGTGAACAGGAACGCAGAGAGGTAAGAGATGTGTCTTGAGAGCCATTCTGTGTGTGTTTGGATCTGTGGTCCAGCCTCTGAACATTTACCTTTACGTATCTGTGTCACCAGTCTGGTCCTGGAGATCGAAGGACTCCCCCTGAGGCTGATCCAAGGATGGGGGGCGCACCCCCAATGGGCCCGATGGGCCCCATGGATGGTCCCTTTCCTCGTAGAGCCCCCTATGGTCCACCACCTCCTGATTTCTATCCTCCCAGGGGACCCGGGGGCCCTCCCATGATGCCTAGTAAGCAGCCACACCTGTGTTAACAATATTTTAGTACAATTTTATCTTCAAATGTCATCAATGAGTTAACCTAACGCTCTTATCCTCTTTGTCCAGTGTGGGCCCCTCCGCCTCCAGGGATGATGTTCCCTCCTCGTTTCCCTCCCAGTGGACCTCCTCTTGCTCCTACTTCTCATTCCCGCCACCCTCCCCCATGCGGCCCCCTCTGCCCGACGGCCTCCCACCTGCATCCATGGGTCCTCTTCCTCCCCAGCAGTCCCTCCCCTCCCCACCACACAGCCAGTCGCCAGACGAGCGCACAATCTCGCCTGAAGACGCCATTTGAGCCTGAGGTTTTGTACGTGAGCTGCAACATGACGTGTTTCTGGTTAAAATATAGCATGGTGGTAGATGGATGGTTGGGCAGGTCTTCCTTACTTATATTTTCTTCTGCTTAATAACTAGAGGATGAATTTAATGAAGAGTCTCACTTTGTTGCTGTCTGTCTGCTTCTCCTTTGTCTGTCTTTCTCTTCTATTCACATCCTCTCTTTTTACTCCCTCCTCTGCCCTGTTTCTCCAGTCTGCCTATCCAGCTACATTCCCTGTGAAGTAGTTCCTGTTGTTTCAGAGTCACAGTGAGTGGTTAGACTCTGTTGTGTAATAACACGACAGCTTAATCTGTACATCTGGGTGTGTGAATGTTGCCACCTGAACCAGAAACAGTTGCTTGTTTGCTTGACAAGGTTTTTAATGATACTAGGATTGAAATGTGCACATGTACAAATGCTCTTTGTGTGGTATGTGGCAAGTGTCGAGTGTTTTACATATGGCATCAGTCAGCATTTCATCCCAGTGGCACAGAAAGAGAAATCAAATGATGACAGGCTATTAGGGAAGAAACGCATCTTTTTTTAGGCATAATATAATATATTTTGTTACACCTGCACTCATGCCATTGTCTCCATAATTTATGAAAGCGTGTCCTATGACACCTGCGTTGAACTGGATTTTACACTTAAATCAGGTCTGGTTTTGTCTATGACTGAGTTGAACTTAAACTAAATATTCCTCAGAGGTCAAATGAGAGAAGATTCATCAACAAAGCTACTATATCAAAGAGCAGCAAGCAAACAATGCTTTTAATCATGTTTCAGTGACTGGCATATGGCCTAAGCTTGAAAATAGTGGCTTTTAGTAGCCGCATGTATTTTGTGGAAGTAAGCTGTGACTCGTCCTGGCAGCCACAGAGCAGTGATTTAAATGGCTGGAAGAGAGGCTGCCTTCAAAGCCACAAAGATGACACCCATGTGAATTTTGTAAAAAGTGATTATTAATAGATGAATAAAGACTGTCAAATTGTCACAGTCTCCATAATTCACTGATGTATTACTGTTCAGTGTATATATATATATATATATATATATATATAATCTCATCTGACATGCGATGGCAGTGTTATAAATATGGTAAATATGTAATTGCAGAGTATACTTATTTATTGTCACCTTGATTGTACAGCACAATTCATATGTAATGATGTCTAACTCCCTGACCAAACGCTTGTCATGTGTCATTTTAAACATTTACAGAACATTTGTTTGAAGGTGAACAGAACAATCTGAAAATAAATTTGCGACAATGCAGTTTAAATTACCAGACTTGTACGCTGTATATAATTTAGTATCATTTTAAATGGAACATCCCCGTTAGATTGAATATTCAGTTGTTGCTTTGCCTAATCAATGGAAATTCAAATGACGGGCATGGTTTTTCCTGTTCAGTTTGCACATTGACTTGCAGAGAGAATATCAACGTAGTGTCGGGGGGGAGGGGGGTGTAACACGAAACTGTGACTTTATACGATATGTTTTATTTGAATTAATTTGTATTATGATTGGGCTCATTAGTAGTCTAGATAACTCAGAAATTTGATACACAGACATGCCAATGAGGAAACCCACAGGTGTAACTAATTACAATAATGATTGCTCCTGGTATTCTCCATGCTGGCCCACTGACATGGCTTATTGGAACAGAGCCATCACTAATGTTACGTCAAAATCTGCTGTGAGGCGGGTCAGTTAGGTTTTACTGCAGTAGCTCTTTCTATTTGCAGGGCTGTCTGGGCTTAGTGTTTTCTCATGCATAATATATCCACTTGTAGGCACTTTATATCGACATACTTGAAATTCTGTCTCTCACTTCTGAATTGGAAACATGACAAACAGTTGTTGACTGATGTGGCCTAGAATGTTCCCAATTATTGTCTGAGGTCAAATAAGGCCATTTAACAAACTAATCATTTCTGTAGCTTTCACCAGTTGGTGAATCATAACTGATTTTCACTAGCTTTTCCTTTCCTTAAATCAGGACAAGCAAGCAAACTGTGTATTTGGTCGTGTTGCAATGATTTACATTTGCCACTGGTTTCAAAATAGTAGCTTATAATAGCCACTTGTGTTAGGCTCGGTTAGTTAAATGAGACACACCTGGGCTCATGTTCATTATATAGAGCGTATGACGTCACGGCATGTGGAAGTTGCCACAGTCACTCTACCGTGTTGGAAATATTAAGAGCAAGCTGTTAAACTGAAGCAATATTTTGTGGCTGTGTAATGTTAACAAATAAAACTTGTCACTTGAAATGTTTTTTCAAACCAGACTATCCATTGAGATCACTGCGGTTTTGGCCAGGCTGACAAATCCTGCTTATAGGATTTACCTGAGACCGAACTCAGATTGATTTTTCAATTGTATTAAGCAGTGTGTTCAAAGATTAAGTGATTATTCATTTTTTGAGGATGAGGTCTCCTCTTTCCTCAGTTTTACTACAGGGAGTAGAAAAGGCAGCCAGAGCGTCCTACAGCCCTGAGTGCACTAGTGGGATGATAAGCATTGTGCCAGTACATCATTTTATACACTCTCCAAGCACCTGGTGGTCAGGGAAGAAATGCTATTAAGTGTGATCAATAGTCATTTTATTAAGAGAATATAAATATTCTGGTTAAGTCATCTCCGATCTAGGCAGGTGTGGCCTCTCTATTAGTTCCTGCGTCAGCCACTACTTCCTTTGTATGTGTTGTGTTTAGATCCTGTAAAGCACTCTGTAAACATTTCGTCCTTATAAGTGAGGTATTGCTTGCAAAAGAGCCAGGGTGACGTAACGGAGGCTCCCCTCGGTCTGGCAGCACTTTCACTGTAATGTAAACCCTTGATGCGTTTACCTATCAGTGGCTTCTCTGCTAAAAGAAAACACTTAACAGAGACGCCACAAAGTACTTACAAAACAACTTTTAATTGTAAAACCCACCCAACATTATCACCAAGAAAGACACAAATGTACCCGACACAGTATTAAACAAACTGTCAAAAAAACCAACTGATGATATGAATGAATATTGAACATCCACACCCCCTTAATCATTAAACACTTCAGTTTATAAAATCAATATTACTAAATGGCCGTGTCTATCATCCTTTATAAACAGTGGGTTGTGTCGATGGCGAGGTGGGATTTGAAGGACATGGTTTGAGTCTTTCCCTGTCTGTACAATTACTGTAGTCATCATCATATTATCCTAACAAATCTGCTCAGCCATAAATACCAGTAAAACACTGAAACAACAACATCATCTCTTTTTGGGGAGCTCATGAAGATAAAAGCATTTTCATGTTCATGAGTAAAAATGCAGAATGTGGATTTAACTGTAGAGTGGGCGACAGAGAGAAGAGGTAGATGGGTAAGAAGAGAATGCACCTGTTGAACTACAACTTTAAAGGGATCCCATGGCATTTTAACGTTTCATATGCTGTTTGCATTATATTTGGCACTCAGTTATTCTAAAATCATTTGTTGTGTGTGTGGTTACCATGACTCATTGCATTACTGATACTGGTTTGCAATTGCAGTGACGTAGCGATGAATAAAGAGGGGAGTAAATTCACTTTACCTGATGATCCACATGAAAATAACCAGCTATGTCAACACTGCACACGCAACCTTGAAAGATCTTTTTCCTTATCATGCATTTAAATTACGGCTATCACTGAGTTTGTCTCAACCACAGTCACAGCAACCAAACTGCAGCTCTTACAAAACATGACAAAGAAACTTTACAGGAATTCAAATGTAGGCACTGTGGAAGACTAGAGTTGTGAATACTTTGTGAAACCACCAAAAAAAACTGTACAAACCATCAAACGCTTCAAAACACTGTAACAAAAAGTTAATATCAGTCTCAAAAGACATTTAAACGGATCCACATTTTTTTAAAAGTACATTAATTAAAAATGTCATGGCAAGACTGACCAGGTTCATAAAAAAGTATTTCCCATATGTCACTGGACGCATTGTCCATAACCCTCTAGGTTTAAGATTAAAAACCTCCATGTTTACAATCACACATGATGTGGAGCACGTGTAACAAAACCTTCTCCCTGACCATGTCACTGAGCAAGTAAAGATTTGAATGCTCCAAGAAGGAGAGCCTTCTAAAAGGGCCAGTCTTGCCAAATTAAACTCAATATAAAATGTTTGCAAAGGCTCTTGAACAACAGTGCTGCAGACTATTGCAATAACTCTCCATGTGACTCAGAGGTCTCCATTTCAGATAAAGCTTCACCAACTGTAGGCGGCAGTTTACTTTGGGTGTGAACTAGGTTGTACAAAAATGGTCAAATCAGGTCAAAACAGTTGTGGTCTAACGCTCAGGGGTCAAACTTTGAAAAACTGAAATGACAGACATCAGCCATATAAGCTGAGCTCTGGGTATAACATTTTTCCTTAATGGTTTATATGGTATGTCATTTTGGAATGAGACCCTTTATTTGCTTATAATTGTCTGTTAATCAGGAAACCCTCTCTTTACTATCCAATGAGGATGAGATGGATACAGACAAAAAAAAAAGTAAAAAATAATAGCCCAATTCTGAACAGAGGTACTGGTGACTAACGTCAGTAAAAATAATGCTTCTATACCTGTTTGTCCTTTACAGGGATTCAAAACTGTGAGTCCTTTACTGCGCATGCCTGTTGGCCCAAGAGGAAGCTTACTGACCGGTGCCGCTGTTAGCCAAGGACTGTAGTGGATTGTGGGAAGATTCAGAGAAGTGTTCAGCTGTGTGCATTTTCATGCCTGCAGAAGTGAATGCTACCGTGTGTATGTGATATACAGTGTTATGTTTGCATGTACTTGAGGTCCTCGTGTGTTTGAGTGCATTTCCTGACGCGTCATTATATGCGTGTGTTTGGGAATGTGTGTGTGTGTGCGCTCCTCAGCAGTTGAGAATGGGTCTGTTTCTGTCGGGTCTGAATGGAAACACGGGGCTGTCCGAGTCAGCCTTCCCTCTATGGGGTCCCAGTGTAGCCACGGCCTGGAAGACAAAACACACACACACACACACACACACCAGGTTCTTAAAAGATGCCTGCACACACATTAATGCCATTGCCACCACGGGACAAAGACACAAGACACTTTTGCACACCTTTCTGATAGCTGTCCAGTCCTCCAGGATGTCCAAGTCAGGCAGCATGTAAACAATATATGGACGTGAGCGTGGTTAAGGAGAAGAAGCAGTATACGTAGAAATAGTAGTATCAATGTGAACAGTAGCAGAGGTATTAACAGTAGAAGGATATCGGACACCACAGAAGGTCGTTTCCTCTTCTTATCTGGACTTAACGCATCTCTCCTCTTCTTCCTTCCTGACAACTCATCATTCCACAGCTCTGATCGAGAGACGGAGAGAGAGAAAGACAGATCAAAATGGTTTGCACTGAATATAACACATTGGGCTTAAAGCGTGTAGAGTGCTCTTATTACCGCAGTTAAAATGTGTTCTATTTGGTGCCACGTGCATAACCTAACATCATGCAACGACTGTGTTCTGCGTGCATTACCTGATGTAATATCTATGCTGTGTCTGTCTTCCTCCAGTCTTCTAATTTTCTCCTCCAATTCACTCTGTACTGTATCAAACAGCAGCAGCTTCTCACTCTGCAACCACACACACAAAAGCATAGATCTAACACACAAGCATGCATCCAAATATGTACGTACACTGCCGCCAAAAGCACAGATCAAATGCTGCAGGACTTAAAAGAAAATGTATCACCTCAGCAATACACCTTAGTAAGACAGACGGTAATTTAAGTGCGTGTGTGTGTGTGTGTATGGGTACGTTTATCTTTGCAAGGCCCAATTTACGTTTTAGACCTTGAGAGTGAGGACATTTCAGCCAGTCCTCACTTTGGGCTGGACCTTCAAAGGGCAGTTTGAAGGTTAGGACTTGGTTTTAAGGTTAGATTAATAAGGTTTATGTTAAGCAAGTGTTGGACTACATCCCAAGGATGTAGTTTGTGGTGCCAAGGCAAAAAGAAAATCTATATAAAAAACTCCTAATGATAAAACATCTTATTAAAATAATCTTTAAATAATGTGCCAGAAAGGCTTTAGGGGTGGGGGAATAAAACAATGATCCCAGCCTCTCATGCTCAGTTTATTATCATGTGGTCTCCCCTCCAGGCTGTGATCAGGGTCAACCCTTTCACAAGTTTAAGGTTAGAATTAGCTTTAGGTTAAGTTAGAGGACAGAATGAGGATGAATCAAAAAGCAATATAAAACTCCTCTAATGATAAAACATCTTATCAAAAGAAGGGCTTGTGTTGGGGTTAGTTAATTTAGTTGTGATGGTTAAGGCTAGGGTTAAAGAATGCATTATATCAATGAGTCCTCACAAGTATAGAAGTATAAATGGGCGTGTGTGTGTCTGACCTCCCAGTGCTGGCATGCTGCTTGGGTCTCACACTCATACTTGTTCTTCACAGATTCCAGACACAGCTCTCTGTAAATTCCTGGCAAAGACAAAGGGAGACACACAATAACAGTGTGAATAAGGAAATGATAATGAGTGTGTAAGACTTTATGTCTGTGTGGTGAAGTTACCTGCCACCTTGGTTCGGACTTGCATGTTCTCTAGCAGTACCGCCAGAGGCTCCAGATATTCTGCAGCCCGGCCAGCATCCACCTCTGCCAGCTTGCTGTTCACCTGACTGAGACGCTCGTGATACAGCCTGCACAAAAAACACAGGTGTAACTACGGCCGTAGCTAATTCCTATGAGTGACTTTTTTAACATTTTATGTGTTTAGGTGTCAAAGTCAGAAGGTAAACTTGACAAATATCTAGTTCAGTCTTACTGGTCTTTGAGATCCGTGAACTGTTTCTCCAGATTGGACATTTCATCCAGACACTCCATCCTCCTCCGCTCACAGTCCTCCTCGTCCATTTCTGGAACACGATCAAAACACGCACAAAAAAAACTCAATGTATTATGAATTTAAATTTGAATAGCAGCTGTTTAGGAGCTGATATGGAAGCAAAACCTGGCTGACAAATTTTTCTGCTAGGTTATTTGTCTGCCAGCCATGAAAGATTTACAAATGGACAGTCTCACAAGGATGGACCAATTCATTGGTTAGGAATGTCCAGTCAAACATTTGACAGCAACTACTTTCTCTCAGAATCATTTACTGAAACAAAGTTTGAAGGAGAATGTTGTGCTCAATTTTAGCTGTTTCAGCATTTCTCACCAGAGCTGTCTCCATCCTCCGAGACAGAGGAGGTGTCAGAATCCTCCTCCTCTGAGCTGGACGCCTCTTGTTCGTGCTCCTCCACCTCCATCTCCTCTACTGTGCACTCCTTCTTCTCCCGGTCACGGTGCACTGGCATGGCAGCGAGTCGACTTCAGACTAATGAAGTGAATGTTAGATATAAAGAAAATGTCAGGTTCCTTTGGCAGTTTTACCTGCAACAGATACAGCTTTACACTTTTAACATATTATTTGATTCCATTTGTTTAGTTTAACTCCTGTAGATATTAAAAAGCTAAAAGATTTCAAAACATACCCACACTTTACATCTACTGGGGAGCTTTAGAAGTTTCGCATGTACATGAGAAAGTCTTAAGTCCAAAATGCAGTGCATAGTTATTATCAATGATGTTTTCCCGTCTGCATCATGCATAATTATAACCACTGAGTGTGTATAAATTTAAAAGTCACTTTAGATTAGATTAGATAAGATTAGATCAGCCTTTATTTGTCTCACAGGTGACAAATTTCAACATTACAGCAGAAAGTGGATAGCATGGAATAAAATAAAGTGATAAGTGACATTAACATAATACTAACAATATCAAAATTCTAAATAAATTATATAATACTAAAATTAAAAAACTATTTTTTTACACCTACAAAACAAATTACCAAATATGAAACAGCGCAAGTGACTATATGCATGTTGGCGTGCTTTTCCTTGACACTTAAAACAGATAAAAACAAATAAAAACAAATTCCAATATTAAACATGCAAAGTGACATTGTGCATTGATTTTCACTCAGTCTCTGAGTTGGGGTTTCTGTTTAATGCTTATCAGTGCTGATTATAAAGTCTCAGGGCTGCAGGAAGAAAAGATCTTCTGAATCTCTCCTTCACACATCTTCACAATTTCTCCTTTACACTTGAAATTAAAAAGATGGTTAAACACGTCTGAACATTAAGGGCAAATTACTTAATGGTCACAACTATTGATGCAGTCACGTCATATGGGCAACTAAAATGACTTGGCAGTTCAAAGTAATGACATCACTTGATGAGTAGTTGATTCGTTAGACATTTCTACCTGTAAGTTTTTTAATTTATGTTAGTGTTTAATACTCCCATTGTTATTTACCAAATGCAGGTAAGTTATTAACGTTAGTGCTGTAGGGTAGCCACCGAAATTATAATGATAATGACCGATGTTTTATACATTCTTGTCACGTATAGATATTTTTAATGGTAGATCAAATTGAAAAAAAAAAGTATTTTTGAAATGCGGGAAACACTGTAACGTCAATGAATATCTCTGACAACAAGAATGAACGCCCATTGCTATATGGCTTTTTTAGATAGCTTGTTATTAGTTCTGAAAACTTAGTCATGCAAATTAATTTAACTGACTAGCAGATGTAGGTGTGTGTCTTTTATCTATAACATTACAAGACGACATAAACATTAACAAACACATCAAGTTAGCATAACGTTAGCATGTTAGCAAACCAGTGTAGTTTGGTAGCAAGCAAGATTAGCACGAGTTGTTACAGAAATACATTACCAAGGAAGCTTAAAACTAAATCATAACTCACATGAGGGGGGTGCAGAGTGTTTGGGAGAATGATTAAGGTAAAAGCAACGTTCAGAGATAAGAAGCCAAAACTTATTTTTCCCTCGGTTACAATTTCACTCGTGTATCCCAGCTAAGCTAAAAACAAATGTCAATACGGCGCTCTTATTTCTATAGGGAACTGTAGTTTTCTGTATGGCTAACATTCACGTCACTGAAGAGCCAATAGTCAGCCGTAAACTACGTTACCCAGGGTTCAGCACTGTCGCTTGAGGCTGAGAGTTCGAACAGAATTGCTGAATGGCATTTAAAACTTTAACGCTTGTGAAATTGTTTCTATGGATATTGCCGTCTTCAACATTCGTATATGATAAAGTTCAGCCTTAACCAAAGTTTAGTTATTGTTGAACTATTTTGGCGTTGAATATCTCTGGTATCCATTATTTTGTTTTTCCTCCTCCCTCCTCCGCCATGATGTTTTCAGCGGAGCTAGCTAACCAGCTAATTTAGCCTTCAGGCTGCAGACTGTTGTGGAAACGGGGTGCGATGGATGGATGCTTTGCCCCGCTATGTTTTACAAATCTGCTGTAGTTTAAACAGAATGCGCTTTCTCCGACTAAATTTACCCCTCGGTATAATCCGCGCTGTTGTGGAGGGCAGCTATTTCGCAGTGCAGCGTTAATAAATGATCGAGGAGCCACGGATTTTCTTATAGTTTGAAGATTAACGCTGGCTGAGGCTATTTAAGTGGCTACACAGCTAGCTCCTCCTTGCTGTCTACCATCGCATTCTTGTGTCTCCTGCCCCAGGAATGTTCTCCAAAAAGCCTCATGGGGACGTTAAAAAATCAACACAGAAAGTGTTGGACCCAAAGAAGGACGTGTTGACGAGGCTGAAACATCTCAGAATAGTCATAGGTAAGTTAAAAATCATTATTAAGCAGCTAACACGTTAGCTTCTACGTGCCAGTCTGTGCATACAGGGAATGCCACACCAAACTAGTCTCAGAAATCATGAAAGTCATAGTTGTGTTGTGTGTAAATAGGGATACAACCTTTTCACAACAAACCTTGAGACAATTTCAGATTTTTTAGTATCTAACATCAATTCGGCAGCCCATTGCAAAGCAGTTGATCACTCATAATTTTGCCACATCCGTTCATCTTTAAAGTTATTGCTTTATTTCTTTCCCCCCGAGAATGACTATGATGGGCAGTAGTGACCTTATGTGTGTACAGGCTTATGTGAAAGACGTATACTCACTGTCACTGAGACTGTCGAGTTAGAACAGAGTTCGAAGACGTGCTTTACACATTGTGTAAGTGGCACTTCCATTACATTATAGGATTTTTAAAATTAAATTTGAGGTCTCTGCATAGAGGTGAATCGGGTGCGTGTTTTTACTACGTGTGAGAACATGTGTGTATGAAGCTGACTGCGTAGTTTTTTGGCACAGTGATGCTACAAGCTGTTAGTCAGGCAGGTTTGATTTATCCAGGGGTGTGTCTGAGTGCTGGAAAAGGACCTGGTGTGTGAGAATTGCTGAGTGGTATTTTTTTAAGATGTGTTACGACACAACACCAAATGCATTGCTTTGAATGTGTGGGAGAAAGGGAGGATGGCATGAATAAGTGATGGATTTGTGAGTGCCTGTGTACATCTTTCACTGATACACACTTTCTCTCACACATGTACACACCCACATAAGCACACACTGACAGGAGAGGGAAACAGCCGAGTATTTCCTCTCTGTCTGTATACAGAAACCCAACTTCCTGTTTCTATTGTAAGAGCTACTGGGGTGTGTGTGTGTGTGTGTGTGTGTGTGTGTGCGGGACAGTGAGAGAAGGGGTGTGCCCCTCCTATGGGGAACACAAGACCTTGATAACGATCACAGGCACACAAACACACTTGAAGTCACATTGTTTGGGGAGGAATGCTCAGACAGCTGGATAGCTAACCACACATTTTTAATGATCGTGGTGCCAGACCAAGCAGGCAACAATAATATACCTCACTGATGTTTTTCACTTCGCCGTTGTTCTTGTGAAAAGTGATTTTAATTGGCCAGTTTTCTTTATCCTCAAACAAGACCCTCCCCTGGGAGTGAGAGAGTTTTGCAATTCATACTTGATCTCAAATAATGATTCAACAGAAAGGTATTTCATCACTTTCAATGCGTTTGATGCAATCAGGTTATCAAGTAACTCGCCAGCCCTGTTGTTAATGCCAGACCAAAAACAAATAGCTGTTTGGATAATAACTAAACCTTGACTACATTTATGTGGAGGGTAATAGTGTAGCCATTGTCTAAGTAAGATAGTATTGTTTTTACAAGCTATTTAGCTAAATCCATCTAATGACGAGAGCAAATACCTCCATATCACATTACAAGGTCAGAATTTCCTTCCAGTATTAGAGGTCACACTTTGTTTGTTCCTGCCATGATGATCCCTTGAGGAACTTACAAGTTTGCAAATGCACTCATTCAAGTAAGGTTATCGGAAAATTCTGTTTTAATGGCAAGGTGTGTATATTTGTCATCTGGGTAAGAACAGAAACCAGACCATTGTGGAAACCTCAGAGTAAAGCAGCTCATTTGATAGATTACTGGTTCACACTTGTTGACTGACGTAGAACAGTAAGGTAAATGTAACTCTGGTCATCATGGACATCTAAAGGCCTGTTGCAATGGAAAGAGTGATAAATTGCTATATTTAAATTCTACTTTAATGCTAGTAAAAAAAGCTGTGTTAAAGATGTCCACCCCCAGAGGAAAATGTAAAAAAACACTCCGTTATGCCACTAAGACCTTACAAGGGCCACTATGGCATAGAACATGGAGTGTGTGTGTTTGCGAGTGTGCGTGTGTGTTTGCAAGTGTGTGTGTGTGGGAGTTCAGCTGTCAGACTTCATATAAACAAACCCAGAGACTATCACCAGAGGCTCTTCTGATTGTGTGTGTGTGTGTGTGTGTGTGTGTGTGTGTGTGTCAGTGCATAATGTCCCACATGCTTGTGTGTTTTCTTTCAGTTCTGACCCTGAACTATTAGTGGTGGTTGTATTCTCAGTATGTGCTGTATGTTTTATCTCCGTGTGTGAGTCGGTGTGTCTCCTTCCTAATGACAGCTGGTGGCGTTAAGGCAGAGATTCAGTCCAGAGCACATCCTTTAGAGCAGTACATCTGAAACTGTAGCTGGGACCCAGACTGGGCTGTTTTCTTTTCTACTGCTTATTTAGAGAACTCATATGCTGCGGTGAGGTTACATGGCTTAAATATACTTCCTGTGATGAAAAGGCAGAATTGTGTTTTCTTCACAACAGGTTGTCATTTAGAGCGCCAGTGATTAGTCGATTAGTTGTCAACTATTAAATTAATAGCTAACTATTTTAATAATCGGATCTGTGACGTTTTTCTAAGAAAATTTCCAAATTCTCTGATATGTGTGAATATTTTCTGTTTCTTTTTTTTTTTTTACTCCTCTTTACAGTAAACTAAATATCTTTATGTTGTGGACAAAGCAGGACATGTGATGATGTCATCTTGGGTTTTGGGAAACACAGATCAAAATTCTTCACCATTTCCTGACATTTTATAAACCAAACAACGAATTGATTAATCGATAATGAATATAATCATAAGTTGCAGCCCTTATGGATGTGTTTCGACTTTTTAGGGTGCTTTCACACCTGTAGTTTGGGTCATTTGGTCCGGACCAAGTGGAAAAAAATTATACACTGTTGCATTTTAGTTCTAGTCCGGTTCATGTTCACACACAGACTTCCTAGCTTGTTGATTGATGGACATCTTTGACGATCGTCATCCTGCATCATCAGGACCCACGTGGGGAAATCAAATTCTTGTGACTGACAGAAGTTTTATGCAGCAATTTAATGCTTCTGATCTGTATTGCAAAGAGCTCACGAAGTAATAATTTATTATAAGCATGATTGGTAATGTTAGACCACAGGTCGACCGCATATCCTATTATCATTAACGTTAAAACAGGACAACAGTAATAATTTGGAGCTTATTCGCCTATAGTATACTGTTGTATCGCTGTCACAAATGTTTTATGGACTTGAACTGACAGGATGACCGGAGTGCTACTTGTCCTCCTTTTTTGAACAGATTTTAACATATTAATCAGGGAAAATACCTGCACTTACAATTATACGTTACCAAATGATTTTCATAAACATAGCATGGCATACAGATCAATTATAAGATGAACACATTTTGTGGTCAGCAGATTGATTTTATCAGTGGTTTAGCTTTGAAAATAATGCTTAGATCAAATCTATTCCATCATAAAATAGAACAAAATCCTGTGATTGGTTTGTTTGTTTTCACATCACAAACAAACTGCACCAGAGTTCGTTGGAAAGCATACCGAGACCACCTCTCCCGTTATGCTTGTTTGGTCCGCTTCTGGTGCGCACCCAAGTGCAATTGCTGCATTCACACCAGCCCAAACGAACCGTACCAAGGGGGAAAACGAACTCTAGTGCGATTCAACTGAACTAAATGAGGCAGGTGTGAAAGCCCTCTAAGTCTACAGCATTTTACCTCCCTCTCCTCTGCTGTTATTGTTGCTTTATTTTATTTTTCTGTTTTTCTCTTGACTGAATACGGTTGGCGCTCAAGTTGAGAAGTACATTTGATGTTTCGTATGTGTGATGGAGGGTTGGTAAGGGACGTATAAATGAATGATGTGAGGAATGAAAATGAGGATGGTCATGTAACCAGTTGAAAGCTGTTTTCAGCACTGACAAAGTTTGTATTTCTGGAGGAATCAAGGACACACTTGTGGACAGTTTTTTAGTTAACCTTGTTTTCCTTCTTCTGAGTTTGTGTTAATTATTTGCCTTCTCATTTTGCAGAAAACGCAGAGCCTTCAGAGCTGAAACAGTTCTTCGACCTGAACTACTCCCATATCTACTATGTCTTCTTTGAGAACTTTGTCACCATTGAGGTCAGCCTCAAGCAAAAAGGTAAGTTTTACTTACTGTCAAAGTCAAGATCCAAACAATTAAGATGAGCTCTGGTCAGCATTCACAGGGTAAAAATACTTTCGGGGATCATTGCTGTATAGCAAGCAAGTGTGTTTGTGTTTCAGGTCACAAGTCTCAGAGGGAGGAGCTGGACTCAATCCTCTTCATCTTTGAGGTAATAAAATATTGTTGCAGATTGTAATTAAAATGGAAATTTAGAGACTGAAACTCTCTGAATGCTCAATGCAACATCTGACATTATGCGAAACTAAAATCACTGAAGTGTTCGTGATTCCTCTAACTTTCTGTCGGTGGTCTTAGTCTGAGGTCAATGCCAGCTGATGATGTGGTACTGACTAACACCACTGACATTTAGCAACACTCAGAACAGGGTGGTGGTGCTGAGAGTAGCCAGGATAAGATAGTATAGTGTGTGTGTGTGTTAGTGACCTCCATTTGGCCCTCCACACACATTAAATTCCAAACAATGCTGGGCAAAGCACAAGACCAGTGAGTACTTAATACAGGTTTTCCCTGATGTGCATTAGTTAACTTCAGGGTTGGACAAGAACAATGATTGATTACTTAAATCCTCCTTTCTTTAATGTACTCTCATAGCATTAAATTGTTTTAATCCGGTGAACAACCAGTGAAACCTTAACCATTAATTGTTGTTGTTATATAAGTTAATAAACCTCGTCCATCTGTAGTTGAAAGGCCAAATATACAAAACTCTCACATAACATCTTCTTCTTTTTCTCGCCAGAAAATCCTCCAGCTCTTGCCAGAGAGAATCCAGAGCCGGTGGCAGTTCCACAGCATCGGTACAAAACCACCGTCAGCCCCTTTCCTGACACACATGTTACAGTTGATCTTATACATGAGTGCAGCAGATCAGATCGTCGCAGCAAACTAGGTGTTGTTGAATCCGGTTTAACCAGTGCTGCCTCTTACCTGTACATGATAGATTCAGTATTTCAGTAATGTTAGACACCAACCACTGCAAACTGCAAAGAGAAGAATGCACGGCATACATTTTATTTATATAGCTCAATATCACAAATTTCCTTTAAGGTACACCACCTTAGATGCTCGATTTGGATCCTTTTAAAAGGGAAAAAAATGTGGAAATAAGTATCAAGTTACAAGGTTATAAAAATCAGTATATATTTCACAGATGCATTTTATATACCTTAAAATGTCTATACTACAATTTGGCAAGTCATTTTATTTTTCACCAAGTCAAAAGTATGTAAAATCAACTTTTAATGTTATCAGAGCTGTCTAACCATAAGTTAAATTAACAGCACACTGTAGTTGACCGGGCTGACATGTCTTTCTCTCTCAGGGCTGATCCTAAAGAAGCTGTTGCACACTGGGAACTCTCTGAAGGTACTGCTTTGATTTGCTGCTAACTCTAATGGGATAATTACAGCCTCGTCTTTTCTTTTTCTCTGTAGATTATATGAAAAGTGTTCACTTAAGCAGTATACATGTCGTTTTGCATCTCAGCATCATTACATTCTGATTGCAATCATTTTTTATGTTTTGATATTGATAATATTAGTATCATTACTGGAAAAAAAATGAGATTGTGACTAAAATCATAGTGAGTCTCTATTGGAATTTATACAACATTTTACAGAGCGTTTCCAGTTTTGTATCGTGCTGCATTAAGGAATATTTACTAACAGCAATTCACAAATTAGATTATTCAAAAAACTAGTAATATGCACTAATTTAGGTTTCTCTTTAGTGCTGATCTCTCCTTCTCTCATCTACACTGTAGATCCGTCGTGAAGGTGTGCGCTTGTTCTTGCTGTGGATGCAGGCGTTACAGAGTAATGCAGAGCGTGAGCAGCTCTGCATGTTTGCCTGTTTGATTCCTGGCTTCCCAGCTCCACTCTGCCATGGGACCCCACGCACCCTGGACACCCTGATCAACACGCCGCTGAGTTTAACAGAGAGTTAGTAGAACACACTCACATTGTAGATTGATAAATGGGCATCTGACAAGGTATAATATATTGGATGCGATTTGGAACCCCGTACATTTTTTCCTCAAGAGATAGTGTAGATTAAAGAAATGACAGCATCTTTTGCGGTATTCATTGTAATATAAACATTAAATCTCCATGCCCCCCCCTTGCAGCTCAGGTTACCCCAGAAGAGATCACTCCATTGGTTCCCCCCCAGTCTGGTGACAAGAACCAGGAAGACCTCACTGCTTACTTTTTAGAAGCTTTACTCAAATACATGGTAAACCAGGTATTATCATCATTTCTTACTAACACAGCTAACACTACATAATTACACTTTTGCACATGATGCCTTACTAATGCCACTAATGCTAAACAGGGAGAAAACAGGTCTGTCATTTGCTTACATTATCATATAAAGAAACGTGATGGTAGATGAAGTATTTATCTAACTCCTTACTGGTATCATTAATGTGTTCAAATACAAATGTCATCCCTTATTGACACATACTGTCTTTGTTCTTTTATTTCCTCTTCTTGCTGCTATCAGACACACATTGATAACATTCTGCCCTAAAACAATGGTGCTCTTCACCGCCTGGCCCTGTTTTGTGTGTGTAATGCTCTAACACAAGTGTCTCTCTCTCTCTTCTCTCTCTCTCTCTCTCTCTCTCTCTCTCTCTCTCTCTCTCTCTCTCTCTCTCTCTCTCTCTCTCTCTCTCTCTCTCTCTCTCTCTCTCTCTCTCTCTCTCTCTCTCTCTCTCTCTCTCTAGGCTAAGTCACTTGAGTGGCGCTGTAAAGAGAACCATGAACGTGGTTTCAGCTTCCTCTTTGGTCACTTCAGGAAGTTTTACCTTCCTCACATCTTTCCCAACTTCGCCATGGAAACCAACCTCTACAACCCAATACTGGGTCAGTTACGTTCGATCTTTAATAGCTACTGGAAACACACTGAACTGTAATGTTGTCTTATTTGAACCCCAGACTAAATATAAAAATAAAGATTTTCCTCTTTCCCTGCAGACGTGCCTCCGATGCGTCCTAAGCCGTACTACAGCGTGGTGCGCAGGGAGCAAGACGGCGGTGAAACGCTGTACTGCACCAAGGAGAGCTTCCTTCAGGCCCGAGTCATCTTCATCCGCTGGCTGGTTTCTTTCTGGCTCGAGCCACGAACGAGCACACAAACACACATCCCAGGAACAGAGGGAGAGAATGTCCCCAAGAACATACAGGTAACAAATCCATATTTTTGCAATAGACAGTCTGCGCCAAGTCTGGTTCAAGCCCCTGGAAAGTTCCATCTACTTACATCATTTACATTATCTATTATTTTCTCGATTGATAAATTGGTTGTTGTTGTTTTTAATAAAATATCAGTTCACAGAATCGAGTATGACGTCTACAGATGTCTTGTTTTGTACATCCAACAATAACTTTAAACATTGAGGTTTTAAAGTGACAAAGGAAAACAGGAAATAATGACATTATTGATCTTTTTTTTTTTTTGATAAATCAGCTAATCTATTAATCAACTTGTTGTTGGAGCTCTGGTAATATGTGGATTTTTAACAAGGCATTGCTTCTTGTCGTTCAGAGGGTTTATCCTGACAAAAGCCCACTAGACTTCAGGTGTGGATGTAGCGGATGTAAAATATTGATGTGATATTATTCGAAAAGGACATTTAATAATACAAACAATTTCCATAACACCAGATACACATAAGTGCATAAATGAAATGGATGACAAAATGTCTCCACAGCGAGCAGCAGCCGGACTGGCAGCTCGCTCTGCAGGCAGCTCAGATGACAGCAGCGGAGGTGGGATTCGGTCTGACAGCCACCTGGAAGGTAGCGGGTGCTCATCTGGATCAGGCGGAGGCAGCATGGGGATATCTATGGGTCCGGGAGCTGGGGGTGAGCCTGAACAAAGCCACTCCAACACATCCACTTTGACTGAGAGGGAGCCCAGCTCCTCCTCACTCTGCTCCATGGATGAAGAGCAGCTGACGGACATGGAGGTGGTGAGAAGAGTGCTGACCTGCTCCAGAACCAACGTCAACTTTATCACTGAGATCTTTAGACAGGTGAATGAGAATTAGTCGAGGGGGGGGGTCATTTAACTGTGTGGGGTGGTGATGGTGCATAGATAAGATGCTTGCCTTTGGTGTGGGAGACCCGGGTTCGATTCCCAATGTGAGACATCCACCATTGTGTCCCTGAGCAAGACACTTAACCCCTCGTTGCTCCAGAGGCGTGCGACCTCTGACATGTATAGCAATTGTAAGTCGCTTTGGATAAAAGCTAAATGAATAAATGTAAATGTAACTGACTTATGTGTCAAACATTTGATTGGCGCTTTAATGTAAGTCACATCTGCATTTGGAGTGGATTTATGGAAGTATTTTTTGTTCACACACTGTCTATGCACAAGTCACTTGGTCTTTTACAGCTGTCTTTCTTTGGAGGATTGTTTTAAAGTATATGTTGTGTAATATTACCTGTTAATATTTATATCTGTCTCTACCAATACAGGCGTTTCTCCTTCCCATGTGCGAAGCTGCAGCGATGCGTAAAGTGGTCCGTGTTTACCAGGAGTGGATCTCCATGGAGGACAGGCCAGTGTTTATGAAGGAGCCAGAGGAGGGCCCCTACCCCATAGCCACAGCCAGCAGCCTGGATTCAGGCTCTCAGCTCGGAGACAAAGACGATGAGGTGAGGAATTACTTGAAATCTGGAATATAATCATTAAATGCTGAAAATAAAGGCAGGCCATGTGAACAGAGCTTTATAATGTGATTTAATTCTGTGAGTGTTTTTTTCCCCTTTTCTTCAGGGAATGAACAAAGTGATTGACAGTGAATTGCTGGAGTACAGCGTTCATGCTGGTGTTCAGACTACCCTGCAGGTATGGCACACACACACATCTGTCTGTGTATTTCATACATTTACAAAAATGTGTCATTGTTACAGTGTTGTGTTCGTGTTCTTACTTTACCTCATAGAATCATCCTTAAGAAATAGTTTGTGGACCCATTTTACATCCCATCTGCTTGTCTCATTTTCAGGTGTTTATCACACACTCCTCCAACGTTTTCCTGTTGGAGCCAGCCAACGACATCAAGATCCTTTTAGAGGAGCATGTTGACATGTGCAAGCGAGTCCTGAACATCTACCGCAGCCTTGTCATGCATGAGACCATGGACCAGAAAACATGGTAAAAAAAAAAAAGAGAGAGAAGACACCAGATACTTTGTATAAAATAAGTATGAAACGCCATCTCGATTCATTTCAGTATAATGAAGTCTTTAATGGTTCTGTCACATTTTCTTGCTTTTTAATTTGTTTGTAGGGAGCAAGTCTTACTGGTTCTGCTCAGGGTGACCGAGTCAGTGATGAAAAGACCTCCATCCATCATGCCCCAGGGCAAGAAGAACAACACACTGTCAGGCAGATTGGCTGGACCTATCTTTCAGGTAAATTATTGACACTATATCAAACTGGCCAGATATTTTTTCATTTGTAGCAAACAGACAGTTTCACACATTACAGAGTGTTTTGTGTGTGCTAGAAAGAGACAGTTATGTTATTCAGAAACACACTTAAAAGCCAGCCCTGCTTGCACAAAGGTATGACTTTATTATATTCTGAACACCGTAATGGATAGTGCCCAGGTATGACCAGCTGACTCATATTTAGTTTTGAGTATTTTCTAATAATACATTCTATCATTTCATTCCCCGCTGTCTGGACAGACGCTTATAGTAGCCTGGATAAAGGGGAACTTAAATGTCTACATCAGCAGAGAACTGTGGGACGACCTTCTCTCCGTCCTCTCCTCTCTTACTTGCTGGGATGAACTGGTCACAGAGTGGTCGCTTACCATGGAGACCCTCACCAAGGTACTGGTATAGTTATTTTAATCTTTTTATCCTCCAAGCGTCATTTGCACACTGCGTTTGGATATGAATGCATTTAATTCATTCATTGTTTTAATACACGTTATCTTATTTCAGCTTGTAGTGCCCTGATTGAGAAATTAACATTTTGCTGTTAACAAGTCACCTGAGTTTTTAATTCAGTTACTGACTATGGCATCTGCAGATCAAGAATGGTCGTCAGAGAAGCAGAGAATCTATGAAATAGATTTCCATGCCTGTTCATTTTGCTCCTGTGTTCACTTTTGTTCTGTTTCTCACGTGTTCTGCAGTTAATGTGACCAGATTACATCAAGACCCATTATACGCTTATTTCCATTCTCCCTCAGCAAATGAAAAATGTGTCTCTCACCTTAAGCACTAGTTTAACATCACAACCAGTATAGCAACGTCAACATGAAAGTTTTAAATCTTGTCATTGTGTCTTAGGTGTTGGCCAGGAACCTGTACAGTGTTGATCTGAATGAGCTGCCTCTGGACAAACTCAGTGAACAAAAACAGAAGAAACATAAAGGAAAAGGTTGGTCAGTCTCGAGAGACTCTTATAGCCCTTATATAAAAACAGGCAGGACTTCCTACCAGCAGATCTGAAATACAGACAGCCGTTCATGTAACATCATGTAATCCTGAGTCAGCTGCAGCTATTGAATATAATTACTACACAACATAATCCGTGTGCTAAAAGTTAAAAATACAAGAAAGACATCCCAGCCTTTCTGTAATTCCTATAATATAAATGCATGTTGAACAATTACAAAATTTACACAATGTAAATATATTGAAATATAGCCAAAATATGAAATAAGAGAGACATTCTGTACACTAGACCTTTTCTTTACACATAATATTAGTGCATAGTTACTCATAGAGGTACCATATATCCTGAAATAAATACCATTAAATGTGCATGTCCCACTCCGTCCATCCACACCAGGCATTGGTTCGGAGGGCCAGCGACAGATTGTGGATCGTTCCTTCTCTAAAGGCTGGAGCAGAGACCAACCAGGCCAGGTGGCAGCCATGAGGCAGCGAAGCGCCACCACCGCTGGCTCACCAGGCATTGAAAAGGCCAGGAGTATTGTTCGCCAGAAGACTGTAGGTCAGTATCGCTCCTCTTACGATCTCTTGTGCGCGTGAAATTTAAAAGCCAGATGGCAGCACTGACTCCCAGACATTGTTCTGTGTATTCATTTTAAACTGGCATGTGAGTATTGGAAGAGAAACACAACTGGAAAAAACTGGTGTCTTTCCTCAGCCACATTAGAGAGCGTCTCTTTCTTCTCAAGTGAGTTTTATTTGACTTGACATCTCCTCCTCATTTCCTGTCCTGCCTGTCTGCCTGACAGGATGTTGTGGTGTCTGCTTACTGTCCTCCTCCTCAGTAGAGTCTTGTTTATGCAAAGTCTTCAACTGTGGCCACTGGTGTGAAAGACCTTGTCATAACACCACACCCTTCAGCAAGATGATGACAACTTATGATTAAAAACAAGTCAGACTAAGACCATTCAACTTGAAGTGTTAAAATGTGCATGCTTTTCCTGTTAGAAATGAGTTTACACATGCTGACCATGACTTATCTGGCCAAAAGAAGGTAGCGCTACTGAGTATCATGGTCTTCAGAGGCGGTATTTGAGCTATACAGTGTGCCAAGCTGCCACCAGCCTCTCAGTCTCTTTCCTCCAGAGTTAACCCTGTCTCACTCCTCCTTCACCCTGACTCTTTCCCCCCTACGTCCGTTCCCTTGTCTGCACTCCACTGTCATCCCATCTGTCTTTCTGTGCTTCATCTCTACCATAAAAATAATGTATTTATTTTACTTATTTTCTTTCATTCTTTCACTTTTAACACTTTTAACTTTATTTTTTTTTACTTCTTTGCTTCATTTTTACCTTTTCTCTCTCTCCCATCTACTATCTTTATATGTTCTGGTCTTACTTTTGACATGTCATTGTTTTCATTCCATTCACTTTTCCACCCTCACACCCATACCTATCTTCCACTTGCCTCTTCACCTTACTTGTCACTTCAACAATACCCTCTTTTCCCTTCTTGCTGCCTTCTTTGCTTTCCTTTTTCTGTCTCACACTTTCCCCCTCTTATTCTGTCTCTCTTCTATCTGTTCTTCCCACTTCTTCAGCCCTGCGTAGCTGTTCTACAGGGGACTCTCTGCTGTCCTCAGCCTTTATCCGCAGTGCTAAGAGTGCTCCTGCTCTGGCTCCGCCTCTTCCTGTACTCCTCCACCACCACCACCACCCTTTACTACCCCCCCTTGCCGACCAGCTGGCAGGTATTCACTCTTTGCACTGCCTGCCTGTCTGGAAACTTTACTTGTCTGTACATCTGTCAGCAACTGAAACTTTTTATGCCTGTCGTCTTGTCTGTTTATCAATTGTTCTGTATATTTATTATGTCGTTGAAGCAACAGTTTGCATGTGATCCATCCGAAATCATACAGCCCTTCCCTTTTTGGCATCTAACTGTGACGATCAGTCTGATTTTGAGAAATGCTTGAACATCATAAATGCGCTATTCTTCTGATGCAATAATCTGATCGGCATTGCTCGAGATTGTGCATGTGACAAATGGATGATCAAAGCATTAGGTATCGCTCACTTAAAAGTAATTTCTGGCATTTTGAAAATACAGAAAGTTTTGTGACGAGTTGAGTTCCTTTTTCACGTTGGCACATTGTCTCTAAGCTGTCTATAATGTATGTCCGCCACAGCCTCCCAATATAATTATTATTGTCATGGTTTTAACTCGGTGAGAGAATGAAATATTGCTAAGCCGATACCAACGAATGACATGTGTTTTATACTTTACTATTTGATGTAAATTAGAATTGTTTTACAGGTAGATGGTGACAGCTTATGTATCTCTGCTGTTGTTGTTTACATGTCTGCATGAAACTTGACCTACCTATTTTACTGTCTGCTTGCTTGTTTCTCTACCTGTTAACGTGCAGCTTTTACTCAGCTGTCTGCTTGCACACGTGCATGTTCGTCTGTCATTTCTTCAACTTCTTCATTTATTTCCGCTTTTGTTTATATGCCTTTCTCGTAAACCTCCCAATCATTGATGTTGTGTGGTGTTTCATTTGATGCCGTTTAATCAACTCCTCCCCTTGTTTTCTTTGTCATATCCTCTGCTCAAGTGATTTTACTTAGATATATTGGTTTACTTTTTTAACTTGAGGGTTTACTTTTGATATGTGTTTTGTGGTCGTCTCTTATAGATGATTACAGCTCTATGAAAATGTATTTACAATTTGACATGCGGTCAAATTGAAAACTGCCAAACGGACATGAAAAATGTCCCTACATACGAGGAAACTACTAACTATAATAGATTTGGGTTTCTTACAGGAGTGAGTCCATGCTCTTTGTGGTATGACTTTGCCAGCTTAGCATAAACTGTCTTTTCAAAGGATTGGTGTTACTCATTATGTAACCACAAATCAGTTATCTATCAGAATGACCTCACTTTTGAATGATCTCTAGATGTGAATGTTTTACAGCAGTCATTGAAAGAGGGGCTAGTTTTTAGTTTTGTGTTTGGTCATAAGCGTGTATTCTTGGTAAACAGTGTTTACCGGCAGGTGAGGCGGTATTCAGTTGATTGCAGTCTGCAATTGCTAGATGCCACTAAATCACATTTCATTTTAAAAAGATCCATATCCCAGTCTGATAATTAACTAGATGATGTCTGATATGAAACCAGTTTGCTTTGATCTCACTAGGTTAGGTCAGCTAATGACCGTGATGTGGTGACTTGTTCAAGGACCGTAGAGTGTATGTATGTATAGTCAGTTCTGGCAAGTGTCCTTAGGTTTCATGAAAGGTGTTCTATAAATTTAAGGTGGTGGTGGTAGTAGTAGTAGAAGATTGCTCGGTGTGTATTTTATTTTTTAGATTTATTTTATAAGAATGTTTTTGGGTATTTGTTCATTTAGGTGTGTGTGTGTGTGTGTGTGTGTGTGTGTGTGTGTGTGTGTGTGTGTGTGTGTGTGTGTGTGTGTGTGTGTGTGTGTGTGTGTGTGTGTAGCCCACCACTAACCTTATTTTTATCTTCCCCCAATTTCCAGACCTCGAGGATCCGCCAATCACGCTGACATCCCTCACCAGGTTGCGCCACTCCTCCCAGAGCGACGAGGCCCCTCCCACCTCCTGTTCTGAAGTCTTCCAGGGAGGGGCGTGTGACCTCGATCCCCCGGCCCCTTCCTCCCTGGCAAGGAGCAGCAGTGCCTCTGACATCATGGAGCCTTTCATCGCAGAGCGGGTCAAAGGTGAAGACCCCCAGAGGGATCCCACTTCATTCCCGAATCCCCACCACCACTCCACAACTTCTTCCTTACTCGTAGCCAGCAGCCACGCAGCTCAACCACTCTCACACCCTTTCTCCCCCCCCTCTCCCACCCCTTTTTCCTTCTCCAATGGTGGTGTTTCCTTGTCTACAGAGGATGAGGGTAGTGTTTATGACCAGTTCTGGCACCAGATTGGCTCTCGCAGCCAGGGTTCTGGTTCTGATTGGGTAAGCGACTGGGATTCTGCCTTCACCTGTTCGTCTGAAAAGGAAATCAATATAGTGGAGGGTGAAATGGGGGCTGGGGAAGAGGAGGATGATTTGTTTTCCTCTATTAGGGACTACCTCATACTCAAAGGAGGTGAGAGGAAGGAGGAGACCAGAGAGAGCGATAGTCCTGGTCACGTACTAGTAAACAATGTTGCAGCGTCACCTGTACCTGTGCAAACAGGGGTAGCTAGAACACAAATGGAATACACAGGACAGGCAGGACAGGCGAGACAGGTGGTGAGAGAGGACAGACAGGTAAGTAAATCTGTGAGACATAGCAGTGTGGATTCAACAGAGGAGAATGAGGCAGAACAGCGAAGCATCTATGAGTGCCTGGAGCTGCAGTGTCAGTGGCCATCACCCAATGCTAAGGGTAGTGCTAGCTTAGAGAGACACACGGGGGAGAAAAAGGGAGGAGGAAATACTGGAAGTGCAGCTGAATGGGAAGGGAAATGTGACATGTGGGGGGAAATAGGAGATGAGAAACAGGATGATAAAGAAGCAGCAGCAAAAGAGAGGTCCAGATTAATTAGACAAGACACTATCACAGTAGAATCTAGCACTGAATCAAATCAAACATCAGACCCAACTAAGGCCAAGATGTACCGTAGCATCACCAAAAGGCATTCTGGGGGGGTTCATGTCAGCTTTCGGCCCTCAACTGAATCAGTCCAGTTTCACAACCCTCTTGAGAGTAAAGAAGCCCATTGGAAAGCCAGGCTTCGCCGCCTCAGTCACTTCCACACTCACAGCCACTCAGCTGGGGAGAGGCCTGGGGCCGGAGCTGGGTCGAAGCTAGGAGCAGGGGGTGCAGGTAAGTTGGGCTCTGTGGCTGGAGTTAGCCATAGAGCAGGGGCACATGAGAAATTATCCTCTGGGACTTTTACGGTTATCAGCGGGCCAGGGAACACAGCGATTGACGGAGACCTGGAAAACAGGGCTTGTTCTGGAGGGGACAAGGACAAGCAACATCCCGGATCCTGTGTGGGATCCAGCCTGGGCACTGAAGGTCACTCAGAGGTGTTATCAAGCAGTTCAGGTTTCTCTGGCGTGTCGTCAGGGGTGCGTGGCCGTTTGGGGCGTTCTGCCTTGCGATCTCGAGCCTCCCGATCACGCTCCCAGGAGCCAGGCAGCACTGCCTCACGACACCAGGGGGCTCTCCTTGGTGGCGTCTATAAGACTGTGGTCCACGCTCTGTCCTCAAAGCCCCGGCCCCGGGGTCAGGGTTCATCCCAAGGCTCGTCGCCACAGCGGCAGGCCCGGGCTTCCATGGGTGACGCATCACTAAGAGACCTCTACTCCCATGTCCTGGGCTACTTTGGACGAAAGACGACTACGCCAGGTGAGGATTGCAACGAACGAAGCGCTCACAAAGGACACAACAGATACAACAGCAACTTTGGAAAGACAAATTCTCACCAACACACAAACACCAACAACTCTCTTTTCCTTTTTGGCTGTTTTTAACTGGTTTGTTATGATGGAATGATATTTTTTTGGCTGACACTCATCATCTTGCTGCTGGACTGAAATTCAAACTCCCTGTAGATGTGTTTTCTCTTGAACGTAGCCCCTCCTCCAGCCTGCCTCCTGTCAAGGACCCTCCCCCACCCCACCCCTTCTACCCATACCTTCCCACACCTTCCCACCTGTTCCTCTACCTCGGACGCTCCCTCCCTCCTCCACCTGTCCTCTTTTCTTCCAAGGGCTTTGGGATCTTAACCTCTTTCCCCTCTTCTCCACCTTCTCCTCCCTCTCCTTGATGTTGCATGCGGCCTCCTCGTGCCTCCTTCACCTCCTCCCCGGACTCCGGCTCCTCTTCAGATGCTCAGGAGGAAACAACAGTCCACAGAAACCTTTACAAAACATCAAAAGAAAACCGACGTGGCTATACATAATGCCGCACAGAAAGCTACCAAATGTTTGTGGCTTCCATCAGAGCTTTGTTATGTAGATTTAAATGTTTAGATATGGAAGTTGAGTTTATAAAGCACTGGCTGATACATTTACATGTAGTGTTAAATTGCTGTAGTTCATTCACAGGCCACTAGAATGCAGCATGAGACCTTATGTTAGAACAGCCAAACATAGAATTTGAATGGATAAGAAAAGGTATGCACTTTTATACCAACAATTTCGAATGGTTATTTGCCGTGTACACCGCCACAAGATAACATCAAACATGATGATTAGTAACGTGCACATTCTACTTAGCAGAACAAATACCCTTTTTCTATTCATTCTAATTCTTGGGCTGCTGAACTGGGTTGAAATGGTTTTCTGTTTTCTGAAATGATGCTGCACTGCCACATTTCTTACTTTATTCAGGTGTGTTGCCAACTTGACCCAACTGGTACCAGTTAATCATTTATGTTTATTTGGTTTGCCAGATGTTTGAAATTTGCGAAGTACGGTAATACGGAATAATTATTTTGACATGTTAATATTTGAAGTAACATTATTGCGTGGATCAAAAACATTGACAGCAACTTCACTTTCACAATTACAGTGATTTTATCAACCCTAATCATCTGGTACTCTCTAGACTAAAACCAGATATAATGTGACTTTCTGGTTGTCTCTTTGGATGTGTGTTGAACTACCTAAACTCTGTGACTGCTGATGGCTATGCATAATCCTTGTTCTATGAACACAGGTGGAGCCCTCTATCAGGGTTTTATAAGCCTAGCACACAACTTCACAGATCATAGCACTAAAAATTTGCATGTCCATGCACAGCCAATTAGAGTAAGAACTGACACGACAATTGACTGTCCTTTTTCCAGGGGTGCAGCCACTTGAGCTGCGCTGTCGTGCACTGTGCTGCACTCCGTAATACTTGTATTTGCATCCTCACACTAGCAGCTTATTTTGCTGAAATACAATCAAGCGTGAGGGTCTCCACCCTAAACTGAGGAGGAGGTGAAGACCTTACAGTTCGGCTACAAAAAGTGATGTTCTCAAAAGATGTCATCTTTCAGTAGTTTGTAGCTACCCAATTAGAGTACGCCTCTCAATTCTCTGTGCAGCTGTACTGCTGCAATATTGCAGAGTTGCAGCATATTCCATTGCAGTCTTTCTGATTCTGATCCTGTAGGAGTATGTCTTTACATAGAATAGCAGTGATAGGTTCCTCAGCAGCTAGTTAATTAGCAGGAAGCTTTAGGGAGTCAGCGTTAAACACATAATTCCATTAGATGACAGCATTACTAAGACAGAAATAGGCTAATCCACATGGACTTATCACATACAGAACATGCAAATATTCAGTGCATAGATCTGCAGATACAAGTCTGTAAAGCCTTGTTAATATAACTGTTAACTGCCGGCTAACATCACAGCTTCGCATTCCTATAGTGCTACTTTTTACCTGAACTGCAACGTCATGCTATAGTCCCAGTGTGAAATACACTGTATATGTAGGCACGGAGTATTTATTTATTGGGCCTTAATTGATACAATAATATAATTGAGAAACAGATTGGGTTCTAATTTTTCAGGCACCTCATACGAGGGCTGAACTATTAATCGAAAAATTATCCAAATTGCAGTGTGGCCAAGTGCAATATCTAAATCGCAGGAGCTGCAATTTTTTGTTGAAGGTAAAATGTGTCACAGGATACCATTGCAAAAGAAGCAGCCCTACTGTATACAAGTATCATTCCTGTTGTTGTTGTTGGTGATGTCATGGCAAATAACCATTACAGGTGAGTAGTCAACAAGCAGAACTATTTTCATGGTCTTTAACAATCGGGCTAGAATAACTGTAAGTGAAGATCTAAAGTAATGTTAAAGCTTAGTGCTATTATGATTGATATGTTTAGTAATTAATAATACATTTTGGCAGTGTTAGTTTGCTGCTGTCTTCAGTTCCCACCATATGATCGCCTCGGTGAGATGCTGATTCTTTTAATAAGCAGCTAAAACTTGTTGAAAATGTTGAAAGGTGTTCTTGCACTGACCTCTTTGGTGTGAGATTTTCAACTTTGTTGAACACCTGACTACATCCAGGACAGACAATAAGCCCAAGAAAATGCAAGAAAAAAAATTCATCAGCTGGGTGGCAGCAAAGTAAAGACTTTCATGCTGTCTTCAGTAACTCTAAGCTTTATTGATAAAAGCCCTGGAAGTAGGCTGTGGACGGAACCAGGCTCTGTCAGCTCTATCAGCCACAGGTTCAGGAGTTAAAGAATAGTTGGATAATATTGTAGGCATAGCATATTTGGATGGAGGCTCTCTGCTCTCAGGGGTTACAAACACTCAGTGACTGCTGTCATTGCTACCAAGCTAACAGCAACATAACTCATTGTAACATAATCGCACTAATGTAGGCCTCTGATATGCTGCCTAACAAGGTGATACTCTCTCTAGCTCTCTGTGCATGGTGTGAATTAACTCCTGCATTGCTTTTCTGGTTTGTTTTCCTGCTGTGTTGTGGCTTTTTAACAGTTGGTCTTTTGCTAACTTCAGGCCTACAGTACACACACATCAGGACTGCTCTTACAATTCAGAGAGAAGCTCCAGTTGTATGGATATTGTAACATTTTAATAAAATATCCAAACACACAGCTGTTAGCAGCAGTATTTTAAAAACTCTTAAGGCTGCTAATGGTGCTACAGAAGTTGTGGACGGAATAGACAGACAGTACAAATGTTCTTTAAATGACTTTGTCAGCAAATCAGACTTGATTATATAATTATCTTACAAACTTCTAAAAGTTATTACTCAGTTTTGTGTCTTTGAGCTGTTTGTGTGGGTATGGATCTGTCACTGTCATTTCTTTCTCTATATATTTGTCAACATCTCACCTGTCTGCGTGTGCATCTGTGACTCTTCATCCATTTTTCCATCCTTTCTGAATGTGTGTGTGTACCTAAGTACTGTCCGTCCCTGACGGTCATCGTATATCTGCCTCTGTGTGCCTCTAGTCAACAAAGAGGAAGTGGTCCAGAAGGCTCGTCCAGTGTCCACCGATGTAGGAAGCAGCAACCCGAACTTCTCTGACCTCATGGATGAGTTTATCCAGGAGAGACTGAGAGCCAAAGGAACAGCAGTGAGTACAACACACATGCGCACAGACGTGATGAAAGATTAAAGTTTCAGCGTTAGAAAACAAAGATGCTGCAGCTTGCTGTTTCCAGCTTGTGCAATCACTGCAGACTGAAAGCTTTGCTTTAGAAAGAATTACTGAAGCCCGCTGAGATTGCATTTAAACCCTGCTTTCCTCTCGATACACAGGGCCGCCGTGGCAGCAGCCCGGGGAGCCTGGAGGTTCCCAGGGACCTGCCGGAGCTCCTAGAGGCAGGTCAGAGTCCTGGATCACGGCCCTCAGATGACCCCCGTCCTATTGACGATCCAGGGGTTCCTTCTGAATGGACGTCACCTGCAAGTGCCAGTGGTTCAGATGTCATCAGCTCAGACAGCCAGTCGGACTCCTTCAATGCCTTTCAGTACTCCACCTGCAAGTTTGACAGTAAGGAACAAAACACCAGGTTTCCTATTATATACAAACCGAGGCACTGCTGCCGAATTTTGACATATTTTTATATAATTATAATTTGAGTTTGCTGTGATACTTGTAAGTTGCTGTTGTGGGATATAAATAGTTAATACGTGAGGAGGTACTTAAAGTTAAAGTTATTTATAGATTTATCAAAGCTTCTTTTATTTTTTGTTCAATTTTTACTTGCTCGATTTCCTGTCTGCTTCTTTGAACAAGTTATTATTTAAAAATAACCTCATATTTGACGTTACTTAAACTTGACTTGGAAAGCCCTGTGTAATGTGTAGTGGTCAACGTTTTTTTTTTTGTTTTTTTTTGTAGATTTTACTTTCAGTTCAGAAGCATGTGGAGGAGGAGTTGGATCTGGAGGAGGAGGTCGAGGCAGCTCACTGGACCAGGACAGCTTGGGTGGGGGCGTCGCCTGTGAAGAACATGAAGTCGCCAGTTTAACAACACTTCACCTCGACTCGGAGACCAGCAGCCTCAGCCACACTGTCACTGTTACCGGTAAGCACATAACTCTCACAGAGCTTTCTAGCTTCTGCATTATTTCAGCAGATCTAAGTAGGGTAATATTCATCCGTACATGAACCAACAACCTAAATGTTGCATGTTATTCCACATAGATAGTTAAATATGTACTAGCTAATATAATTGGATTATTAATTTGTACAATTGTACAACTTGGCAGGTGACAAAACTTTACTCAGATCAGCTACAAATTTTACTTAAACAAGTAGCTTCACATTTTGGCTGATAACTCCTGGACCACTCAATAAAAAACATTTTTTTGTGTACTGTATGCTTGTTTGTCCAGGTTCTGAGAGCGCGTCTCCCATGCATTCCCTTGGAGGCTCTCGCTCCCAGACTCCCTCCCCTGCCACGCTGACAGCAGAGCACACACACTCCCACTCACACACACACCTACAGCTGGACCAGAAGCTTCACAACTCTGTCCTGCAGACTCCCGATGACCTGGGTAATACTCATGCACACACTCAAAACACGTACTTGTATATTTTCCCACACTTCCTGCTCCTAAGATCCAATCTGTGAATAAGAGGTTAAGAGTTACTGATTGATTTATTGATTGATTCTAGAAACCAGTGAGTTCCCTAGCGAGGACTGCAGTGTGATGGCAGGTGGCTCTCTAACTGGATGGCACGCAGATGTTGCCACGGTAATGTGGCGGAGGATGCTGGGTATCCTGGGGGATGTCAATAGCATCAAAGACCCAGAGATCCATGCTCAGGTCTTCGACTATCTCTGTGAACTGTGGCAGAACCTGGCCAAGGTGTGTGCTGACAAATATGATGACTACACAACTATAAGACAGCACTTTCTTTAAAGATTGTGGATGTAAAAATTGCATGTTTCTTTTCAGATAAGAGATAATTTGGGCATTTCTCTGGATAACCAGTCATCTCCCCCGCCCCCTGTTCTAATCCCACCCCTGAGAATCCTCACCCCCTGGCTTTTTAAGGTAGGTGTGACTGAGGGATCACTATAGGAGATACACTGAGGTGTTATTACACAAAAGAAGAACAACCATCTGTTTTTCACCTGTAGCTAATGATATCTTTTTCATCTTATTCAGGAATTGCCATGTTTTGATTGCTTTCCTTTAAGCAAAAATCTAAATTAATTTGTGCTAAATCATCACACACAGAGAATGGGGGGGGCTCCACAAACAGGCCAGTTAATATCTTAACTTGCTTGCGTATATATGTCTTATGTATTTATACGTGTGTGTGTGTGTTTCACTCCAGGCCACCATGCTGACAGAGCGTTACAAGCAGGGGAAACTTCACGCCTACAAGCTGATCTGCAGGATCATGAAGAGACGGCAAGATGTTTCCCCAAACACAGACTTTCTCACACACTTCTACAACATCATGCACCAAGGACTGCTGCACCAAGACCAGGTAGAGAGTGTGTGGTTTGTGTATGTGTTATGAAGGTGGCAACCCATGGACTTTAGATTCAGTGATGGACTATGGGCTGTTTGTAAATGTGCTCTAGCTGTGACTGCTGTTTTAAAACAAAACAAAACAAAAAATAAAACGTGTGGTTTCTACAGGACATCGTGAACACCATCATAAAGCACTGCAGTCCCAGGTTCTTCAGTATCGGTCTACCTGGAGCCACCATGCTGATCCTGGACTTCATAATTGCGGCTTCTAGAGTCACCGCCTGCTCATCACTCAATGTAAGAAACACAGAAACACGCTCATGCACAGTGATGTTTACAATTATTCAGTGCAAACGCAGCTTGACACACTTCTAGAGTGTTCTTTTTTTCATTTCATTTGCATTTTTCATTTCATTTGCATTTCCTCTCTCTGTCTCTCTACTTTTTGCCTCTATCTCTCCGTCTCCTCTTTTCCAGGCTCCAAGAGTAGAGGCCCAGATTCTGCTTGGATCTCTAGTGTGTTTTCCCAACTTGTATGGGGAGCTTCCAGCCCTCCATCCCACCACAGCTGATGTGGTGCTTACCAAGTTCCCTGACGTCAAGGTAAATGGAAGCAATAGCAGTTTGGGTTTGAGGGGCTAAGACAAGTCCTCATGCCTCTGTGCATGGGCAGTATCATTATTCTTTGTGATAGTATGCTAGTAAACCACAGTAGAGATTCATCTTGGTCTCATCAGTCCATCAGATTGTGTTGCAGAACTTTTGCGGCTCATCTCTGTACTTCTTTGCAAATTTCAATCTGGCCGTCCGATTCTTCCTGCATCTTGTGGTGTGGCCTCTATATTTCTGCTCTCTGAGTCTTCTTCCAACAGTGGATTGTGATACCTTCACCTCTGCACTGTGGAGGTCGTTGGTGATGTGACTTCCTGATGTTTTGCGGGTTTTCTTCACAGCTCTCACGATGTTTCTGTCATCAACTACTGTTGTTTTCCTTGGCCGACCTGTTGGACGTCTGTTGCTCAGCACACCAGTAGTTTCTTTCTTTTTCAGGACATTCCACATTGCTGTGCTTGCTATGCCCAATGTTTGTCCAATGGCTCTGGTCGATTTTCCTTCTTTTCTCAGCTTGACAGTGGCTTGCTTTTCTCCCACAGACAGCTCTCTGGTCTTCATGTTGGTTTATCCTCTTCAACAGGAAATGCAGTCTTTGTAGGTTTGAACCAAGGATGAAAACTTAGACTAGTCATGCAGAGCTATTTAATGTTTGGACAATCAACCTAAAAGGCAACACCTGGGCAACAAGAAACATCTGTCAGTCACATGTTCCAATAGTTTTGCTCACTTGAAAAATGGGTGGGTTCAAACAAAGGGTGGTATGTCCTGAGTTGTTTAACACATCTAGATGTAAATACCAGGAAATAAAAGCTGAAATTCTGAACTCTTGTCTCATACTCATCTTTTGATTTTAAACCCAAATGTCTTCAGTGAATAACAAAAACAAAGGAACTTGTCTTACCGTTCCAATACTTTTGGAGGGGACTGTACTTTAAAGCTGACATCCACGCAAGCATAGGGTCAAACACGTAAACAAAACTTTATCTACTTTGTGTAATCCAAGTCAAACAACATTTCTGCTGTCCGCAGGGGGTCCTAGAACCAAACTAATAGGTTAATGTATCATCAGTCATTCTTAAAACAGTCCAGAGCTATGGGAGTAATGTTATTGTTGTTGTTGTTGTTGCTGTGTAAACAGTTAATGCCATGCGTGGCAGCATCTCAGGCCCCCTCACTGGTTTCTTACAAGGTAGAAACTTGTTTTGAATCAGTAAGCTGTCATTAACACTGACCAGAGGGACCGGACGAGTGTGTGAATGTGTCTGTGGGTGTGTAGATAAGCCTGTGTGTCCATATATAGCACAGAATGTGTTACATATATTAACAACTCCTAATTACATTAGTGACTTTCCTCATTATCTGAAAAACAGCCAGTGTATTTGAGCACTCAGTCAGTCTCTACATTATGCACACCTGCAGAAAATGTTAACTTCGTGTGCGGGACCTAAACAAGATGTTGGACAGTATGTAGACATTTACACAACACATAACCAATGGTTTGTATTGTGTTAGGCAAATAAACTGTTTGTCTGTGTGCTTTGTTTTTAGGAGCATGTTATCAAAACCATCCTGACCTCTGCTAGGGACGAACCCTCTGCTCCTGCTAGGTGAGTATTGCATTTTATGTGTACTATTAGTATTGCCATGTACTACGTTTGTGCAACTTTGTGAGACAGGAGTCTAACAAAACACATTTTGAGATCATAGGTAGTTTTGTGTTAGATAGCATTATAAGAAAAGGTGTTTATAACAATTAGGTACATGGCCGTGGACAGAATTTGTGTGGATCTTTGTATGTGTATCTATTTCTACAAATGTATAACAGCAGCACGTGTGTGTTTGTTTTGGTAGGTGTGTGGCTCTGTGTAGTCTGGGTATCTGGCTGTGCGAAGAGTTGGCTCATGGCACTCAACATCCACAGATAAAAGATGCTCTAAACGTCATCTGTGTTACCCTGAAGGTCAGTCTCACAGCTCTGTACTAACTTCAAAAAGCTTGGGCCATGTTACATCCAGGCTCTACAATTCAACTTCCTGCACTTCAAACACAAGCTAAGAATCGGCCATTGAAATATAAAACTGTATGGTTCACATGTCAACCCAGCTGAATGAGATTATCTCATAAAGCCTTTGGATTTTGCCTCTTCTCAAACTTTGTCCCTGCTGACCGTGGTACTGTCTCTGTCTCTGACTGTAATCCAGTGTGATCCAGACCAAAGCAATGAATCTGTATCAAACAGACAGCGGATTGGCCGCCTGTAACACTGCAGTGTCTGAACATCTGTTCTTCTTCTGCCTGGATGTTTTGATTTCGCCTACTCTAGTTCACAAACATTAATTCCATAAAACGAAGAACATTTGTTAAATTACCTTGTTGTTGAAATGTGCTATACAAATAAACTTTCCTTGCCTAATATATTAAGTTTAATGTATTAATGAAGGCATACCTAGCGCGGCCTTTTTTAATGTCCCGCCCCAAAAAACCATGTTGACAGGACAGAGGCAGAGGAGAAATCAGCTGGGGCATTGCGGGCAGGGCATCAAGGCCACTGTTGGCCCCAGGTTTTTTGAGGAGGATAAGGCCGAACTGAGGGCCAAACTTTGTGACATTCCTGCCTGAAGAAGAACTTTTGGAAAATACTAAACAACACAGACACAATTGATGGAATTGAAAATCTTGCTTCAAATGAGGGAGGTGGAGCTGATTAAAGTGAGTTTAAACACCAAAATACTGACTGAAAACTGGGGTGTTGATTTGTTTAACATGGCAGGCTGCAAGGAGCCAGAGTATAATGCAAAACGTGGTTGGAGGTGATGGTTAGTGTTGGTGGAATTGCCTCAGTTGGTATTGTCTCTTTCAGGCCACTACACTGGGAGGCCTGTGGATCAGAATAATACTGTCCAATATTTACTGTCTCATCTATAGCCAAGTGGCTCTAGATGGACACGAACACACACACACACACACACACACACACACATACCTTTTCCACCTTGGAATCCCTAGCTTGTGTATCGGAAGCCAATGGCCTGCTGAGACATTAGAGCAACACACACACTTGCATTCACTTACTCCTGGGAGCAATCCCTTGGACCGTCAATATGTTTGGTCCTCCTTCAGATAGGAGACTAATCCAGGGGGAATGCTGCAAGCTGTGTCTCTCTCACACCTACACACACACACTCACAGTATCACATTTACACACACACATCTTTTCCATCTCTTGCCTTCATAACAGCAGCCAGTAGCCTCAGAAATGGGCTCTGTGCTATGTGCACACAATCGCACATACACAAAGCTTGAGGGATTGTCATGTTTCCATGCACAGCCACTTCCTGTTGTCCTCCTCATCCCCCTACATGTCCCTTCTCCTATCTAGAAGCATTTTTAGTTTTGTAGGTGGTGATCCTCACTAGAGCCCAACTGAGCTATAAAAAGATTTACACATTTACAAGTATTTCATATAAAACAAGAGTTCAAAAAACATATTCAGAATACTACAATTTATAGGTTAAAAAAATGTTTTTCTGTGGACACAGATTAGAAATAGATGTACTTTATTGTAGTTGTTTCATATGAGACCTGTAAATGACAATTCAAGATGCTCACTATATCAAGATGTGGGAAAAAATCAGTTCAACTGTGCTCCATCTGCTGTTTATTTGTCAGTAAATTTTTAGAGACACAATTGGCATACACACATAATTGGTATATCTCAGATTTATATATTAATATGTATATACCAGGTATAACCTATTCCCTAGCGTTAAGCATGTCCTAATTTAAGAGTAAAAAGATGCATCTAACCCTAAAATCCCTGCTTGCCTGCAGTTTTTAGTGAAACCCTGATGAGGATTACTGTTTTAAGTATGTTGGTTTATAGTATGGTGGCTAACATTTCTGCAAATGAATGCACCCTCAGAACCTTTTTGTTTCTTCACACAGTATCCCAATAAGAACGTGGCACTGGTGGCGTCAGACATCCTTCATCTCCTGATCAGTCATGTGGATCATCTTCAAAAATTTCCCCCTGATACTCCAAAGAAGATTGTAGAGGTGAAACATACATTTCTTTTTGGGGGGCTTTTTTTTGCCTTTTAATTGAATAGGACAGTGGAAGAGCGACTCAGACGGGGGTGATGGGTGATTCGAACCCGGGCTGCTGCGAGAAGGACTCAGCCTTTTCATATGGGTCACACACACTGTACCAACTGAGCAACGCCCTGAGACATACACTTCTGTAAACTTCTCATCAATTATTGGAACATTTTATTTTATTATAACATTGGCTTTATTATTCATCAAGTCACCATCAGCATGTCCATGAATCCTGATGGAATTAATTACAGTGTTTAAAGCTAAGGCCGTAGAATACCTGTAATATGTTTAAATACACCATATCACTTTTAAGATTTTCCATTTAGAGGTCTCAGAAATGTTTCTGACACTTGGTGGGTTGATTTTCGCTGAGACATTGACTCAAATGCTTTCATTCTTACTGCTCTACTCTGGTTATCTGTACTGTTGTTTAATTTGAAAATCTATTTTACTATATATTTACTATATATTATTTTACTATAATTGACTTCATTTTCTTTTTATATCTGTCGTTGTTTTTACTTGTACTAGAAGTGGTAGCATGACTAGTTTTGGTAGTTGCAGTAACAGTTTTGCTGGATTGATTTATCTTAGATTTTGATCGCCACCATCACATACTTGCTGCCCACTACCGAGTCGTCACCTCATGAACTGGATAAGAGGGTAACATGCACAGAAAAATTCATTTTTACATTTTCTCACAGCATTACAATTGTTGCTAAGAAAGTAACCTTATACCTGTGTATGTCTGTGTTGCAGCTGGTAGTGTCCCTCCTGCTGTGTCTGTTGGACTGGGTGATGGCTCTGCCTCCAAAGACTCTTCTACAACCTGTTCAATCACGAAGCCCCCCAGAGAGGGACCAGCCTACAAAGACTCTGCTCAGCTGTATTTATAAGGTACCTATATAGCTGTGTTTCAACCAAAAGTACCTGGGATTTTTAAGTCCCCGGATCTCTTTTTAAGGAACTAAACGGCTTCTTCAGCCCTTGTTGTGTGCGTTTCCGCCGTTATCTGACCTGCAAAGATTAGGCAAAATTAACCAGCTGACGTAGGCTGTAGGCCTATAGCCTACGCCATACAAAGTGATGCACAGGCATCATTATTTGTAACCACTATCCATGAGCAAAATTTATAAATGAACATCAGACTTGATTGGAATATAATGAAAAACTATAGGCTATGCTTGACCATTAAAGCAGCTTTTTTGTGTGGGAGTATAATGAAGAGACAGCGATAAAGATTGTTTCACATTTAAAAACAAACTGGATAAAGCCATCACGTTCATAAAATAACTCCAGCACAGAGAAAGAAACAGAAAAATAACATTATTACTGTTTGGAAGGTTATTACAATATTTCCAGCCAACAAGAGCTGCAGATGTGTCCGCCTGAGCGTCGGAGGAACGGGATGTTTAACGACTTCAGCTCTGTGTAAAAACTTCCTGAATGACGAAAACTTAAAACAACAACTTTGGACCCAGTAATAAGCGTAACTCCATCAGCTGTTCGCTGTAAACACACCTTTGCACGCTGGCTGCTATTTCTGAGCAATATATGTAATGCCGACGTTAGGCAGACATCGGCGAGACTTGTGTTGATTGTGATTTATTTTTTGCAAACAATGGTGAAAAAGAGAGGAGCAGTAGCAGAAAAACACCCAACATGCTCGAGTCAAAGCCAGTAGCCTCTACTCGCCCATTCAGAATTTCACTGCAAGGCAAGCCCCACTCCCCCAAAGTACCGGTACTTTCGTAAAGTACTACCCCCTGAGCAGGGACCTTTTGGGGGATAAAATAGAGACCCTAGAACTAAATTTAGACCCTGGTTCCTTCAGTGGAAACTCAGTGAGTTCCTCCAATGGTTCCTAGTTCTAGGGTATAGTTCCTTTGGTCGAAAAGCGGTTTATGTTTGTGTGGTCATGACACGACCCTAAACACACATAAGATACGCTTTTCAAAACAGAAACGTCACCACCAATAACAAGTTTTTTTTTGTGTTTGTTTTTTTATCATAATGAAGAATAAGCATCAGTGCAGTAACATGGGCTATAAATGAGGCAGAAGGGAAATAAATCTGACATAGTATCCCTTTTCCTTCGAACAATTTGTAGGTATTGCATGGTTGTGTGTATGGAGCCCAGTCTTTCAACAGTCCCAAGTATTACCCGCTGCAGCTGTCGGACCTGTTGAGTCCAGACTACGACCCATTCCTGCCATTAGAGAGCCTCCGAGAACCAGAACCACTGCACAGCCCGGACTCAGAACGCTCAAGCAAACTACAGCCTGTCACCGAAGGTATTTTATCCATCGTCAGGGACACACTATGTACTTTTTAGGCCTGTCATTGTAACTATCATTTGGTGTCTTCACTGATTTTTAAGTCATATAAATGAGACCGCACCCACTACACATCTGTCTTTAGTCTGTAATTATTCTATGCATGTAAGGTGGGGCACTGACACAAACGCTAGGATAAAATGACACCGAGCTGTACAGCACACCACTGCCAATCACAAAAGATGGAAAAAGTTTGGGGTGGGGTGGGGGGGTGTGTGTGTGTGTATGCGAATGCACCAGTCTGCATCCGTGTGAGAGTGTGTATTGTCCCCTGCTGTGGTCCACCAGGACACAGTGTCTAGTCTAATGACTGGAGCACCCTAATCGACCATGCTTCTGTTCTCTCCTTTTCTCCTCTTATTTTTTTTTTGTTTGTTTGTTTCTTATTGTCCACTGCTTCACTTCTTCTACCATCCTTTTAACATTATTATAAAAATACTCTTTTCACCTATATATATTCACCAAATGTTCATTTGTCTTTTCTTTTTCCTCCTGGGCTCTTCTGAGGTTTAGGGAGTGGCTGAGAATGTCTGGTCAATACATATCTGGACTCTACACATACCCCTGTCAATAAGAAGCTCTGTGTGTATCACACTGTGTGTGTAATGATGTTGATTAGCCAGGATCTGCTGGTAGCACATTGTGTGATGGCATTGGCTTCTTTTCAGCGTGGAGCAAACCATGTCCAAGCTTTAGTGTGTGTTTGTACCTCCTCCTAATATGTACTGCAATTCCTGAAGTTGTAACTTGGGGCCTAAATATCAGTATATATAATAGTCAGAGTAACAGTTAAACCTTTTAGCCCTCTATGTAATAAAATCTAGAAACATAGAAATGGACTTTTAAGATCTGGTATCCTATATTTTTCTTGACTGTATCCTTGTAGTAATATATGGATGTATTTTCCTTCTCTCTCTGCAGTTCGTAGCCGTATTCAGCAGGGCCTGGTTTCCATCGCAGCCAGAACAGTTATCACACACTTGGTCAATCATTTAGGACATTATCCAATGTCCGGAGGGCCTGCTACTCTGTCTAGTCAGGTACTGTTTCTGTGTGTGTGTATGGTGGCAATAATGGCACTAGTATGATGTACTGTATATAGTGATGATTACTTGTTTGTCCCGAGGGGAATAAAAATCAAAACATTTTCAGTACTTTTATTTTGATCTTGGCATTTTGCAAGTGCAACACTATGACCTATGTTTTGTAGGTGTGTGAAAACCAAGACAACCCGTTCTGTGAGAGTGCAGATCTTGGACCAGAGCTTTTCCATTCACCAAACCTACAGTTTCTGGTTCTGAACGGCTCCACACTGCTCTCAGTGTATCAGGTAACCTCAACTTAAACAAATGACATGCTTTGCATGTTTATAACCAATGTTTGTCATCATGACTGATACTAACTGAGCTCAAACCTAAAAAGCATTAAAATGAATGAAATGTCAGTTGGTGAGCCAACATTAACATGTACGTTTGGTTTAATGCTTGTATGCTAACATTACCTGTTGCCTTAAGTCCATTATATTTATTTACGGTAATCATGCAGCACATCTACAACTAGTATAGAACGTATCAGCAACTCTTCTAACATTAGTCCAGGAGCCAGGTCCAGCCCTCAGGAGGTTTTCTAGACTCAGAGAACATATCTCTCCAGTCCCGACTGGATTAGTCTCCAGTTCATGTTAGAATTCAGTTAGGGCTGAACGATTTGGGGAAAAAATCTAATTGCGATTTTTCTGCCAGATATTGCGATCACGATTTGATTTGCTTTTTTTTTATTTAAGTTTTACTAAGGTTTAAAATGACAGTTTAAAATGGGTCAGATGTGCTGTATAATTAACCTACATTTTAATCTCCATCTTCACGATTAGCTAATCACGGTCTTTCAAATAGTAATTTTGATTTGAAAACAATTAATTGTTCAGCCCTAAATTCAGTTCAGTTTTATTTTTGAAACCCTCCATGATTTGGCTCCATTATATATGTCTGATCTTTTAACTCCTCATTCTGCACCAAGACCCCTAAAGTCTGGCAACTGAATGTTGTTAAAAGTTTTTCAGTCCAGGCGAAAGACATAGAAAGATCATGCTGTTTTAATACTGTGGAATCAACACCCCCACAGTATCAGATCAGCTAAGTCTATATTTTAAAAAGCGTTTGAAATCCCACCTTTGTAGCCTGGCATTACTAACTTAAGCCAGTGGTTTGATGTTGTTCTTTTTTTGTTTTTTCTCTGTGTTGAGCATTCTTTGAAATTCTTGCTGTATTTCCCGGTGTTGTACCTTCTGTGCACCTGTGAAGCACATTGTAACTCTGGTTTCAAAGGTGCTTTAAAAATAGTTTTGAATACTTGCTTTCTACAGTACCAACATGACATGGGAGTATGTTTAACAAGTATGTTTACATGCAATGTTATCAATGTTAAGTATAGCTCAGGTTGTCTAATTAAAACTTAACACTTGTGATGCTTTGCAGTGTAACTTTGAGTTAGAATGTAGTGAATTAATTTAATACTAAGTTGATTTTTCTTGCAGTAGGCTAATGAAGTTAAAATGGATTATTGTTTGATTTTCCTTATAAAAATTCTACTAGTTGCAAAGAAGCAGAGGTAGTTTAAAAAGTAGCAAATGAGTGAAGTTTTGCTTTAAGGCAGTTGAGATGTGGATTATGTGAAAGATGCTGCAACTCAATATCAGAATGATTTCTTTAACATTTTGTACATTTCCTGTTTAACCGTTGTACCTTGTCTTACTCAATTTCACAGATCCGATCAGAGTCTGGTGTACCAGGAGGTGGAATGACAGCTGGTTTGTCCTCCGCTCCTGCTTGTGTTCGTGTCATCATCCGAGATGTAGCTGGAAAACACTCCTGGGATTCTGCTGTTCTCTACGGGCCTCCACCTTGTACCCCAAGCAGCCCAGCAAACACATTTTTGTCACACACACAATCGCCTCACACCGCCAATCTTCATTTACGCACCCCACCAGGAGGTCCACCAGAAAAGATGGGAGTGAAGAGAGAAGACAGCGAAGAGGAGGGGCAGGAGGAGAGTGAGGCAGAGGAGGGAGGAAGAGAAATGGAGGGTGAAAGGCAAGGGTTTCAGGGAGAGGGGGAGGGGGAAGGAGAGGAGAGGAAAGTCAGTGAGGAGGAGGATGGAGATCGAAGAACAGGTGAAGGGGAAGGGGAGGAGGAGGAGGAGGAGGAGAAGGAGCTTAGTTTGGATGGGGAGGGGGATCGGGGGGAGTCAGGTTTAGAACAGCTTCTAGCTCCGCCACTGGCTAAACGTGTGTGTCGGGAGGCAGTGCCAGCATGGGATTTGCTGAGTGAGGGAGACGATTCACTGGATGAAATGCTGCAGTACCTGGGATACTCGAGTCCTGAGTGTCTACAAAGAGCAGGTATACACACACACAAACACACACTTATAACGTGTCTTAAAATGATTTTTAAATCAACACATTATGTTATGCTTATGAATCAGCAAACCATACATTAAAAGCCAGGATAATGATATAATTTTCAGTTTGAGTGAACATTTTACAGGCTGACATCCCTCAATTTGTTCTGTAAAAAACATAGTTTTAAAAACACAAATGACAGTTCAGTTTGTTTACAGCTCACTTTGTCTCCTGATTTGCTTCCCTTAGGCATGCCACTCAATATCCCAGCCCCTCCTCCAGCGTGTGTTTCAGAGAAGCAGGAGAATGATGTGATCAATGCCATTCTGAAGCAGAGCACTGCTGAAAGGGAGTTCGTCCTTAATGTACGGTGTTTTCTCATTCGTATGAATATAAGGACTTTCAAATTATGAATGTCTGAGTCCGCAGCTCACAGCCGCTCCTGATGAAGTAGACACTCAAATACTGGCGGCTCACAAGTGCAGAGCTACCTATTATATAGTTTGAAAAATACTGCTGTAGGTTTCAGGAAATAGAAGATAAATCACAAGCTGTTTAAGTCCTGCAGTCAAACGTATTTTAAGCAGACTTTCATAATGTTGTAAAAACTATTGTTGGAATTTGGCCTTTTTTCATTTGCTGCATAGAAGTAAGTCAACAAAATTAAAAGCCCTTGAATCAGCTTGGCACCATTATTTTTGTTTTTTTAAACCGTATATCAGCCCAAGGACAACAAAAAAGTGCACACATTTTTTTAAAGCACTAAATAATGGTTGTATAACTATTGTCCTTGTTCATAATTTGGTGCGACATTTCTGATTGTTGAATGTTTTAGAGAGGTGAGGAGTTGAACATGAGGGCAGTGCAGCAGACTGAACCAGAGACTGAGACACCGCAGTCAGCCTTCTACTACTGCAGACTGCTGATCAACATACTGGGACTCAACTCCTGGGAGAAGAGGTGCGACTAGACACAGACACACATATACTAGAAACCACGTTAAAGTGTTTTAGCAGTCACAAACACTTTGTTATGTTTTGTCTTTTTGTATGTTTCTCCTGACTTTGTTTGCATTTGTGACCCCTGTAAGTATCACTTTGGACACATTCACCGCATTTGTTTCACAGATTTAGTTTATGGCAGTACTAGAAATGCACCAATTAATATTTCCTGGCGAATGTCAGATTTCTTTTTCTTTGTAAGAACTAATCATTGACAACAATAATTTCCTTTTTGTAACTTTTCTTTAATGGAAAATACTTTTTTTATTAGGCTTTCCATTTGCTCCAGCAATAAGCATTGGTTATTCTTCCTGGGGTCAATTCAACTGTATGTTCATAATAAAACAGTGACTATTAAATAACTTACATTTTCTTCAAAACTGCAGGCGGTTACAGACCTTCTCTTACTCAAACAAATCTCAAAATAAGAAAATACTCCAGGTTAGGCTACTGGAGAGAGCTATTTTTTTTAATGTACAAATAAAATCGAACGGAAAATAAATTGGCAATATTAAGTACGTTTCATAAGTCACATGGCACAGAGCAGGGGGGTCCCTTTCTTACTTCAAGAAGCTCTTGAAAACTTTCTGAGAACTCTTCCTCTAACCCTATTGTCACTGGTAGATCTCTTACTGTTTTGATATTAATGTTTGTATGTTGTTCCACAAATGTAAGTTGCTTTGGATAAAAGCCTCTGCCAAATGAGTAAATGTTGCATAACACAGTTACACAGTGTAACTGTGGTGGGGACATGGAGGGCATATTTGTATTGTTTCATTTGAATACATTACCCTATTTCTAGAAGGTTATTTCTTATCTCACCATTTTAAGTCTACTTAATTTTCCACCAACAACTCTCTCTCTCTCCCTGTATCTGTCTGCTCTGTTGACTTTATTTGTCAGCAGTTTTTTTTTTTTTTTTTTTTTTTTACCGATTGCTGAGTCAGCATTCACAGTATTGTAATTAACGTGTCTTTCTTCCGTTTCTCTGTTAACTGCTAAAATAGATCCCTAAATATAGCCTACTGTTGCAACTATTAATACACCTGAGCGGTCTGCACAAGTCAAATGTGTGGGGAAACACGGCTGATTTGGCCTTACAGGTGTTACAAATTGCGAGCGCTGTGTCTTCACTCAAGGTGAAAAACTTCCACACCGACAACATGTTTTAGCGTGTGTGTGTGGCTGGTTACTGTCTGTAGTGCTGTGCACATGACGTGAAACATGTTGCAGTGCTGTATTGTGTGTAAATGTAGGATGTCTATGAAGATTCTCAGTCATCCAGGTCATAGTTATCCAACGAAGCTTAAAATCAAGGGCAACTGGACTTGGTTGAAGATACTGGTGTGTAAATGTATAAGGCAGAAAATCTGATACATGATCGGCCCCGATCACCGGTCATGGCCAATTAAGCTGATTCTGGTCCCCAGCCGATCAAACGGTACAATTACTTAATACTTTAATTTGGTTGATGGACAGATAGCTTTACTTGTTTTTTGCAGTTACTTTAGCCTCTAACTACTGCTAACGGTAGCTGCCACTTGCAAATTAGCTCAGCTAGCCATGCAGCTAGCCGTCCTTTTAGCTGACTCTGCCTGGATTGGAAGCTTGGTGCTCTGGGGGTGTATTGGTGTTTACACCTCTTGGACCGCTGGACCGTATTCAAACGGCGTGTTTGCAAACAAAAAAAAAGAAAAAGAGAGTCTCATAGTTTGTGGGTCTTTAGACTGGGGGACACATATTGTAGTTGAAAAGACAAGAAAAGTGGATATAGCATAATAAGGGACCTTAAACTTGGCATTTTATATTTTTCTGTTTACTTTTATGGCCTACATTTGAAAAAAAGGTTGTTGTTTTTTTTTTTACCATATAAGAGACCCTGCTGCTGGCATTCAGAGATCTGTAGGAAAAACAGGCTGTTTTTCAGGTTGCTGTAGTAAATGTGTGGGATGTCTTTTATACATTTTTGTCTCCCCTTGAATGAACAAAATGCCTGTTGAATGCAAATGAGACAAAAAAAATCAAATTCAAACTAGTATTTTGTGCTAATTAGACACATTTTCCCTTTCACATGGCACAGCATTTCATCTTCTCAGTGACTCTGGACTAAAATACACAATGTCAAGGTATCACTTTAAATGTGTCTGGCCAGCTAATGGACACTCATCGCTCTTTATACTTTATCCAGGGAATTACACCGTCTGCATTCAGCCTGCACAATAGACTTCTTAACACACTGCGCGCGTGTGTGCATGGAAGAGAGTGTGATAATGAGTATAGTACTCTTATATTGATCAAACTCAACCCATTCGGAGTTAGAATAGAAGGCAGTAGTTGAAGAAGTGAATGATGGTGGGAGAAGTGGCAAATCAGAAAACAGGATGAATAAGGCACATGTAGATGTAGAGTGAGAATTAAAAAAAAAAGGTAAATGGAGCCAGCTAAATAAATGAGTGAATATGGAAGAGAATGAGACTAAACAAACTTGGATGTTGATGAAAAAGAGGATAGACAGATGAGAAAAAAAAGATAAGAAGAGGTTGTCTAATCATCTATTTTTTTGTCCCCTTATGTATCTCCAGGTATTCATATGGGACATTACAGACGCTAAGATACTGACAGTCACCCGTGTGTGTGCATGCACGGGCGTGTGTGTGTGTGTGTGTGTGTGTGTGTGTGTGTGTGTGTCCTTTTTATGCTTTTCCCTATAATCCAGGGTGTAAATGGAGTCTTTGAGAGCAGAGAATGAGGCCATTACCAAGTATCAGTTTAATAAAGAGCAAATTGCTGTCTCTCTGTCTCTCTCTCTCTCTGTCTCTCTTTATCTCCCACTCTTTTTTTTTCTCTCTCTCTAAGAGTGAAAAGAATGACGTGTCATTATCAGCCCACTCCAAGCCTCAGTGCTCAAGTCTTGGTTTTATAACAGTGGTGCAGAGGTTGGTGGCTGGGACACTTTGAACGGTCCCCAGACTTGTTAGTCTGCATAAAAGACCTTTGTTTCAATTAAAAGAAATCGGGTTTTGTCTTTTTCATTTTGGAGCCTTGAAGTGGTGATGGCACTAGCTGTGTTCAGCATTAGATAATGTTGCGTTAGCTTATTTACAGCACAGTAATAATAATTTATATTTGTAAGATCAGACTTGAGGCACCAGTATACAAATAGAAGTACTTATCACATGGTCGAACAGAAAAAACGTAAAAAAAAGCTTCCATAACATTTGGTTGAGTGACATCTTGTGATCTCTAGACCTCGTTCTCCTTTTAAATATTTTTCCATCTCTTTCAGATATACAAAATGTATCGGACAAATGGTTGATTTATATACTTTTTTAGCATCTTGCTGTACTTATTTAAGGAGTTTACTGCTCAGTTACATTTATTAAGACCAAGCTAAATATATGTTTGGAAGGTCACAAAAAGCCCATGAAGTTAAAATTTCTTATTCAAAGACATTAGGTGATGATGACCTGATAATGATTCCAATGCAGAATTACTATAAAAAGTTTATAAGTGACCTTGGAGAGGGCAGATTTTACATTTATAATGTTGAGAGTTTCAAAATTGGAACAAGCAAACTTCTTATCAAACCTTATATTTTATCTACTGAATTAGACCACTTGTCAGTGTCTTGCAGTCTGACGTAAGAGAACGTAAATTAAATGAATCTTCATAAACCATATAACATCACCCCCTCATTTTTTTTTTCTTTTTTTTTATCTTGAACTTTTTTTGTGCTCTTTCACCAGAGATCCTGCCAGCTCCACTTCATGTTGTATTAGTTGACACAGGATTGGTGTTTTGTTTTTTTGTGTGTGTGTGTGTGGTTTTTTTGTTAGGAAACAGTGACAAAAACAAGCAACCACTCAATTAAGGGAGACGCCGCTGGTAGCCAGATAATGGTGGAGAGGCTGGTTTAACCATTGCTTTGCCTAATGATTTCTAACCTGTGCATGTATATGTGTCTTACAGGAGTAACTTTCATTTGTTGAGGAAGAATGAGAAGTTGCTGAGAGAGCTGAAGAACCTGGACTCACGGCAGTGGTGAGAATATATGAAAAATTATGATACCATGGTAAAGTAGATATTGTAACTTTTAGATATTGTTGGTCATTATTGGTGTCCTTCATTCCCTTCTAGCCGTGAGACTCATAAAATAGCAGTATTTTATGTGGCTGAGGGCCAAGAGGACAAACACTCCATACTCACCAACACAGCGGGTAGCCAAGCTTATGAAGACTTTGTCTCTGGACTGGGCTGGGAGGTAAGATAACACATTTATTCAAATGACCTTAATGTTCTGACATTGTTTGTCTTCTTCATACATTCAGTTTGCAAATCATTTTTAAATTGTTGCCTTAATATTTCCTGAATGAAATCTGATCTGCAACTCATATCGTTATCATATGATTGAACCGATTTAAACCACAAGAGAACTGCTTTGTAGGGCCAGCGGTTAAAGTAAACCTATTTGTCTTGATGTTTCAGCAGCACTTTGATTATTTTGTGTGTGGGGACATAAGGAGCTTTGTACAGAGAAGTTCTCCTGAAAGAAGAAGCCTGCAGGAATGTCAAAATGGAAAATGTTCATCTAAGTAGTTTTTATTGAATGGTGGAACCACATTGTATTTGGCAATATTTCAATGTCAGCATTTTATCTCGATTTGCTGGTTAAAGAGTTTCATGGAAACTAGCTAGTCTGATTTGATGTTTGTTTTTATTGTAGGCTTTAAGGCAGTAAAGGCCTGGAAGGGAAGCTTATATTTTGAATGTATCCTGAGTGCGTGTGCTTGCATGTGTGTTTCTCCCTTAGGTGGATCTCACTACTCACTGTGGCTTCATGGGAGGTCTCCAGAGGAATCGCAGTACAGGCCAGACTACACCTTATTACGCCACCTCCACTACAGAGGTCATCTACCACGTCTCCACCCGCATGCCCCACGACCAGGACCATAACCTCACTAAGAAGGTAACACACTACTATCTGACTGCTGACGTTTCAGCTGCGTTTCCATTGTTTACGCTGTCTTCTGGCCAGATAACAGAAGCACCTAACTGTGTGTTTGTTGCTGAGTGAATTTAAAGAGCTCTCACACAAACTATGATATTGTAAAGTTTTCAGATTTGCTTGACCGTTGGATTGAAACATACCTTCTTTCTGTCAAGAACTCTGCATCTGTCTGTCCCATTATCTGTATTGCCCACTCTCAAATGTTGTTGCTCTAATTTCACTCCTTTCAATACATAAAGGGAGATGTGCAGCAAAAGGAGGAGAAAAAAAATCCTCCTCTCTGTCCTTCCCTTTTGATTCCTTCTTCCAAATCTCTCTTCTTTTTTTTTTTAACATTGTAAATGAGTACAGGTCGCCACACACACACACACACACACACACACACACACACACACACACACACACACACACACACACAAGTCTGTTGATGTCAGTGTTTCTAAAGCACACCAATGTTTCCAATAATTCTTAATAGCAATCATGTCTGTGCGTGGTGTGGGCTCGTAACAGTGTCTAAGCAGGCAGGTTTAGCGTGTGTGTGTGTGTGTGTGTGTGTGCGTGCGTGCGTGCGCACCTGTCAACCTCCAGGCACTGGGCGCTCTGCACATGGCCATAATGTCCCTTTAATCAGATCATACTTCCTGCTTCTCGGCCTATCACGTCGCTGCAGGCTCCTGATTGGATTATCAGCGCCTGGTCCGACACCATCCGTCTCCCTGATCAGCTGATGGCCCCATCAGACACGCATACTCACATATACACGCACACGCAAACGCATAAACCTGTTTAACTTGACACAAACACACATCCACTAAAGGGCTTTATTCACAGCAGTCTGCACAACTAACCACACAACTATAAATTTGTGTTAATGTTGGACGCACACAAACGGGTTACGCCTGCACATGTTAGCAAGCACATGTAGACGTATAAACACATACACTCGCAGTTTGATAAATGTGTCCACAAAGAGGTTAAACTGACAGACATGCACATGTCCATACTGGCAGGCATTTATCATCCGTCCTGCTGCCACACACACACACACACACACACACACGCACGCACGCACGCACACACTGCAGTATGATTTTAGTCCATTGCAGGGCATTTGTCCAGTTCTCACTCTTTGTGTGTTCTGCTCCCTCTCATACCACATCTGCTTGAAACATGATTAAAAGGATTAAAGCTGCATTACACCAACTGATTGTGACATCAGAGATGACATCACTTTCATCTCTATCGTGGCTGTTTTATTAAAAATAGTCAATCGACTCAGAGAATCACATCAGACAGTAACACTCCACTTTGCCTTATTAACTGTGCCACCTAATTGTTCTGACACCCCAAAAATGCAGCTTGCAGCTCGTAATTATAACTCTTCAAATGAGATATTGGTAGAGCCCTTCAGTTCTCAGTTTTACTCTGAGTTGTGTGTCTTACTGACACTTTTTTTGTTGTTGTCAGCACTGTCAGGGGCAAGTGCCTCTAAAAGATTTATTTTAACTTTGCTTAATATATCAACTTAAAATCACTAGCCAAGAAAATATCAGGGTCATTAGCCTAATATATAATGGCTAAGTGGGTGAAGCTGCTTCAAAACATGATGAATAACTTGTGCACAGGCCTCCATATTAACTAATTCGACCCCAGGCTTGCATGAGAGTTGAATGAGATGTGTGTATACAAACAAAATTACATTTCATTAAACTGCGTCCTGATACACTGTCTAATGAAATGTGGGCAGCTTTTTGATTTAATAAATCCCTCCCGGTTATGCAGACATACGTCTTTAAAAATCATGCAGGAAAAAATACCCAAGTGATTCTAAATTTAAAAGGAAATATCTGTAATGTGTTTGTCTCAGGGCCAAGGCCGAGACATCTGAAGGTGTAACACACAGGTAGACAGACGTGTGTGTGTGTGTGTGTGTGTTTATTTTGGCAGACATCAAGGTTAATGACAGAGCTGTCACGAGCCCTGACTGCTGCCCACAGAGGGAATGTGAAACATACACACACACTCAGCATCAGACTTGATCACATCTGTCTTCCAGCCTATACTCCATCTTTCTGGAGCTTCACTCTGTCTTTGTGTGCACTCTCCATCTTCACACACTCACTCCATCACCCCCAGGGCCACCTATGGCACGTACGCACACAAAATCAAAAGCCTTGGGTTTATGATGAATACAGCCTATCTAGCTCATTGTGTCAGACCTGCTGTGTGTGTGAGAGAGTTAGTGTGTGGTTGGCATTGACTTAGTTTGTGTTGTTTGCGCTGTAAGAAAGAAAAATATGAGATGTTTATTCCAGTTTGATACTACTTTTCTGTTCCTTCCTCTTACCACCTGCCCCTCCTCCCCCGACCCCTCCAGCTGAGACACCTGGGTAACGACGAGGTCCACATTGTTTGGTCGGAACATTCTAGAGACTACCGTCGAGGGATCATCCCCACTGAGTTTGGAGATGTGCTAATTGTCATCTACCCCATGAAGAACCACATGTACTCCATTCACATACTCAAAAAACCAGAGGTAAAAACAATGTTCAGCATTTTGATAATCGACACAAACAGCCAGCTGTCAATATTTTGTGTAATTATTCAGAGTCATTGCATTTCAGTGTTTCCTTAGAATCCTTCATTGGGTGAAAATGCCTCTGAAATAGGACATTTAAATTCTTAATTAAAACCCAGGGTGATAATTCAGTCTCCCTCTGGGCTAAACTGTAATAACAAAACTTGTCACATGTTGTGGAACTGTAGTTGTTGTGTGAATCATCGGCCAATCTGTGAAAACTTTGCCATAATAATGGCACGGCTCTATGGACGGCACTGCTGGAACTATTAAATGGCTTTTCATGAAATTTGGTACAAACTTTCATCGTCCCTAGTGGATGAATCCTGCTGACTTTTCCTCTCGTGCTACAGTGAGGTTGACATTTATGGTTTTCTGTAAAATGTCTCACCACCTATTGGAGAGATTTCCATAAAATTTGGTACACATTCATCCCTTCAGGATGAATTGTAATAACTTTGCTGGTCCCTTAACTTTTCATTCAGTGCCATCATGGGGTTACAATTTTAATTTGTCCATTACTTTGTTTTATGACCATATACCTGCAAAACTGACATTCTCACTTAAACAGAAGAACAAATGTAGTCACATAGTCAATAACATTATGTCACACTTTTATGCTTGTAGATTAAAATGGATATTTCATCAGTTATTGAGTATTTATTGTATGGATATGGAGTTGGGTAGGAATAAAATTGTGAAAATGCACAGTGTTTTGGTTTCCTACCAGACTATACAGATATGCATCCAGATTATTGAATAACAATCCTAGAGAGTCTTGCCCTTAGTCTTGCTGCTCTGGTTAATGTATAAGTCTAAAACACACAGACATTAATACCACAGCACTGATAGCATAATTCTATTTCAAACAAGACCTAACACAATAAAATTCTGCTTTTTCTGTATGACATAGATACCACAGCACTAATAACATAACCTTATTCTGTTTCATTCATTCTACAAGCAATAATATTGAATTATTGTGAATCCAAAAACAAGTTTGATAAGATATTCTCTGTGTTGTCGTCCTGAAAGCTCTGTATTCAGTCATAGAGTGCATGGCTGGGAGACCTGCTCCTCAAATAAATTCAGTTAAAAGCCTGTTATTATTCTCTTTGGTGGATTCCACAAGCAAAGTAATGAATTAAATTAGAAATCCACAGCCTGATTCAAATAGAATATGGTTGAAAAACTGTCATGTCAGTCATTACTTGTCAAGCTTGGTCCACTAAAGCCCAGTGGCTCCCAGAGATTACTCTTTTATACAATATATCGAATTTTATGTCTTTGAGAGGCTTCCATAAACAGTAGGTTCACTGCATTAATAATGATTTCCTTTGTCTGTTAAATGGCTGCTTCACTACTTGTCTTTGTGTCTGTAGGTTCCATTCTTCGGTCCGCTGTTTGACGGGGCCATAGTGGACATGAAGATTTTGCCCACCATGGTCAGAGCCACAGCTATCAATGCCAGTCGAGCTCTCAAGTCCCTCATTCCCCTTTACCAGAACTTGTATCCTTTTAAAAATCCTGCTCAGAATAAAACAGGCCCAAGGTTGGTTAGAGAAGTCTTTCTTCATTTTTATTAGATTTTTTATCAATACCGCATGTTCAGTTCTTTAAAAGTGAGTAGTTTGGAGGCTCTCTTTAGCTGCTTAAGCTTGTTTAAATATACCTGCACCATTGTGTCGGCTGTTGAAATCTTTGTGAAATATGTGTGTGAGCGTGAATGTTGGTTATCACTCAGCTCATGTGTTAAGAATAGCAAATCAATGTCCAGTGGTGTTTGGCTTTCAGAATATAAGTGCTGGCGTGATAGAGCTGTATTTAGTTGGCTCTGAAGTGTCATATATCAAGTGTGTGTGTGTGTGTGTGTGTGTGTGTGTGTGTGTGTGTGTGTGTTTGTCGTGCGCGGGAAAGCAGACAAAGTTGGCATACACAGCTGGCGTGTGTGCGTGTCTGCGAGCATCTGTGTGTGCAGGAGAGAAAGAGAAACAGACAGACAGGTGTGTATACAGTCTGTCTGCTTGATCCGATGCGATGGTAGTTTGGTTGGAACAAGCCCGGCGGTCAATACTTATCGATGACTCTCCTCTCTAACACTCTTTCTAAACGAGGGGCTTTGCTCTCTGGTCTCACGCGCCACAATTCACGCTTACGCAAACTCAAGTACAGACGTGTGCACACTCGTGCACACTCTTCAGTCCAACAAACACTGACAGGCGATGACGCTCACATGGACACAAGCTCCTCAGAGATACAGCAATGCAAGCACATCCACATACAGACGTGCAGATTCATGCAGTGTTGGTTAAGAAGTGCACGCATACACACACACACACGCACACCATTGTGAGGTGACACAGTGTCCCCTGTTGAGGCGAGCTGAGCTACTGACTGATCATTGGAATTTCTTCTAAGCAGCACTTAAAGCAATTTGATTCCCTAATGATACTGTTTTCCTGTCTGCATGCTTGTCTGTCTCCTCTTCATGTCTTCCCCTCATATCAAAATAAGTTCCATTTATTTGCATTGCGATAAAACAATGTTTGCGATTGTAACTGATTGCTGATTGTATAAATTCTGGGTGAATACCAGAAACAACGCTTTAGTCATCTCAGTCATATGAAGATCAAATTATTATACCAGCAAAGAATCACGTAAGGCATATGCAGAAGCATCATGAAAGCTTAGTTTCATCATGAAGCTATTACACAGCGTAGAACGACCATCTCAGACTCACTTCATTGTAGAGCTGCAACAATTAGCATTAGTAAATGTAAATATTTTGGTTTATTTACTCCTCTGTGACAATAAACTGAATATCTTTTGGTTGTGAACAAAACAAGACATTTCAGGACGTCCTCTTGGGCTTTGGGAAACACTAATCGACATTTTCCACCATTTACTGACATTTTATGGACCAAACAACTAATCTATTAATCGAGAAAATAAATTATGACAAATTAGTCGATTAGTCGTTAGTTGCAGCACTACTTCATTGATAGTTCAAGTTAAGTTAAAGGTAGTGGAGTGTTCAAACAAAAGGTGTGTGTGTGAGTACGTGTACCATGACAGTCTGCTGAGCATCGTTTAGGCCAGTGGTCTGCAATAGGCAGCAATAATATCTGGCCCGTGGCCATATTACTTTTGTAGCAGCAAAAAATTATAATAATTATGACGGCTGGTGCTGAAACAGATCTCAGTCATGACAACAAGTTACTCACATATGACTTACTTGCTTGATACGCCTCTGAAAAAGCCGTCAGACAACGTGCGATCGGATTCCCCTGAATGAGAAAAGCAGGAATTTCCTCTGCCTGGAGATCCTGGGGACACGAAAATAAGTGACCATAGGTTGATGTGGACCAATCGATGGGATGTACACACTCCTCCACATGCTTAATTGTGATATGTAAAATGATCACTTTGTTGAAAAAGGAAGAAATAAACACTAGCAGCAAGTGAGGATTGAACACACAACCCTCAGAACGGGAGTGCTGTCCTCTACCAAATGAGCTGATCACGCACACACAGCTGTGAGAATATAAATGGGCAATTGACGATGTTCTGGCCCACCATCTAATGAAGAATTTTGCCCAATGTCAGTCTTATTTGCAGACCCCTGCTTTAGGCATTGTATCCGGAAAGGCAAGACCTTTTTTACAAACAAAGGTTTAGGCCCCTCCAGTCAAGGCGGAAGGTGGCAGGTAACTGTGGATAAACAAGTAACTTGCTAGCCTACTGTACAACATCATAATGGAAACCATAGTAAACCCACAATAACCAATAGTCTTAATGTAAAACCACACAAGCTAGTACTCGTGCCATTCAAAGAGCTGCTAATGAAAACATTTAAATTGTCCTATAATTTAATGTGACCCCTGCTTTTTCAAACGTCATCCCCCGCAATCTAACATCCTTAGATTCAGAACAATTTTGTATTTTTTATTCTATTATTACCCAAAAGCCCTGTCTCTTAACCATTACTCCCACCCTTTTCTGTCATTATTTCCTTTGTAGCTCATCTTATTTCTTCTCTTGGTGTCCTGCCTCCTTCCTCTGTTCTCTTTGTCCTTTTACTTTGACCCTCATCCCATTTCCTTGATCTCTCCTTCACTGTGCCGTCTCAGAAACTTACTTTCCACTTGCCTCTTGTCTTTCATCTCTGTTTTCCTTTTCTACCCTCCAGTTCTCTCTCAACCCTTGTCTTTCGCCCTCTCTTATCTCCTCCCTTTCCTCTTTTTCTTCTCCTTCCCCGCTCTCTCCTCTTTTCAGGGAGATGGTGTGAGTGCTGGAGGTGATGCTGGCCAAAAAGGTAGAAGGAGAAGTCGGGGGAACGGAGGGAGATTGAAGAAGCCATTTTGCTCTGCCATGTCCACCCAGCGAGACAGAGATTAGTGATATTTCGGCTCAGTGTGGGGCTGTAGCTTGTAGTTGTTGGGATGTGGTTGTGTGTGCGTGCATGTGCACCTTATTGCAGCTACTTATGTCTCTGTGTGCTTTTTGTGTGACTCCAGCAATCATGGGTAAGTGTGCAGACATGTAGACATCTTTACGGTTGTGTTTGCGCATTGTCCTAAATTTTGTGTGTGAGGCTGCGTGTATATCCGTATACCGACTGTGTTTGTGTGAGACCATGTACGGATGACACACATGTGTTGCACACGCTTGTTTCGAGGTGTTTGTGTGTGTCTGCGAGTGTCCTGGTGTGTATTGATTGGTGGTAGCAGCAGGTCGATGTCTCTGACAGGCTGAATTACAGTAATCAGTCATTATTGACTCCCCATCTCTCTGCTACACACACCTCTCTCCTCTCCTGTCTCTCCTCTCCTCTCCCACTCTACTCTGTCCTCTACTTCTGTCACTCTGCCTTTCTTTCCTTTTCTTGTCTCTATCTTAACATCCGTCTAGATCTTGTTGTGCTTTAATGTTTTTCCACTGCTGTCTTGTATCACTCAGCCCCCTTATCATCATTACTCTATCTCCCTCTCTAATTCTGTCCCTGTATTTTCCCTCTCTTAACTCCCCTTTCTCAGGGTACGATGTAATAAAAATGCTTAATAATTGTTTCAACTTAAATTAGTGTGCTGCGTTAATGATAACATAATAGAATACATTGCAATCCAGTTTCAGTAAAACATGAAAACAAATGTCCCCCATGTGTGAATAAGTTTGTGATCTGATGCAGTAAATATCTAATTTAAAGTGGCAGTCCTTAAGATAAGGTTTATTTGGCGACACCTGTAGTTACTTGTGGTAACAGTAATGTGTTGTAAAACTGCAGGTCCCAGAATTCTGGGGGCAGCAAAACTAGCTAATAAAGAAGTCAGGCAGTAATTAGCTTTTTCCAGCATTCTGTGAACAACTGTGATCTGAAAAAGATCGGTAAAAGAGTTGGTTACCTCGCTGAGAAGTTTGAGGTGTGCAGCCTGTCGCCTGCAGCTCTACATCTAACAGCTCACTGTGGCTGCTCCTTGTTCCATTACTCCCTGCAATATTTCAAACTGATCCGATAAAGCCCAAAATGACCATTGTCTTGTTTTGTAGACTCATTTTCTGTGAATGATAGCGATCAGTGCTAATGTCACTGACAGACGCATTGTATTTCCTGTGACCGCTTTATCATAAAAGCCAACTAATGTTTCGCAGTTGAATGTTTTTAATGAGAAGCTGCAGCAGTAGGAAGTGTTCAGTTTGCATCAGCAGAAACTTAATACAGCATTTTTCTGAGAATGTTGCAAATAATACTGCAAATATATATAATAAATATCAGTAGGCCATACGCTCAGTCCCCATTGTGTTACCTCATGTGGTGATAGTGACTCAACAGACATTCATGTAAGTGAAAATCTCTAATTGCCACTGTCTAAGACAATTAAGCACTACATAAAGAAGTGCAGGAGTAACAACACAAGTGTAGCTTTATTGATTTTTATTTTTATTTTTTTATAACTTTTTGTTGTAAAATAAGACCAGACATTCCGAGAGATTAGCGCACATGCTGCACATGAGGGTTAGATGCCCTTGTGTGCCCCTCAAGTGTTGCATAAAGCTGTGTGTCATCTGTGTTTTTGATTCAGAGTGCTGCATTATGACATCAAATATCCTCACAGAGGGGCTGACACAGAAGCAAGTGGGGGAAGAGAGATGGAAAGAAAGCTGGCAGGGCTAAGTGTGTCAATGGTTAACTGGCATTTCTCTCTAATTTCTTTTTCTGTCTCTCTGTCTGTCTTCCTCCCTCCCTCCCTCTCTCTCTGTCTCCTGGCCCTCAGGGCGGTCCATCTGCCTTCTCTCTCTCTCTCTCTCTGATCTTTCATTCACCATGACCAGAGCCATCCAACAGCACACACACACATAAGCATACGCACAGAGTGCCAGGCTGCCGGGGCAACTGTGTGTAAGCACAGCTCTATGTCACATATCAGCTCATTGCAGCAAGAAAAGCAATCCAAGACTCCTCTACACACAAGCATACACACACACTGCCCCTCTCCTTAAAGCCCATACTAT